GGGTCGATGCGTACGGGGAGCGAGACGGGGAGGTCCAACGCGGAGGTCATACTGAGGGAGATGCTGTCGGGGCGGGGTTCGAGGATCGAAGATTCGACGAGGAGGAGGGTCGAGCGGTTAAGGACATTTTGGGAGATGGCGGGGATACAGATTAGGAAGCTATTTTTTTTTTTTTTTTTTTTTTGTTAGAAATTGCGCTATACACTAGGGCACAGGGCGACATACAAAATAGGAAGGAAAATGGCGAGGAAGATAATCGACCAAAAGACATAACAGCACCAGAACCGAAACCAATGCCGCCGCAGATTCTGAGTGGGCGTGCGCTTGACGTTCTCAAGTGTGATGGTGTCCGCAGTCTCGATATGCTCGAGATCGTTGCCATCAAGAGACTCTTTGGGCGCAAAAGGACCGCGATGGACACCGAGAGCATACTTGGCGGCAGCGGAGCTGAGATAGGCGGGCTTCTCGGCCAAGTCCTTTGCTTTGCCCATTGTCCGTAGTGTGCTTAGTATATGCAAAAGTAAGAATAGGAGGGAATCCGGGGATTATATTTTAAGGCACGTGCAGATCAAGGGATTATATAAGAGGCACGGTGGTCCGTAATATTCGGCGCATTGTTGGGAACTAGCGCAATTAGAAATGGGATTTTAGTGTATTTTTTAGCGTAGTATTCGTGTACCTCTGAAGAAAAGGAGATTCAAAATTTAGTTTACAGCAGTGGAGTATAAAAGTGGCCCGCGGGATAAGGATCAACAGCGCTATCGGAAACCGCGGTCCAAGCTAAGCACCGACCCAATCACAAGCCCTAAGCGGGGGTATTGCCGAATTCAATACGCCCCCGATGCGGGGATGCCAAAAGTCGCGTTTTTCAGCTGGCTTTACTTGTACTTATCTCCTTATCTGCCAGGCCATCTGTCTGTCTCGGACAAGTAGACAAAGAACAATTTCATCATGTCCGAGGAAATCGAGAAGTTACCAGACGAAAAGTCCATTCCGGCCTCGTCGTCGCCGGACACTCATAGCGACAATGCTAGCGGAAAAGAAAATGGGAGTCAATACCCCCTCGATGCGCTCGACAAGCTAGAAATCCTCCCTCATATGCTTCAAGAGGGTATTCTCTTCGCCGGGTCGGGGTCCGCACTGCTCCTTCAAGCCGCTTTGCCAAACATCCGCAGCGACAACGAACAGCACCATAACAACTTAGCGAATGAACTCGGTGATGCTTTACAGGCGATTCTGGGCTACATCGCGTGTCTGGTCTTCGGTACACGAGACGAAAAGCGCATCTTGCTCGACCTCCTCGCGCGACGGCAACCCCCGCTCAAAGGAAGCGAATACTACACGCGCAGACCAGACGTGCATCTCTGGATCGCAGCAACACTCTACGCAACCGCGACAGATTTCTACCAGCGCATCTACGGCCGCGTCAACTTGAAAACCGCCGAAAATGCCTACGGAGAGTACTCGCTGCTCTGCCATGTGCTAGGCATTCCCCGCGGCACGTGGCCGGAGAACCGCGAGGCTTTTTGGAAGTACTGGGACGAGCACATTGAGACGCTGCAGGTGACAGACCATGCGAATGAGTTCGCCAAGGATCTCATGTACCGCACCGAATTCCCCCGGTGGGTGCAGACGCTCAAGCCGTTTTTGCGGGTCGTTACGATTGAGATGCTCCCACCGAGGATCCGCGAGCAGTATGGGTTAGAATCAACTATGGGGTCGAGGGGGTTGTATCGGTTTACGATGGGGTTTTCGGTAGCTGTTTATCCCGCATTGCTTAAGTCGGTGAGGGGGTATCCGGTGCAGTATTATTTGAAGGAATTGAGAAAACATCTAAATGTCGTTTGAATGCAATTTTATTGGTTATCATGTATGTAATGTTAATGCCCTAGTACATAGCCCATGTGAATACATTTAATTCTCAAACAGACGCTAGTATTCCTCCGAGTAGCTTCGAGACATCGGCAACCAACTATCAGTCCTCGATTAGCATGTGCCAGACCCATATGTCAATCAATAATAACTAGACTCACCGGTGCTGCATCCCCCACTAGCTCCGAAGTATCATTGACAAATGACGTCGTGATCAGAGTATGCGCATTGCTGATGATATCCTGCAATTTGTCGATGTTGTCCTTGGACAGAAGGTTCTTGAGATTCTGCGGCGTATCACCCCCCAGCAATACGGCGCCGCCTTTGACAATCGTCTGCAGATCGTCGATGGTGTCCTGGCTAAGCAGGTCTTTGACGTTGTCGACGATATCGGGCAGGTCAGATAGGAGCCCACCGGATGGCGCGGGGGCGGGGGAGGCCAGACCGAGGGTGACGAGGGGGAGAATGAGAAATTTGAAACGCATTTCGTATTGTATTCAGTCTCATGTGCTTGGGAATTGGAATTGAATAGATGTTGGCACTCTATATACTCTGTACATCGTGTTTTTATATTGCTGGCCCCGCGTTCCAGACTTGGCTGCGGGTCTTGATTTGCTTGGCTGTATCGGTATACATAAGTACCTTTACTACAGTATACTTTTCAATTGATCTTGAAATCAAGTTCGCGATATCGATGCATCTACTACAGAGTACAACCACATGTTCATCCAAGTACATCCTCTACCACTGCAAGATACACTATCGTACATTCAAGTAGATCACTGATCAGATCTTCACCCCAAGTTTTACCGTCTCGTATCCCCCATAACTTATTTACCCCATACCCCATACCCGTTTCTCGCTCCGAAGACTCCGGGGTGCCAGCACAGTCCATCCGAGAGCAACATGTGATATTCGCCACGCTACCGGGTCCAACGCCAATCGCCGTCTTCGGATTATCCGGGGCTCGCGCGGTCCCCATGGAGCATGATTGCCGAATCGGGTATACACGATGTGCATCTTTATCTTGGATCACCGAGAGCCGAAGCATGTGAAATAGGCTCGGGCGTTAGTTTAGATTCGCTTAGATGATATATGGTTCGGTTATGCATACTTGTCTCGGGTTGATGTAGGATTTTCGATGTACGATGACGAAAATGCTGTTCGGACCATTCGGACTGTTCGTTCTCATGTGCTTGTACTATGTATTGCTGTTGTTTATTTACAGAAAGTAATTAAACGGAGCCAAGGACACTGCCAATTCGGAACAGGAACAGTTCTACCCATGGTTACCCCGCACCAAAGCTTAGCGAAGTACTCCATAGTAGTATAACCTTGGCCAATCACAACCCAATCCTCTTCCCCAGATATAATACTCTGTCTGTCCATCGGAGAACATACTCGGAAAGCCTCATCCCCACTACAACAAAGGCATCATTCCCATGATTGCAATTGCACCTGCAATCGCCACCTCAATTCCTCCCGGCTGTATCCCGCCACCGCTATTCGTATCACTTGCAGCTCCGGTTGTAGTCTCGGCCGCAGTCGCCGTCGCTGTCGCCTCATTACTCACAGAACCGGACCTAGAACCAGAATCCGAGTTCGAAGCAGTCGGACTCGCCGTTAGCGCTCCCTCGGATATCTGCGACTTGACCACTGCCATGTAATTCTTGACGTCGGTGGGGAGGTTCTGATACCATGTCGGGGTCGAGCCAGCCTGGATTTTGGACCCCAGTGCGCGGCGCTTTGAGGGGTCGAAGAGATCCATAATCACGCTAGCCGGGACGGCGGAGATGACCTGGCCGATGAGAGAGCGTGGGGGAGGGGAGATGTTGGCGAGGTTGCCGGAGTTAGTTGGGAGAGCGAGGGAGGGGATGGTCATGGATTGTCTGTTTGGTTAGTATCTTGTGATTACCGGTAGAGTAGAGAAGTAGTACAGTGCATTTCCGACAGAGGACCATCCAGAGTCCGTTGATGGAGGTGCTGTTGGCGTTGGTGTAGTGGCTGCGAGGGCGCTCGCCGTGAATAGGAGCCAAGTGAGGTTCATTTTCCTTGGGTCTTGAGAGGTGCTGTATTCTGAATTCGGGGGTAGAAGCGATTCTTTTATACTCTGAACTCTGTGGGGACGGTTATGCAGGGCTGCATATCCGGATTTGCATACGGTAGAATGTGTGCGAGTATGATCTCAACCGCCCATCATCGCAAGTCTTTATAGATGATCATGTATGTTTGAGCTTCTACCACTATGATATTGGGGCCATTGTAGATATAAACTTGTGACGGCGTCAGTTATACTTGACCTGCTGGCTTTAACATAACCGTTAGTCGATGAGCATAGAGATTCCATTGTGAATAATTCGGCTATACTCTTGCTTCCTTGAAAGGTATATCGTGCTGTCTATCGAGTGGCCGCTGGTCGTTTCAATTGAGCCCTAACGTTACACAGATTCAACATTATCGTTGGAGGAGCTCAAACTACAGCAACAATCTTATCAATCTTCTTATTCACTTTGTACTTTGTAGGCTATTTCATAAGAGTCGTTCTGTGTTGACTAAACAATCCTCGACAGGCTCAGAATTAGCCAAGCTTCGGACGGAAGATACTTGATTAAATGTTTGGCAATACTGCTGGAACGGACATACTAACATTGGACGCCACTTGACACGTCACGTTAGAGACAATAAAAGAACTAGCCTAGGAACAGACAAAAGTACATGCGCAATTGATTCTACTCCGTACTCTGTAGATCATCCAGCATTGAATAACAGCAAAAACGATCTACCATCTTGATGGTTTCCTACATATATACTTTACAAGAAAACTCCATGAGATAACATGAATTATTAACGTAATCCACATCCGAGCTGACCATACAACCAAGCTGACCATTTTCTCCGCAACCACAGGGATATTAAAGCTTTTCAACCACCAACGCCATTAAATTAGACTATATAAAAAAATAAAATAAATAGACACTCCAATCATGCAAGGCCTATATTATCTGTTGTCCAGCCATTGGCACTGTTGGTAAGCTTCCAATCTGGATGAATATTAGACTCTTGATACCATGCAACCTGGTGTTCTTTCCCTTTTAAGATAACTGCTGGAGGTATATGAATCCCTTTTGCACTCACACATTCAATGATTGTGACCCATTTGTGATTCCCCTGGATAGTTGTATGAGGTCTTTCACTGCGCTCCACTGCAGTAATCAGTAATCACCTTAGATGTTGTACAGAGTCCTATTGCAAAGCCAGTCTCATCAAAGTTCCAAATATCATCTTCATGTATACCATGCTCTTGAATAGTGCCCTGCACAACTTCAAACCACTGTTTTATAACCTTTGGATCCTCCTGTTTTGCACGCTGTTGTGTAATTCTCTGGTTGTATCTTGTACGAAGCTCTAGATGGCGTTGAACAAAGTTGTATGCCCAGTTGACTCCAATAGTTGAAGGATCCTGTGTACGCTCAGAAAGTAAGATTTGTGCCATTCCATGCAGAAACTCAGGTCTAATTGAACACCCTCATTTATCTGCATCTAGCAGACGCTTAGCTAGGACTTCTTCTTCAAAAATTGTTAATTTATGGCCATTAGTGCATGTTTCTGACTGTGGTTGAATTCCTCTAAGCCAGTTGAGCAAGGTAGCTTTAGGCACACCAAATACTGCAGCAGCGCGCGATTTTAATCGGATTTTTTTTCTTTTTATAAGCTTCAATATTATCTACTATTCCGAGCCCGTGACACTTCCTGAGAAAGAGACATTTTATATGGTGATGGTGAAAATATGACGCGTTGAAGAATGATTGTTGGAAGTTGCAGAGAAAATGGTCAGCTCGGCTGTGGATTATGTTAAATAGATTTATTCGATTAGCAAAGTGTTCTTTCTTCGTATTCGAGCCAGGATTTGAAATCACGCCCGGTGAGCTGCGCCGCAGTCACACATAGCCCACTTAGTATATTAATCACGGAGACTACGAACAATCCGGTCATACCTGTCTACTTTTTCAAATGATTCATAGAATGTCCGTCTCTCGAGAACCCTTCCAACTCTCCGGTCGCTATGCTGACCGCAACCGCTGGGAAGTCCTCGCCGGGCCTGGCGACTCCCGCGTCACTGGCCTACAAATTATACATGATGAGAATCTCACAAATGCCTGGACCGAAAAAACTGCCTTGATTACTGGTGTCTCCTCGGGCATCGGTGTCGAGACCGTCCGCGCCCTGGTCACGACCGGCGCCACTGTCTTCGGCACCGCCCGCAGCCTTAACAAAGCCCGGGAGGCGCTAGGCGCTGAGCTCCTGGAGACGGGTCGAGTCAAGCTGGTCTTTATGGATCAAACGGATCTAGCTAGTGTGAGAGCTTGTGCGGAGGAAGTTCGCAAATCGAGCGGCGGCCGACTGAGCATTATCGTCAACAATGCGGCGGTGATGAATACGCCCGAGGAACGGACAAAAGATGGGTTTGAGCTGCAGTTTGGAACCAACCATCTCTCGCATTTCTTGCTTTTCTATCTTCTCAAGGATCTACTTTTGGCGAGTTCTACGCCCGAGTTCCATTCGCGCGTGGTCTCTGTTTCGTCTGCCGCGCATCGCTACGCACCCGTTCAGTTGGATAATGTCAACTTCGAGGGAAACTATAACGGCTGGCTTGCGTATGGATCCAGCAAGACAGCAAACATCTACATGACCAACCAAATTGAGCGCCTATACGGTGCCCAGGGACTACACGGATACAGTCTCCATCCGGGCGCGTTCCTCAGTCCGAATCTGCAGAAGCATTCGCAGGAGGAGCTGAAGACGTTCTTGACGGATCCTAGATTGCAGATATATACCACCAGTCTGGAGCAGTCGTGTGCGACTAGTATCTATGGAGCGGTTTCTAGTGAGATAGAAGGGAAGGGGGGGTTGTATCTCGAGGGTGCATCGGTTGCTGTGCATCCGTGTCCTCCTGATGGTGATGCGGTGGAGTATGGGTATGGGAGCTGGGCGTTTGATCAGGGGAAGGAGGAGGCGTTGTGGGAGTTGAGCAGAAAGATAGCTGGAGTTGAGTAATGGGACTTAGCGAATGTGCACGATAGACTCTTCAGAGCTATGCTACGTATGATATGGCATCTGAATCAGGCAAGATAGAGGCATAATCAATGAGGCATGCATGAATAAATAATCCAATGACCATATCAGTCGAATGCTCGCTGCACTATTAGACTTGAATCTAATCGGCTCACAGAATTAACAACCGCGTCTCGCGAACTTGCTCTCCCTCGACAATCTCCTGCGAGAGGTCGATTCCGAGGGCATATCTGCAGTATCAAAGTCAGGTCCCTTTTACAAGAGGAAAAGAAAAAGAGGAAGCTGATACGAATGAGACATACTTGGTCAATGCAATAACAGGAAATGCGCCAATAGTTTTCCTTCGCACCTCCATGGATTCTTGCAGATCACGGGCCAGGCCACACTGCTCATGCTTGATTTGAACCTGGTTGAGCAGCCCGTCGAAATATTCTCGGTGCGTGTTCTTCAATCGTTGTTTCAGGTCTGCTCCCGGCGTTAGCAGTTCTTTCAAGACGTAGTAAACAGTTCGTAGAGACAAACCTGGAGAAGCTCTCTCTGTACTCTTAATTAGCTAAACCCGCTTTTGAAGATGGGTGTATGGGTTATTATTTACCTTCTTCAAGCGATCACAGATAGTTTAAAATACGTATCGCATGGGGTCTTCCTCTGCCTGAACCGGAGGTTCGGTGTCTTCCATAACTGCCAGTATCTTGTTGATTTCTTCCTGTCCTGCAACGGAATCACTGCAGAGATGGCCTTCATCAAACTCTATAAAGTTTTGTCACATTACTATCAGCAGGTCTTTCTCTCTTCTTCGATACATGAACTTTACTCACGGTCATCAAACAGGAATACCTGTCCATCATCTGTCAGCATTTCAGACCATCATAGTCAAAGTAAAGAAGCGCAACAAACCCAATTATTCCAATCAACTATCGTCCGCAGCGCTTCTTCATCACAATGTGGTGCCCAAGCTGATGCCAGGAAGCATAATAGGCCTTCGAATTCTTCGCAGCCCACTTCTCATCGGCATGCATGATCCTATAAAGGTCAATTTGCTTCAAAACTTTAGCCATAATGCAGTAATTTAAATTACTTTGTTATCCATAAATCTGCCTTAACCTTCACATCATCGTAGTTTGGGTTCACAAATGGTTTGACAGACATGATCGAGGAAAACAGATCTGGTATATAGACGGCATGTTTCTCCATGCTGTCCTGTATGGGTCTGCTCTTGGTACCCGGAACAATTTCTGAGGGCTCGCAGGAGTTCAAAGATGCGGTGACGCTGCTTGAAGAGACCATATTGAGAAGTGATGTGGTTTTGTAGAGTTCTATACTAAAACTCGTATTCCGCACTGCAATGACAATGGCTAACGAGACAGCTTTCTAGTAATCTTTTTCTATAAATTGGCTAGCTCTTTATAATGCAACCGACCTTTCCTGTCTTTAAGCTTTTCAAGATAACACAAGATCTTCTTGATGTCACCTAAGTCGGTGACTACCTAGAATGGAACTAGCCGAACTTGACAAATGTCGTGTTACATGCCAAAGAACCATTCCGATGTCAGCCGTTGAATGACAACAGCAGATATGAAGGGATAACATTCCCCTAGTACCGATCAAACTCTGCAAAGGAAGGCTATGCATGTACTTGAACAACTCAATAATCTATATACTGAAGGACTCAGTCTTCTTACCTTGCTTTAACACTTCCTCAGCCACGATTAGGGTCTGCACGCTCTTTCGAAGGTCATATCATAATCAACCTATCAATATTTTATTTGTGGGTGGTTTGTAGAGGTTTTATGTTTTGGAATTCTTTTGTTTCATTCAACCCCGGATGTATTCCGTTCTTCGGCAGATCTCTAAATCCCTTGTAGGTTGAAATAAAGCCCGATGCAATGGTATAGCATATGTTAGAGTGTACAAAGTGCGATGCGACGTTCAATCACAAACCACAGCCTTATCAAGCCCTTCGAGAGAAAACCTTGCGTCGGGAATGTGAGTGGCAGTATGCCGTATCCAATTGGCTCCGTATTTTGTCTGTCTTTCTCCTCCATCCTTTTGTTTAACGTTGCAGTCACTTTATCATGTTCTTCGGGCATTGACACGGGTGCGTCCAGTATATCTCAAACATATATGGTTCTTCACGGCGCGGTCCGACCTATCATGACATCAAAAGTTGAAGAATGTGGTACAAATTGCATGAACATTGATAGTGGATTGTATGAGCCAGTATGTGTAGAAATTCAAATCTCGGAGGTGATGGAGGAAGCAATCGAAGCGACTCTCGAAACAGTTGATGTATTGAATATGTGCACTCTCTTCTTATATACACCCAGCAAAAAAAGCTACACTACAGCCGACTTCCCATATTGACATGAACGGCCTTGACCTGCGAATAAGCCTCCAATCCCGCCTCTCCCAGCTCCCTCCCAATCCCACTTTGCTTAACACCCCCAAACGGTATCCTCGGGTCACAATCCTGGCTACTATTCACCCACACCATACCCGCTTCAATAGCACCCGCCACTCTATGCGCTCTCTCCAAGTCCTTTGTGAACACCGCCGCTCCAAGACCATAACTTGTATCATTCGCACGACGGACAGCTTCCTTCTCGTCTGAGAAGGGCACGACGACAACCACCGGGCCGAAGACTTCTTCGCGGTAGATTGCCATGTCGTCGGTAGTATTGGTGATAACTGTTGGTTGCACGAAGTAGCCGTTTGCGTACTTGGGGTTGTCGAGCTTGTGCGCGCTTCCGCCGGAGAGGATTGTTGCGCCGTCGGAGCGTGCGCGTTCGATGTATGATAGAATACGCTCGTACTGCGCGCGAGTAACCTGTGGTCCTTGGTATGTTGATTCATCCCACTGGTCACCAATCTTAGAGGTCGATTGAACTAGTTCTTGGAATTGAGTCAGGAAGATATCGAAGATATCGCGATGGATGAATAGTCGCGATGTCGCTGTGCAGATCTGGCCCTGGTTCGACATTATGCCCATATGGGACCATTTAGCCGCCTGGTCTAGATCTGCGTCGGGGAATATGAGCAGGGGTGACTTTCCGCCGGTCTCGAGGGTGATGTTCTTCAGTGTCCCGGCGGCCATTTTCATGATTTGCTGTGCGGTTCTGGTAGATCCTGTGAATGCGACTTTGTTGACGTCGGGATGCTGCACGAGTGCTGAGCCGGCTTCCTTGCCGTAGCCGTTGATGATATTTACCACACCCGGCGGGAAGCCTGCCTCTTTGATAAGAGTCCCCAGCACCAGAATGCTCAGCGGTGTCTGCTCAGCAGCTTTGATAACCACTGTATTCCCACATGCCAAGGCAGGGCCCAATTTCCACGTTGCCATGGACAGGGGATAGTTCCATGGGATAATCTGGCCGACAACCCCGATGGGCTGGCGGAGAGTATACGCGAGCTTCTCCGGGGTTGTATTGATAGTCTGTCCAAAGGTCTTATCCGCCCAGCCGCTGTAGTAGCGGATCGTCGTGATGGCTTCTGTGAGATCATCGCTCAATGCGACGTGGTATGGTTTTCCTATTCCATTATTAGTATTATCCAAATATGTTATGTGCATGGTAAACGCACCATTATCCCACGCATCAATCGAGGCAAAAAGCTCTTGCTTGTCCTCTATCAAATCCGCCAGTTTGCCCATTAACCGTCCGCGATCTGTCGCGGGAAGTTGCTTCCATGATGGATGAACTAGGGCTGCACGCGATGCTTTGACGGCTTGGTCGACGTCTTCAGCGCCGGCGGCGTGGACGGTTGCAATTGGTGTGTCGGTTCTGTTTCGTTTGTTAGTCTTCATCTTCTCTCTATCACTGTGATAAGAAGGGGTACTATGAATGGCGGGGCATACGCTGGGTCAAGCGAAACAATTGTCCCTCCAGATGACGGGACAAATTTATTGTTGATAAACAGGCCCGTGGGTTGTTGGTAGTGGTGACCGTTTGGGGTGGTGATTTCGACGGACGACATTTTGAATTTTGAACTGTATAAGTGACAATTGAATCAATCCTAGCAATTTTCAATTGTTGACATAACATACGGGGTCGCTATCGTACTTTGTATATGCAAGTCTACTCGGAATGACATACCTAGATATGGCGATGTTGATAATCTCCGTCTGTATCGGGAAGGCAGTTCCGGTGCAGAATCTCGGAGACAATCGCGGGGAGAGATGCATCGAGAAGGTAATCTGTAGGAAAGTGATTCCATTAAGACATATATAAGCTCATTCAAGTCTGTGCTTTGCAAATCAATCATCTTCATCTTCTCTATACTTCACAAAGAACACATACAGAAACACCGCCAACATGTCTCTCACCGGTATCATGGTAGCCCTAATCACCCCCTTCACCGACGACGGGACCCAAATCGACGGGCCGCGTCTCAAGGCCCACATCGATCACCTTCTTGCCGCCGGCGTCCACGGCCTCGTCCCCGCCGGCAGCACCGGTGAATTCACCACCCTCTCCTTCGCAGAGCGCAAGCAACTCACCGAGCTCTGCGTGAAGTACGCCGCAGGCCGTGTCCCCATCGTCACAGGTGTCGGAAGCACTTCTACCTCTGAGGCCGTTGAACTGGCGAAACATGCCGCGGATGTCGGCGCTGCTGCGACGATGGTTGTCCCGCCGTTCTACGACCCCGTGAACTTGGCGCAGTTGATGGAGATGTTGAGTGAGGTCCATGAAGCTAGTCGCGGACTGCCGATTGTGTACTACAACATTCCCTCTGCATCTGGCTTGACCCTCTCGCCCAAGGAAATTGCCAGTCTGTCGCGCGTGGGAGTCAAGTACCTTAAGGACACCTCCGGCAACGCCCCCGCCTTCACAGAACTCGTATTCGGTCTGTCGGACCAGATCACCGCTTTCAACGGCTGGGATACACTCACCTTCTATGGTCTCGCAGCTGGAACCTCTGGTGCGATCTGGGGTGCTGCAAACCTCATCCCTGAGCTTGCGGTGGAGTTGTGGGATGCTGTTTCTGTCAAGAGCGATTTGAAGAAGGGGAGAGAGCTTTGGGCTAAGGCATGGCCTGTTTGTAAGTTCTTGGAGGAGCACAATTATGCTGCTGCTGTGAAGACGGGGGTTGAGCTGGCGGGCCAGAGCACGGGTGGTTTAAGGAAGCCGTTTGCTTTGTTGGAGGACGATGTTAAGGGGGAGTTGAGGGGGTTGCTGATCAATGCGGGTGTTAAGACTGTTTGATTTTGTCAATCTAACGAATTTTATGTTTTGTACATAGTGAGATGAATACGATTTTATGTTGTTAACAGAATATCGGCCACAATTGCCATTCCTTGGCTACCTCCACCCATGTAGGAATATCATCTCCTCTACGAGCTGCCAAATGCTCATCTTGTCTCTTCCACACCTCCAGAATTACCTCCCTCGCTCTTGTAAATGCAATAAATCCGCATTGTGCGTGGCCCTTTTCAACCCATCTCAGTATCGCTTCCCGCCGTGAGGCCGTGACAGCTTCACACCCTGCTATAAACGCCGGCCATGCCGTCCCAGGCCCTGGATTCTGACACTGCTCCAAGGCATTATCAAAGTTTTCCAATGATGTAATAATACTATCTACATGACCTTGCAGCATAGCAGGATGTACTTGACGAATGCGTCGGTGGAAGAAGATGACCAGCGCAGAGCTTAGGGCTCGTAACATGTAACTGTTTGGGCTGCCGTCGCCATTGGTATCTCGCGCATGATTCAGGTCAAATGAGCAGACCATGTTCTCGAGTCTGATCCGTCGGCGGTGGATGGTGTCCCATGCTTCCGCGCTGAGGTTCTTGTGTGTGCGTCGAGCGATTCGTAATGAATCCAGTACATTGGCCATTCGCGTCGTTTGCGAGACTAGACTGAGCCATGTCTCTGGAATGCCGTAGATCTGATTGTACAGTGTTCCCGGGAATTGCCGTGAGTCTTGTAGATGAATATCGTGTAGGGCAACCTCGTTATCCTTTGGCTGGTCGATGTCCAGGTCGCTGTCTGATTGTCGGGGCTGGAGATGGAGAAAATCATCAAGGCGTGGATTGCGATGTGAGACTGTGTTTTGATCGGTTCGAAAATGACGGTTGAATGATTCGATAAATGAGCTTGATGGGCTGTAGTCGTGCAGTACATAAGTGCTTTCGCCGACAATCCGGATCCACGTATAGATATGGTGTAGCAGACGGGCTTTCTGGGATATTTTCGGCTTGGACAGGCCACGGAGACGCAGTAAGCGCTCTGCATCGATCATATAGCATCGTGCGTCTTTTTGTTGCCCGCAAAGTATCTGGTCTGGTTAGTATGTATCTGCATAATGGAGGGGCTTCATACAGCAAATGCGGTCATTCCACAGATAGCCATCAATTGATCTTTGTATTTGGCTTTTTTCGGCTGGTGAATCTCATGCTTCAGAGACATTTGCATATGATCTTTGGCTTGCCGATGCGCCTGCTCTGTCACCATCTTCCAATGCTCCACCGAATTTGTGTTAATTACATCGGGATTTGACGCAAGATGATATGCTGAATAGGCAAGCAGGGAGTATAGATTTGTCAACCGGGCATGGCTGATGTTTTGCGTTCGTAGAAAAGTCAAATCGCTGTAGGCCAGTACCGCAGCAGGTACATTGAGGATCTTCCATGGGGACTTTTCGCCCAGCGGCATTGCCATCATTTGTGCAATCACATTGTCTTGGAAATGCTTTAGCAGGAATGGAGCGTCTGCCATGACATCTGCCGGAGGCCAGCTGGTATCAAGTGGGGATTGCTGGGGCGTCATTATCCGTCTCGGATCATTATGTTCCATTGTATCTTCCTGTGCAAATGTTGAAGCCATTGCAAAATCAAAGCCATCCACGGATTCGAGAAATGGATGCGGCGTGAGGTGTAACGGATCCGGACCGAGATCAAAGAGGTCGGACCAGTGCAGAAAGTCATCCATCTGTGCCAGGGACTCAATCATCGTGGACGAAGGACTGAGTGCCAACGGTGGCATATCGTTAACAGGTGGTGTTGCCGGCTGAACATGTCCCTGTTCCCCCACTCCTTCGACTCCATCAGCTGTCCTTGGATGAGCCTCGCTGCAAGACACGGGAGTCATGTCCAAAACCGAAAAAGGCCCAACCACGATAGCCCCATTGGTCGACCGTCTTTGGTCCTTGGAACGAGCATCAATCTCAGCTAGAGACGTGTCAATTGATCCGGACGGGAGATCTGCAGCCAAAGCCGCACTCATTGAAACCCTGGATTGTTCTAGAACAAAATAACAGCTGTCAGGCGGTCACCATTTGCTATAGGAATATATTGTACAGGAACAATGCCCACCGGTATAAAGATGTCGCCGCGTGCTAATAGGCGATTGCTGCTTGTCTACATCCGCCGGTTTTTCACCTGCAGCTGCAGCTGCTTGCCGCGTGTTGGGCTGCTTCTTGCTTGACATCCACCGGACCTCGTCTGAGAATCCCTCGCATGTTACCCCCAATGCTCGACATGTCAGGCAAGCGGGTCGTTTTTGGTCACATTTGACATGACGTCGTCGGCAGGTGCGGCAGCCGCCCAATGCATGGGAGCGACGCGGTCTACTTCTGGTGGCGGCCATGACTCAAAGGAAGCTTCGTAATTGGCAATTGCTCCGGTAGCAAGGGACGGGAAAGGCTATTGTAGAATCATGATGCTTGAAGTCGAAGGAGGGGAATAGAGACGCTGATAAGATTACCCCACATTTGGTCAGGTGATCGGAATCGCCTTCCTATTCGAGATTATGTATACATCTGTGCATTGAACATAATCCTGCTGCCAATTATCTTGCAGTAATATCATTGGTCCTGAGTGATCATGATCAATTGTATAATTGATTGCATAATTTCCTGCTGCTTGCTTTTGGTTCTGATTCGTCCGTTTACCGAGTGGTCCACCGCGCGTCGCGTCTGTTCATTCTTTCTCAACGTCAAAATAATTGAGTTGCAGGTCTCGCTGCTTCAAAAACATCAGTTGCTCGTCAATTGTCATAGCTCGAGTCAAAATCCCTGTATCTAAAACGCCATTGTATCCACACCCAGAACGGGACAAGAACATTGCCTATCAATATAGACCCAAAATGTTCAACTCTGGGCAACCCACGAACGGTTTCTCGCAGCCCATGGCTACTAGAGTAAAAGTCCCAAGGTCTGGCTTTCGCAGCACGTCTTTCTGTCAGTCCAATGTCAACGAACCTGATCCAAACGGAGATGTGACTCTGGTTGTTTCCCCCCCAGCATATTTACCTCGGTATAAACAGAAGATCATTCCATTTGGGTCCATATCGACTTCCCCGAATGTTACTACTCCGTCGACTGAATCAACTGAGTCGGAGCCATTAAAGTCGCGGTTCCGGGTCTCTTCAAAACAACTCATGTTGGCCTCAGCATACTTCGAAAAGATGCTCACTCCCCGATGGCGGGAAGGTCAAGAACTCGGCGCCAATGGCTCAATGGAACTGAATATCACTGATACCGATCCAAATACATTCTTGATAATATTGAATATTATTCATTGCCGCATGGCACGGGTTCCTCGCGTTGTGAGTTTTGATACGTTGACTGAGCTGGCTGTCTTAGCCGACTACTTCCAATGCCATGAAGCTCTTGAGCCTTATCCATCGATATGGCTTGAACGGTTGAAAAATAATGTTCCTACTATGTATTGTGACGAGCTTGTGAAGTGGATTTTTGTTTCTTGGGTGTTTAATTATGATGATATCTTTACAAAGGTGACACGGATCGCACAACGTCAGGCGACTGGTGACATCCATCTCTTTAATTTGCCCATACCAGAGTCCATCTATGGTGAGTGACACAGGTAACATTCTTAAAACTCTTTTCTCACTTTTTTAGGCGCAATCAACAATGCCCGAAGAACCGCCTTGTCCGCGACTCTCGCTGCCCTCAAACGGCGTCGAGATTATCTGGAAAATAACGATCAACCAGCATGCTGTGCTGATTGTGATTCATTATACCTGGGAACTCTCATCAGATTAATGAAATCCTACCGTCTCAATATAGGACCGCCATACTGGTTCCTCTCTGTCGAAGCTGCTGCTGAGCGGGTATCAAATTTCCGGCAACCACCTGACATTCACGTACGAAAACCTGGACCTGTGGCATTCGGTACATCATCCCAGACTAATTTAAAGCTCCTCGGTGAAAGCACGAAACAGGAAATTGAAAAGGCTATCTCAGTGCTCCAGGGTCTTGATTTGAGTTGATCTAGTGTGCTTGATTTTACGGGCTGTCACTTTTTTCTAATTCGGGAAGGTCGCGGCAACAAGAGAAAGAGTTTTTCTTTTCTCAAAACATGAAACGGGTATATGCTTCAGCGTTAATCTCTTTGATTGCCGACAATGCCACCGAAAAGACATGGGGTAGCAATTGATTCAGTACTACCCCTGGTACTCTGGCAACATTGCTATCTAGTAGTTAAACCTATAATGCCACAACTAGTTCAGTCTTAATCCAAGTCTTTCTACCTCCACACTAACAGCCCCTGGGATTCCTTTATCTAATGGGCTCCCCTTGAGCTGGCTAGTGGGTACGAATGTCGAAAGCCAAGATCAATAGCATTTATATGAGATAGACGTATGTCTACAAGGGACGTCATCTGGTCACATGATGTTTCGAGTCACTTACTTCCTTTACGTCAACAGGATGCTTCCTTTTCTCGGAAACATCAGAGCGACAGATTATCCTCTTTAGCGAGTCGCGTATACTCATCACGACTCCTTCCATGGTGGAGTACCCTCGGGAATAAACCATATCCGCCTTCAATCAGAACCGCATTCTCCTACCATTATAGGAACAGCCGTGACGAACGGGAAACAAGGTCTATAGTTAATATGTACGGTTTCAATGCATCCAATCAGTCTGGTAAAACCAGGTAAAAAATAAAGCGATCTGGCATTCGGGGCTTATCTTCACGTTGCTCAAATGGGAATGATCCTGATCCAGACGGGGATGTTGTCCTGGTGGTTTCGCCCTCTACGGATTCTCCCAGGTATGAGCAGAGGCCCTCGTCTCCACGAGTCAAATGCACCATCTGTGCTGTATACACCAACCGAATCTACGACGCCAAGGTCAACTTCACCAACCCCCCGCCTACAGCTATCAGGCCAACGAAACCAACGGATCTAATTATACTAGGCGAGTCAACTACGCCTGCCAGATCACCGACTCCAGTTGATGCAGCAGCAGAAACCGAATCAATTGCGAAAGTTAAGCTTGTCATGGGGAACCATGATCCAGAAACACATAAGTCCCGGTTCAGAGTCTCGTCGACAAAATTGATGCTGGCTTCTGTGAAATTTGGAAAAATACTCTTTCCTGGATGGGATTATGGTTCCAAGGCCTTAACCCAACCAGAGGTCTACGACATAGACCAAAATGCATTCTCAATCATGTTGAATATTATTTATTGTCGAACACAGGTCCCCCACTCCATCGATCTGGGAATGTTGACAAAGCTGGCGGTGCTGACTGACTACTTTGGATGCCATGAAGCCCTAGAGCCTTATCCATCGATTTGGTTGGAAGGTTTGAAGGATGAAGTTCCTACGACGTTCTCTGATGAGCTGATAAAATGGATCTGTATCTCTTGGGCTTTTAACTATGATGATGTCTTCACCAAAGTAACGCGAATCGCACAGCGTCAGGCGCCAAATTACCTGGATCTTTTGAACCTGCCCATATCAGTCTGTCTATAGTGCGATCAACAATGGCCGACGAGCGGCTTTATCCTCTATCTTTGCCGCTCTCAGGAGACGCCGAGAAGAGTTGGAGAGCAAAGATATACTCTGCAGCTACGAATGCGATTCACTTCTCCTGGGAACACTCCTGAAGTCAACAATAATATACGGGCTTCCCATGGACGCAGAGCCTCCATACCCAGGTATTGCTGTCGAAAGCGCTGTTCAATGCCTTACTGGTATCAAGCACCCGAAAGTTCATATGTGGCACCAGGTCCAAGGGTATCTTGGAGAAAGTAGCCAGCTTGGCCGAAATGTCGGGGAGTGTAGCCTGCTTGGTATGAACGTTCAAAATGAATTGTATAATGCCATGTGTCGACTCGACGGCCTTGTTCTGGAATAAACCGCCATATAGTGCGAAGCACTTTTTACTATTCTAACATTTAACCACCACAGCCAGTACGACCCTTATACCCTTATAGTTATTACAGACATCTAATCTATCTAAATTAATCCCTTGGTTGCTTATAATGCAGAAAATGTTACTACTGACTCTATATACATGTCGCTATGCAGGAGTGCTCGAAGCGCCGTTTCCGAGCTGTCAACAGCCAGCGCCAGCACTGGAGAAGAGGAGGTTTAGCCGACGGATTGGTTCCTCCGGCCACCGTCCCTGCGAAAAGAAGTATGCAAACAATCTATCAAAAGCTTAAACAAACATGAACCCAGCCGTATGCCCTCATCACCATCACTGTTGGGCCACCCGGCTTTGCTGCATCACCAGACTGTCGTATCACCGACCTCACCAGTTCCTCATCCTCATATACTCCCGTCGTTGGCTGCCCGGTCCTGGCAATTATTGTATTCATTAGTCTCCTCCTGTGGCCACCACTATCCTGGCGTCATGACCACATGGAGGATTTTAGCTTCCTTTCCCCAGGTGTGTTGATTTGCTGCTAGGAGCCAAGTGGCTACGTCCATCATCTTCTCCTGTGTTAAATCCATACTCTGGCAGAGTACGCCGTGGGCCACTGAGGCCCAGGTCGGCACCTGGATGTGGGCTGTCATGCCAAATGTTTTCACCCACTTGTCAGCATGGCGTCAGAGGACCTCTACCCCCACGACATTGCTGGCCTGGAGACTGACATCTCCAGACGGTAGCTGACGTGCGGCAATGAAAGTTGACGCTGCAAGGGGAGAACCATTTGACTTTTGGGCTGCACTTTCCCGTGCTCTCTCAGCCCGTTCCACTATCTTGATTGGAGATATCTTCTTCAGGTCAGCCCGCATTGCTTCATTGCGTATCTTGACTGTTATTTCATAGTCAACTCCTAACTCCGTGTGCGGTGTTCCCGGGGTGGTGGTGCCCGTTTTTGAGATGTTGGGGCAGAGGCGTTTTGTACTCCACACTGCCTGTTTCGCGCCCGGAAAGCTCTCCAACAGGCTGCTAAATCAGGGGGCTCTGTGGTGCTCTGCTTCTCCCATATGTGTTTAGTGTCGTTCTGGATTCTCTCCAGTGTTTTGTGAATGTCCGCCAAAGCGGGATCAGAGTTTTCACACCCACTCCAGGCGCCTTTTGCAAAGTCCTCCACCCCCTGGAAAAAGTTGAATAGCTCGTTGTACCAGTGGGGATTTGTTTGATAGTTTTCCATATACTGGCGTATCTTCTGAACACCAGTTCTTAGTTCATTCCTGTTGGCAAAGTGGTTCCGCGGTCCTTTTGGAGCCGCCGTCACTGCTGCCCGAGTGATTTCTTCACCTCCCACCATCGCGACCGGAAATCCCAATAAAATTGGTATTTTCCGGTAGCGAATGGATTTAGATGTAATTGAACAATTTCTAAGCCGAATCCGGCTCTACGTGGTGGCGGAATTTCAAAAATTCGATTCACGCTGAAAGAGTTGTTTTCGAAAATGTTACTTTCTCAGGGCTCGTTGTGATTATCTCCCAGAAGCCAAATTTCAAGTTCCTGGTTAGGTCACTACACCGTAATGTGCTGCTCTATCCAAATGCAAGCTAAGCCCCTAGAGTGTATAGCACTTCGTTATCCATTGTGCTGAGGTAAAACTATACTAACTTTGATTACAAGTTTGACTTAGCCCAAGTCTCTCTGTTTCCACGCGGATAGCCTCTGGGATCTCCTTGTCCAGTGCACTCGCCTTTGGCACCCAGTCAAGAAGCGTGCGAGCTCTTTGAGCCTGCTCTCGTGCATTGGTTCCCCAGAGAATACCAGCATGAGGGCTCAGTTCGTCCGCTTCCTGGTGCGTCAATTCTGCCACAGAGGTAGAGTCGACGAGTCCGAGCTTGTGCGATTCTTGTGTAACCAGTTGGGAGATTTCCTTAAAGGTCTATCATTATGTTAGTGATATAAACCCGGTTGCACGTTGAGTGTTGTTATCCTTACCAACTCTCCATTCTCGGCAAAATATAAGCCGTTCTCATTCCACAAATTACCCTCCTCACCCTGCAGAGCCTTTCCGACCAGCTTGGCGAAAATCTGACTGATATCGGTAATATGAACATTGCTCCAGATACTCTGTCCCTTTCCAACTTGGAGACCCGCACGACGCTGCAGTGTAGCTTTCGCCAGCTCCGGGACCTGAACACTGCGCTGGTTGACCGGTCCCCTGCCACGGCCATAGATCAACGGGGGGAACACGAGGGCCGTCTTCGGACTAGATGGCAATTTGGCCAGGTTGATGATAAAGCTGTCGATGAGACGCTTGGAGTAGCGTTGGATAAGCTGGCGTACTTCTTCGGCTCCTTCGAAATCGTTGTATACTTTGTCCGTGGGTTCTCCGTATGCGTTTTGCTCGATGTCGGGGAAGGAAAGGAGGCTTGCGCCTGAGATTTGGATCCAGTGACCTAGTATAGCTCTTGTTAGAGGGACTCGACTTGATAAAGAGGGGGCAACTTACCGGGCTTTGCCCTGTTGGGGGTCGTCAAACCACGAGCGATAGCTTCGACACTTTCGATATGCTTCGCGTTTGCGAGGTCTGCAACAAATTTAGTAAAATGACAACGATTAAGAAAATACTAGGATCAACTTACGAACAACAATGTCCGCTTTGCGCGCCTCTTCCTCCAGCAGCGCCGCGGAGTCCAGATCCCCGGACAACACGCGAACCTTGGGATACGCATTCGACACCTTCTCTGCCTTCTCCTTGTCTCTCAGCAGGACGGCATATTCATGTTCAGGATACGCAGTCTGCAAGACATGCAACACCTCCCCGCCAATGTATCCAGAAGCTCCTGTTCTGTTGTGTTGCGGTTAGCAGGAAATCATGAATGCTGCGGGGTATTCTCACAAGAAAATTTTTGCCATTGTGATTGTGTCTACTTGCGATGCAGGCTTTGGAATATGAAGATTGATGGTGTCAAAAAGAATAAAAATAAGATGGCTTGCAATTGCGAATAATTGCCCGTCGTGGGGTAATCCAACCACTGTCGAAAAAGGTAGGTGGTTCCACGGAGAGTCGCTCAATCAGGATCAATGCAACACTATGAGATCCCTATCATCTCAATGGGTTTTACTAGGTCAATGATATCGACTTCCTCCAAGATTGTCTGTCGGTCGTGCGTCTGCCAGATCAGCTCCCTTGAGGCCGAGCGATCCAAACCATGAGCTATTTATTTCCATATCATCGGGCTGTTTACATCCACGATTATCATATTATTTGCTTTCTCTATATCTTTTCTCCATTAGTTACTCGATTTGAATTGGTCGTACGGTTGCAAAAATGGCTCATCGCGGAGAGACTCTACACAAGCATGTATCCTGCATTGCGGACTTGAAGGCCTTGGGGAGCAAGAACCTCCCTGTTATGGTCAAGGGTATGCTCGTCGAGCATTTTTCTTAGAAGGATCAGTTGTTGACATTGTACAGACTACTACAATGAAGGCGCTATGGATCTTATCACGTACTAGTTCTCATCAAGTTCTCTAGATCAATGCTAACATATCCCCTTTCTAGACTCCGCGAAAACGAAGCAGCCTTCGACCGTTACAAAATCCGGCCTCGCATTCTCGTCAACGTCGACCAGGTCGATACAAGCACAGAAATAATAGGCACGAAAGTCACTCTACCTCTAGGCTTCAGTCCTGCCGCATCGCAACGACTCGCTCATCCAGACGGGGAAGTCGGGGCATCTCGCGCAGCGGCAAAATACGGAATTTGTATGGGTCTCTCGTCATACTCGAACTACTCCCTCGAAGACGTTGCCGGTCAAGGATCGGGGAATCCATATGTTATGCAGATGTGCGTGTTGAGGGATCGGTCGATTACGGTGCAGCTTTTGGAGAGGGCTGAGAGTATGTCGCCCTTCCATCTCATTCACAATTTAATCATTATGCTGATGTGAAGCGATTAGAGGCTGGTTACAAGGCGCTTTTCCTATCTGTCGATGTACCTGTCTTGGGGAAGCGGTTGAACGAGTATCGGAATGAGTATCAACTTCCGGAGGATATGTCGTGGCCTAATATCCTCAGTAATGGAAGCGATACGTCTAGCCGGACTGAATACGGTGAGATTAACTCTTGATATCATTCTTCAAAGCTAACTTGTCAGATCCGAGTCTCGACTGGGAAAATACCATTCCCTGGCTAAGGGAACATACCAAGCTCCCAATTTGGCTCAAAGGGGGTAATACTAATTGACCCCATTTATTTATCTTCAAGGTTGCTGACAATCACAGCCCACACACCCGAGGACATCGAACTAGCCATCAAATACGGCATCGACGGCATCGTCATCTCCAACCATGGCGGTCGCCAACTCGACGGCGTCCCGGCCACACTTGATGCTCTTAGAGACTGCGCTCCCGTTGCAGCTGGTAGAATCCCCCTTGCCATTGACGGGGGTATCCGTCGGGGTTCGGACATTTTCAAGGCCTTGGCTCTGGGTGCGAGTCATTGCTTTGTGGGGCGAATTCCGATCTGGGGTCTTGCTGTGTGTTGCCCCTTTGACTACTCTTTTCAATCATTGAAATAACGCTGACGAGCACAGTATGGCGGACAAGAAGGCGTGGAATTGGCTATTAAGATCCTGCATCAGGAGCTGAAGATTACAATGGCGTTGGCGGGGTATGTTCTTGTCCAGGCTCTATTATACGGCTTTACACTAACGGATATAGATGCCGCAAAATTAGCGATATTCAGAAGAGTCACTTGTCTATAGTCAAGTCTGACGGTGTTTTGGCGAGGTTGTAATTCATGCTACGATAGTTATCGGATCTTATCTTATCTCGGAATGTCCTTCCATATCAGAAATGCGGGGAAGTATAACTAGCCTAGAATCACATCAACGATTCGGTAAACTTCAATATCAAGCCATAATAATAATCAAACCACTGTTGCATAGATTGCCGACGCCCTGACAGGTACGAACTAAGCAAGTAATCAGTATGGCTACAAATACAAGCCCTTCCATCAAACTTCGCTTTGTCAATAATAATGAAATCCGTACCCTCAATGCAGAACACGCAGCTAAACATCGACGCTGCTTATTCTCTGGTTCTCAATTTGCTTCCCAGTATAAAATTTATTGACATTTGACGCTGACAAAACCAGACGCAGAACGTCGACAAATGAGCGACGAGCTCATCGATGCAGTCGTCGCCCAGGACCAAGATCCGGGTCAGGTTATGTTGGATCTGGAGCAGGATTGTCTGGAGACGTATCCAAAGGAGTCACAGTCATTTTCAGTGTTTCGGGGGCCATTTGGTGTTGCTAGGTGGTTGGGATCGGTAGAGGAAGCTCACGATGAGGATAGTGAACTGATTGGTTTCGATGGTATCGGCGATGCTGGTGATGTTGAGCCAGACGAGGACTTAACACGATGGCTTCTGGAGACAAGCCCCGAGAATAATATTGGGAACGATGAAGATATATTTGCGGATTTGTTGCAAGTTTCTTCTATCCCACAGACAAGCCCACCAAGAGCGAATGAATTCTTCAGAGACATCGATTTGAACACGTCCATATCACTGGACAACCATCGCATAACGTTCTCAATTAACGAGGATCCAAAAGCTTGGTTACTCCTTTCATATTACCGTGACCGAATAATCCGTCTTATTTCCCTCCGCCAGCAACAACATCCGCAACATGACGAGGTAAATGATCCATGGAGCAGTTTAGTCATGCCGTGCGCCATGACAACAATGGCGGAGCTGACAATTGGAGGATCGGCGAGTCATGCGCGTCTGGGGCTTTTAAATGCTCTTCTAGCTACCAGCGCCTTTCATCTTCAGAACTCGTCGACCGGCTTAACGGCTGATGAGTGGATGGTGGCTGGGGAGGAGTATACAAAAAGAGCGCGGGGGCATCTTGAGGCTTGTCTTGAAACGGGCAAGAGTAAATGCAAGTATAAGGAAGTTTTAATGGTCATCCTGTGTTTGGCGAATGCTTTCGTAGGTTCCCTTTCCCTTGTTTTTATATGCAGATGGTTAATGAAATAGATGGTCAAAGGAGACCCGGATACACGGTTAATGTATCTACTTTATGCTGAGCGATTCATCCGCGCAAATGGTTTTAATAAACCGACTCTTTCCCGGAAACGCCGCACCTTGCACCACTGCTATGCTTACATGCGCATCATGGCCGAAACAACCAGGTCCAGCAGCTATATTTCTAGCACAACTTCCCCGGGTACGGACAAGGGGAGTGAAGTTGACAACGACCAATTTCGCGTATCCCGGTGGACGACCCTTTCAGAGAACTTAATGGGCAGTGAGAAAGACCCCGACACAGCCAGACGCGATCTTCACCTCGAGGTTCCTGGGAACTGGACATCAACGCTTTTCCCGGAATTGTACGGTATTGCGGAGTCGTTTCTATTGCTGCTGTCGCAAGTAATCCGACTCGCGAACGAGCGGGACTTAGCCATGGATCAGGATGGAAATCTCAGTTTGAAAGAGTTTACACACCGAGCTAAGTCATTGGAGAAGAGTATCTACCGACTTATTTCTTCGTCTGCGTGCGGATCTGTATCTTCGCCATCTTCGTCGTCCACATCCACATCGACGGCGGATGACAACGCCATGCAGGCTACGTATACTGCACTACTCATCTTTTTTTACCGCCGCATACACAACGTCGATTTCATACTTCTTCAGCGTGAAGTCCTCACCGTCCAAGATTACTTGATGCAGATCGAGCAAGCCCAAGACAGCGCCGGAGGAAATAGACGGACGGTGTCTCTTATGTGGCCTGCATTTGTGGCAGCTTGTGAGGCGCTTTTACCTGAAACGCAAAGATACTTTGCAGAGTGGTTTGAGGGGTTGCTTGCGAAGACGGGGCTTGTGTCTGTTTCTTTGGCGAAGGGGGTGTGTGAGTTTATTTGGGCGAGACTGAGGGAAGAGGATCATGAGGATGGGTTGAGTTGGCCGGAGGTGTTACAGAATAGGGGGGTTAAGGTGCTGTGTATATAGTTGAGTGTTTTCTAGAGAGACACATTTATGCCAAGGTTTTATGCCTGTTGGCGTGTGGCAAATACGAGCAAAAAGGTCTCATTAGCGCACGGCGTAAGAGACGCCATAGAACGTGTCATCTAATACTAAAAACATCAAACCGGGTGTTAAGAAGGTTTCACGACGCCGATTTGGCGCTAATTTGGCGTAATTTAGAAACATATGAGACCAGTGTAGTAAGAGACTCGGTGATACAAATGACAAGTTTGAAGAGGGACGCTTAAAAATGCCAACAGCCTAGTACCTCATACAATGACTGACACATAAGCCTGGCGCAAATCAGAATATATCTATGCATAGAAAATGGGAGCCTGTACCGGGCGTGGAAAACATCTTGGCAAACAATGACCGGTCATCTCTTCAAGTTCACGTGTAACTAGTTAGTTATTGGCGACTATTTTGACTAACTATATAGTATCGTTAGCCGATAAATTTAACGATACTATTTGACTATCATGATCGTCAAGCCTTGGCTTTGACGATACTATTGCCGATATTGCAAAACTCTGACTATATAGTATCGTGAACAGCCCTGGCTGCTTTCCGCATCGAGTTGATACCCTCTATATAAGAAGAAATATCTTGATATAAGAATGGAACTCTTACTACGTAGTGCTAGCGGCCCAGCCCACCTAATATGCAGCTAACACGGCGGCGGCAAAAATATGACTCCGCATCCAGTTCCACAGTGAAGTCTCTGCACCGATACCCGAGAAACCCGGCTCTAAAAAATAGAGATAAAAAATCCTAAAATAAAAATAAAATGAAAATAAAATAAAAAATATCGGAATTACTTAGCATGTCTCGGTTTCGATCCGAGGACCTCCGGGTTATGAGCCCGGCGCTCTTCCCCTGAGCTAACATGCTTGCTTATGAGAAGTGAAGCTGTAAAGTAAAATATATTGGAATTCTGCTAAAACTGGTGAAATGCCGCTACAAACGGCGTACACATGTGTCGGAGAATGTGTATGAGTTGAAGGCTTTCTCTGTCTTCCTATCTATTATCTTTTCAATAAAAGATTCCACTCTGTTAGCTGGTTTCTATACGTATATTTTCCACCGTGTATATCATGTGCATTCTTCAGAAATACAACCTGAGGACTGCATCTTCGAGCATCTATGGACATAAATATATATCGGCTCAGCTCCCATATATACCTCACCACCCTGTATTATCTATATCCCCACTAGCGAACCCCGTGATACCTCTTCATCAAAGTTCTAGTTAACGGGACGCCCAGGAGACCTCGGCCCCGTTAAGGCGTCCCGTTAAGGTCACCCCGGAGAGGTGCCTGGGTGTTGACTTCCATATACGCTGAAGACTGATTGATATGCTTACTGCTCCGAATGACCAATCAGAGCCTGACCTGCCCGCCTATTTACGACATACATAGTTACATCCTGCTCATGCCTAAGCAATGCCCGCCTGGCGGGGCTGCCACGCACCATATGACTTTCATTACTACCTATAAACGGGGAGCATTAGTCTAGAAGCCCGCTTCTGCATGTATAAAGCCGGGGATAACGAGATTGAGAAATCCATACCTTGTGGAATCTCTTCAACCGATTGACAACTGACTATAGCACGAGCGGGGGATGTGATAAGTGACAAGATACTCATTTGAGACGCAGTCTCTTGCCCGATCCGGAATATGTAAGCCAAGGGTTTCCACAAGTTCCGAAGCTTTGAAGACAGATGTGCGAATCTGCGAAGTATCAATCTCAAGGAGTCTGAAATTCTCGCCGCCTTCATGACTCAAGTTCATCGAGCGCATCCAATTTACGGCGTGGCTTCTGTCGGAAAAGAGCGAGATGAAGATGCTTTGAATTGTTTTGTCCCAGCTCAAGTGCCGCCCCACACCAGCTCCAAAGTTATAACGACCAATTATACCATAGTTGTGAAATCTCACAGAATTGCGTCTCATCAAACTTGTATAAGGGTGGCGGTACATCGTCGCGGAATCATCATACTGAACTCGATAGAGCCGCGCCGGGATCTGGTCTACTTTAAGACTAATTTGGTCTATGTAGAGAATGAATTCCTCCATTATTCTTTAATCCAAAAGAGTTAGTATCTCGCAAACGAATGTGAGTAGAGAATTGTACATACTGTTTGAAATAGCGATTCTGATGTGAAGATTGAAGGATACCTTCACTAAAGAGCTGCGGCAAGGCTGAGAATAAGAACTACAGGAAATTGAAGGGTAACGATGATTTGGTCATATGGCAAAAGTACCCTGACAATAACATGAGTATCTGCTTTATTCATCACCTTACTTTTTCTGTAGTTCTCTTGTAGGGAGTGATTTGCCAGAATCGGTACAGAGTAGAAACGCAGTACATACAAATAGCGCTATACCAAATCAGGTAACATCATCATTCCCCACCATCGCGATTTGCAACCCACTCCAACATTCTCAGTCAGTCACATCACAACCAACAACTCAAACCAACACACTTCTCTACAACACACAAACGAACGAAAATGACAGAATACAAACCACCCCCCCTCCCCTCCCCCTTCACCCACACAACCCCACCACCAACCCTCCTCACCCAAGGCGCCGAAGCCCACCTCTACAAAACAACCTACCTCACACCAACAACCCCCGCGGCGCTCAAAATCCGCCCCTCAAAACCCTACCGCCACCCGATCCTCGACCGCCGCCTGACGCGACAACGCATCTTACAAGAAGCGCGGTGTCTCTCGAAGCTCGTCCGTGAGGGGGTTAGTGTGCCTGCGATTCTGGCGTTGGATTGGGAACCGCAGGGGCAGGAGGAGAAGGATGTGCTTGAGGGACGCGCTGGTGGGGCGTGGTTGCTTATGGAGTGGGTTGAGGGGCTTGTGGTGAGGGTTGTGTTAGAGAGGTGGGAGGGGTGGATGAAGAGGAATACGCAGATGGGCGAGGAACAGAGGAAGGGGGAGGAGAGTCGGGTGAGGTATCTGTTGAGGAGGATTGGGCATGTTGTCGGGGGGTTGCATAAGGCGGGTGTTGTGCATGGGGATTTGACGACGAGTAATTTGATGTTAAGGCCGACGGCGGCGCCTTTGAGTGTGGAGGAGGATGGTGGGAATCCGTCGATGGAGGGAGAGGTGGTTTTGATTGATTTTGGGCTGGCGGGGCAGAGTAATCAGGATGAGGATCGTGCTGTGGATCTTTATGTGTTGGAGCGGGCGTTTGGAAGTACGCATCCCCGGACGGAGCCGTTCTTCGATGAACTGCTGCAGGGATATCGCGAGGCGTACCGGGGCGCAGCATCTACGCTGAAGCGGCTGGAAGATGTCAGGATGAGAGGTCGCAAGAGGAGTATGATTGGCTGAATTCAGAGAGGAAAGTAATCATATTGACAAGAAGATACGCCATGCCGTCGTGTATATCATGTATCTAATGCAAATCACGACTCCGTCCGCACACAATTCCCTATATCAGCCAACGCAAAATAGCCCTTATTCTCAACAACCCCCCGGTCCTTGACAACAGCCGTATACTTCACCACCCACTGCGGCTCAACATCGCCCTGGATCCCATCCTGCTTATCCGGCGCCGAAGCCAGAATCCCCGCTCCAAACTCCCCAGGCCCCAGTAGCTCCCTCGTCGTCCCGACAGGCAAGATATCATTACAATCATTATGCGTCAACAGTTGAATATGCTCCTGCTTTGCGTAGAGAATCAAAGACTTCGGCACGACACAGCAATCCTTGAGGTTAATCTGATCGACGGAGGGCTTCACATTGGTATGCACAAGGAAGCGCGCAAGCCTCTCACTGCCAAACTCCGCAACACCAAGCTGCGAAATCATCCCCTCACTCTGTAGTTTCTCAAGCGTGCGCCAGGTCTGCACCATACTATCAAAGTCATCCGGCTGCTCCGCCTGTCCCTCACTTGCGCCCGTGCCTTCGCCTTCTGTCGCTTCATCCTCGTCTTCGCTATCATCTTCTGCGTCGAATAAAACACCCGGGAACGAAACGATAAGCAGATCGATCGAGTTAACGCCTAGCTCCTTGAGAACGAGATCGATCGCCTCCCGCGTATGCGCGCATCGTCTCGACACCGGGATCCCTGGGAGATAGAATAATTTCACGGTAATGTCGTACTGGGATCGTTCTTCGCTTAGGCGTGCTTGCGAGAAGTCGCGCGCGGGGATGTACAGTGTGCCGTCGTGCTCGGAGGTCCAGGATTTGTAGCCGTTCGTCGTCGAGGTGGTGCCATTGGAGGGGTTGGAGGAGGAGCCGTTGGTGGATTCATGTTGCGAGACTTGAAAGTTCGAGCGTAAGGCGTTGATTAGTTCGACGTTGGACTTTTCGGTTGTTGGGCGCCGGATTACGGAAGAGCCGCCGCCTTTCATGAGATTTCTTCGTTTGTTAGTCTGCTGTTGAGACCAGTCGGTGATGGCGGGGTTGAGGGGTTAGTCAGGTCTGCTACTTACGAGGTAGAGAGGACTAGCTTCATGGTGACGGTCAATACCAAGCGAATAGACTGAAGGTACAAGTATTTTTTTGATATCCTATCCTGGTAGATGATAAGACGAGCGATGGTTCGGTCTTGCTAAGCAGCCCCGTGATTTCTCCGCCGGCGGAATCTGGATTTATGCACAAGTATGTACTGCCTCAACTATCTACACGATCAATCTACATATTCTGCAATCTAATCATAGTCAAGAGTAGGATCCCAGTCAGTAGGAGAGTACTCTCCTGTGTGAAGCATATTGACTTCATCCTCCGATAAATCAAAATCAAAGACATCAGCGTTACCTTTGATGCGCTCTGCACTTGAGGATTTCGGAAGAGGAACGATGCCCTGCACGATCAGTCAGTGTCTGCCAGTAGAACCTGAAGTATAAGGGGCACTTACGTTCTGCAACACCCAACGAATCATAATCTGAGCCGGCGACTTGTTATACTTCTTCCCCAGCGTCTTCAGAATCCTCTCGTTGAACCTAGACCCATGCGCCAACGGACTGTATGCCTCAACAATGATGTCGTGTTTCTTCAACCAGTCGATGATATTCCGGCGGTCGCACCATGGATGAATCTCATACTGTCCAACGTCGATCTTGCTGCCGTTGGTGCTGTTGATGTATTCTTGAAGTTCCTCAAGATGGTGGATTCCGTAGTTCGAGACTCCGATCGATTTGACCTTGCCTGCTTGCTGGGCTTCTGTCAATGCGCGCCACGAGCCGAGTCGAGCTTCTTTGCCGCCGTAGGGTGCATGAATCAGGATCCTATTTCGTCAGTGCCGTTATAGACTAAAGAGGATGGGAAGGCTACGAACAAATCGATGTAATCCAATTCGGACTCCTGCAAGCAGTCATCAACTTGCTTCGCTGTCCTCCGGTTTCCCATCGCACTGGGGAGGATCTTGGTTGTGTAGAAGATCTCTGATCGGTCGATGCCGGAGTCTTTGATTGCCAGACCACAGCCCTTCTCGTTGCGGTACATCACTGCGGAATCGACCTGCTGCTGTTAGCTATCAAGTATAGTACATCGTATCCGGATAACAACGCATACATGACGGTAACCAGCATTGAAGACCTCCTGGAGAACTTTCGGTGTTTGCGAATTGGAGCTGCTTCAGTCAGCGTTATATTTCGACCGTGGCAAACGAACGTACATCAAATAGGACTGAAGTAACATATATTAGCCAAATCCAATGTCTCTATTCTCTTATTCAGACTTACACCAAAACCCAAGGCTGGAATCTCGTGTCCGGAGTTCATCCGATACTTGGTAGAGAGGCTCAAATTGGCCATGATGGGCGATGTGCTGTAGCGAACGTATTTAACGACAGGAGATAATAAAGGACGGGATTGAAATAGAGCTGGACGGATGGAAGACGAGAGCATAGAGAGTGTGTTGGATGGGGAAGTGGGATGCAGTTGTAGTATCGCTTTATATCCGAAGTGGGCATGACATCACCGCCGTCCCCATTTATCTACGAAATGCCATGAATTGTATAGAACCAAGTTATATCGATTATATAGTTATGTAGAGATAGCTCGCTGATATAGCACTGTGACTGATTCTGTCACTCCAATTAGAAATAGTTGGCAAATATTTACACAGAGAATCGTAACACGATGATGATGGCAGTAGTGATAGCAATGCAAGGGAACCTGTATCAAGCCAGAAATGCAAGCAAAAGCGATGTCAAAGCAGCGCTGGGTTTGTGGAATCCAAGTGGGACGGATCCTGACCAACTCCTGACAAAAGACAACAATAATGGACAGCAATATAGACGGCAAAGGAGGTAATAAGAATGATTTTATGAATTGCAGTTATCGCAACTGGACGTAGTTTCCTGCACGCATTCTCATTAGTCGCCTGATGACAAGCACAAAAAAAAAAAAAAAAAAAAGGTAGCAACTTACCAGGGAACTGTCCCTCGCGTCCTCCAACCTTGCCCGTCCACCATTCGTTCTGGTTGTCCGTTCGTTGCACGATTTCAACCACCTCGCCAGCCGAGAAGCTAAGGTCACCATGGGCCTGTGCTTCATAGTCGTACAGCGCCGTAACCGTCTCCACGGATGCCCGGAATTGAGACGGCTTGGGCTTGGGCTTGGGCGGTGGTGGTGCTGGTTTACCCTTGGCCGCTGCCGCCAAGCTACTGGCGCTGCTAGCACTGCTGCCAACAGCAGCAGCGGAGTACGGCGGCGGGGGGTTGTCGACTGTATCAGAAGCGTTGTTTGGTCGTGAATAGGTGCTCTTGTAGTCGCTACCGCCATCGGAACCAAACTTCTCCTTTGCGAAACTAGGCTTCGCACCCGGGATTGGTGGCTTCGAGCCGGGACGACGGCCGGCGGTGGTTTTATAGTGGACAATAGTAAGCTCTTCTGTCCGTTCCTTCACGTCACCCCGCTTCTTCTCAAACGCCTCTTCGACGTCCAGAGTAAGATCAAAGTAGCCAATGTTCATGCCCTGCATCTTGTCGTGTAGAGTGTAGAAGACGTTCAGCTGCATGTAGTAGAAGGATTGGAATAGCGGACGGATGAATTCGGCCTCCAGGGCGAACAGCTTCGGGAGTTCATCCTTGAGCAAGTCATTATAGTAGTTGAATTCCTGCGTAGCCTGTTCAACATCGCTTTCGGCCTTGTAAAGCGCCTTTTCATCCTTCAGCGACTTGTCCTTCTTATCCTGCAGCTTCTTCCAAGTGGCGCGGTGGCGGTCGTAGTCGAGCTGCTTGTGGTCGCGTTTCACGCCAACTTTGCGGATCACCTTGATCACCTCCAACAACTGGTCCGCAGGGCTGATGATCCGACTGTCGATCATATCCAGTTCGGGCGCAAGGGATTCTTGGAGCTCGCGAACGATGGTCTCGTACTCTTCGCAGGCGTGAATGCCTTCGGGATTGCCTTCGATGGTGTATGTACTGGGATCGGAAGCGCGACCGGAGATGGGCTTGTATAATTCCGTCATGGATTTGGAGAATTCGATCTGGTGGTTCAACATGTCTATACTGGATTAGCACTAATGCAGGGAAGAAACAAGCAAAACACAGCAATAAGTACTATTAATGGCATTGAAGTATTTCTGGGACTCATCGTGAAGCCTCTTGGTCTCCTTTTCGAGTTCCTGGAACCGACGTTCGGCATCACTGTAGACGGTATCCTTGGTGTGTTCGCCGATGTTGAACTTGGCCTTGAACGTCTGGGGCGCTCGTACGATACCCTTCTGGAAGCCTTTGAAACTCATGTTGGTGTTATCGATCCTTTAGGTCTCCTGCACACGTAGAATAATGGAGTCGAACCCCTCCGGCGGCAAATTATGGCGGTTCCGGCACTAGCGGTAATAGTGTAGGCACCCGACCCAGTGAGTAAGAAGAAAGGACAATGAAGAATGTAGGGAGAGACACGAAACCGGAGGACTCGCAGGTGGATTGGATATGGTAGGGCGACGAACGAGAGGCAAGAAGAAAGGAAATTAAGGAGAAAGAGCCGAGCTGGTGGGGAGAGAGAAAGAAGGTTCTTTTTTTGTAGTCGCCGGCGAAAAGAGACCATACGGAGTTTAGTCCAATCTCCTAGTGAGGTGCCCAGTGTGGCTTAGCTATGACATAAATGCTGGGCATTAGGCCCCTTTATTCCTGTACAGTACAGTACTTGTATTTGTACATAGACAGTGCTTGATCAGAGTACTAATTGTATATAGTCTACGGCTGACAGCTGTTCTAGTGTCACGGAAATATATGTCAGTTGTATCCGTACTCTGTACTCTGTACTCTGGTATCTCGTGGCGCAGTACGATGAAGTCATGACCAAATCAGGCAACCACAATCAGTCATGTGACTGCTATGTGCTGCGGGCATTGTTTGCATTAGACCTTAGTAGTGCTTGTACTGGTAACTATTTCTATTCTACTCCGTAGTACAGAGTAGAGCTGACATGATACAACAGCACTCTACAGAGACCAACTGCATATTGGATCATCGCAAATCCCCCGGAATAATCCTTACTCCGCTCGGACTCCGGATAAGGAACTCGGACCTCGGATAATTCAGTAAATCCGGCGATTAGCAATCAGACGCTAGTGATATAACCGGATCCAAACTTTTCGTCCGCCCGCAACAATCTTCCTGACACTTTTTCCTTCTCCTCTTTTCCCTACCAACTGACCACTGCCCTATTCGCATGGTGCAGTTGTAATATTTTCCTTCATTTATAATCATGTCCAGTGTTACAACATCAGCATTAAGACAGGCTTCGAGAGTCTATGCTCGTCGCTTGTCGACGCAGCATGCTTCCCTGTTCCCCCGGAGGGTGGCCGCCGCCACACCGGTGACGAGACGTGGCTATGTCACCGAGACCAAGGCTGGAAATGCCCAGGTCTCGGTGGATACCGCTATGAAGCAGGAGCAGAAAGCTTTCATGAACCAGACCGGCGTTCAGCCGCAAAATGTCGACCTTCCCGGCTCCGGCGTTTCCGGTGACGCTTCGATGAGCCCCTCCGCGGGGATATTGAAGCAGGCGACAGTGATGGACCAGGGTACCCGGCCCATCTATCTCGACATGCAGGCCACTACGCCCTTGGACCCTCGCGTGCTTGATGCGATGCTTCCCTACATGACCGGCATTTACGGCAACCCCCACTCGAGGACACACGCCTACGGTTGGGAGTCGGAGAAAGCAGTGGAGCGGTCGAGACAATATGTTGCTGACCTGATCGGTGCGGACCCGAAGGAGATCATCTTCACCAGTGGTGCCACCGAAAGCAACAACATGAGTATCAAGGGTGTGGCTCGTTTCTTTGGTCGCTCCGGCAAGAAGAAGCACATCATCACCTCGCAGACTGAGCACAAGTGTGTCTTGGACAGCTGCCGGCATCTTCAGGACGATGGATTTGAAGTGACATACCTGCCTGTCCAGAACAACGGTTTGATTCGGATGGAAGATCTCGAGGCGGCCATCCGGCCCGACACTGCATTGGTCAGTATCATGGCTGTGAACAACGAAATTGGTGTCATTCAGCCCATGGAGGCGATTGGAAAGCTCTGCCGCTCCAAGAAGGTTTTCTTCCACACTGACGGCGCCCAAGCGGTGGGCAAGATCCCGCTCGACGTCAACAAGATGAACATTGACTTGATGTCAATCTCCAGCCACAAGATCTACGGTCCCAAGGGTATGGGTGCCTGCTATGTCCGCCGTAGGCCTAGAGTCCGTCTCGAGCCCCTCATCACTGGTGGTGGCCAGGAACGAGGTCTGCGTAGCGGTACCCTTGCTCCCCATCTTGTAGTAGGATTTGGTGAGGCTTGCCGTCTTTCCAAGCAAGAGATGGAGGTGAGTTGATCTTTTTTTTTTTTTTTTTTTTTTCTCCCTCTTTTCGTGGGTTTTTCTTCTTTTATTCTCTCCAACGGCGGTGATTATAAGCTATATAATCATGCATGGCTTTCTGACCTATGCCTTGATGGTAGCTACATGCCATCAGGTGTGTTGTCAAGGCCCGTTATGACCATAGCAGGGGTAATGAGTCGTCTTACATGTTTTTGACTTCTTATTGGTGTTCATACATGGATTTGCAACGAAACGGATGCTAATGCATTGTTGAATAGTATGACACCAAGCACATTGAGCGCTTGTCGAAGCGCTTGTCAGAGGGTCTCTTGTCGATGGAGCACACCAACCTCAACGGAGACCCTGAGCACCACTACCCTGGCTGCGTGAACGTATCGTTTGCGTACATCGAGGGCGAGTCCCTTCTGATGGCTCTGAAGGACATTGCTCTGTCGTCGGGAAGTGCGTGTACCTCTGCGTCGTTGGAGCCTAGTTACGTTCTCCGGGCTCTGGGCACAAGCGACGAGAGTGCCCACAGCAGTATCCGGTTTGGTATCGGCCGGTTCACGACCGACAGCGAGATCGACTACGTCTTGAAGGCCGTGCAGGCTCGCGTTGACTTCTTGCGAGAGCTGAGTCCACTGTGGGAGTTGGTCCAGGAGGGTGTTGACCTGAAGACGATTGAGTGGAGCCAGCACTAATCTTCTCTCTTTTTTTTTTTTTTTTTTCCATTTCTCTGTTTGATTATGAGCGCTTTGGGATTATTGTAAACCTATTCATGTGGGAAGGCGTTGGAAATTTGTGGAAGGTTTGATGAACTGCACGTATAGTTAGCCTTTAGGTATTGTACAGAATAATGATGGAATGATGCAAATCTGTGTCCAAGTGATCTCGTACAGCAGTAATCTGTATAGATGTAGGCATTGAGCAGGACTGCGTCCGTCACAACAGTACTAAAGACATTCATAATGTTATTCTGCATTGTAGACGAGCTCAATCGTACTCAGCAAGATTATTTTATACGTAGAACCCAATGGAAAGTCGGGTAGACCATAGTACGAATAAGTATACTTGGTGCTCTATAGAGTGCCGTTGTATGGATAGACTCGCGTAGTCCAAATAAACTGCACCCGACAGCAGTAGCGGTCCTGGCGTGAGTGAGAGCGAGCACCGGTTAGCGTCTCGCTTAGCATTCCACACCTGGGTTGTGCCCTTCTCTGCCGCCGACAGCCGGGCCTGTCCACCAATCACAATGGCTTCCGGTCCATTTTCTAGCACTCAGGCTAAGTCTCGCTAAATACCGCCCCCTCTCGCGGACACCCAATGTCCATCCAATGGGGCCGATCAGTCCTGCTTGGTCAGCCGTCAATGGCGCCATCCTATATCGGACTTGCTGCGGAGTTTATACTTGTTCACCGGAGAGAGGCACGGTTGTTGGAGCCATGGGAATCACTATATTGGTTTCATGATGACTCGAAATCGCATAATGCCGCTATATCCGCGCTGTCGGTTTTCTTGCCTGAGTTCTATACTTGCTCATAATAATGTCTTTGCCTCTACTACTACTACTACAGAGATCGACACCGGTTTACTACTGACAACTCTATTGGCGTCGAATCCTCAGCTAAACCCGTAAATTGCGGGAATTAGAGTCCAGAACCCCCTCAGGAACAGAATCTACCGGTCCCCAATTCCCGTCCCCCCCTTCCTGCTACTCCTCTTAGCCGGCACGCATCATTTTCGTCACTCACGGAGAAATTCTCTATATCCTGCACAGATTGCAGTTATTAATATACGGAGTACTCACAGAAGGCGAAAAACAACAAAGTTCTTGCCATCGGGACCGTCCCGGAGATCTCTTATATCCTTTTCCCTCCCCCAGACAACCAGCTACTTCCCCCGTGGCAAGAGCACGTGAGCGCCCCCCGGTGGTTGTTTTTGGTTCCTTTTTTCACTTGAACGCTTGCCATCGATCTTTGATTGTGGTATTGTTCTTTTATTTCTATAATACACCCCCTTGTTGTTAAACTAGACAACATGCTCGCCCCCGTGCCGGATCTGGCGGACTATGGCATCTCGCCCGATCATGGCTTTCTTCCTTCCGAGTTGCCCCTCACAGCTTTACCAGATCCCTACTACGCCAGATGGGAGGCAATTGCGTCCAATCTACAGGGTCTGCTGTTGAGTAAGAGGATTAGAGAGACTGTTGACCGCTTACCGACATTGTCGACCTCATACCTTCAGTCTGAGAGCGAGTGGCGACGGGCTTATGTAGTGCTGGTGTTTACCCTCCATGCCTACGTTTGGGGAGGTCATAAGCCAGAGGAGGTATGTGTCTACTGCCCTTGCAATGATACGATGGTGCAATGGCTGACTCGATGGGTTTCAGAGAATCCCCCCCCAACTGACTATCCCCCTATTGGAAGTCTGCGACCACCTGGAACTCCCTCCGATAGCCACCTATGCCGGCGTGTGTCTTTGGAACTACAAACCCGTCTTCCCAGATGAACCCGCAGGAGACCTTAACAACCTGACCTCTATTAACACCTTCACCGGATCGCTGGACGAACAATGGTTCTACCTGGTTTCCGTGGCTATCGAGTCTCGGGGAGGGCCAACACTGCCACTGATGCTGCGGGCCATCTCAGCCGCACGTAAGGGTCAGAGTGGTGTCGTGACGGAGTGTTTGCATGAGATGGCAGAGCGGCTGGATGATATCGGTGCCTTGCTTGAACGGATGTACGAGAACTGTGACCCCTACGTCTTCTATAACCGGATCCGTCCCTATCTCGCTGGCAGCAAGAACATGGCCGAAGCTGGCCTCCCTGATGGTCTGCTGTACGATGACGGCAAGGCTCCGAAGTACGGTCAATATGGCGGAGGAAGCAACGCGCAGAGCTCGTTGATTCAGTTCTTTGACATTGTCCTCGGGGTGGAGCATCGACCCACGGGAGAGAAACCCCAGACCCCCGAGACTAATAAAGAAGGGGTTGTTGGCAGGCCGCGACACGGCTTCATCCAAGAGATGCGCTCCTACATGCCCGGACCTCACCGTCGATTCCTGGAGCATGTCAACGCCGTCGCCAATATCCGCGAATTTGTCGAGGCACGACGGTCAGACAAGGCATTGTGCATCGCTTACGATGCTTGTCTGTACATGCTGCGGACCATGCGCGACAAGCACATTCAGATGGTCTCGCGATACATCATCATCCAATCCAAGGGAGCACGGGAGCAAACGCAGCCAGCAGCACGAAACACTGCAAAGCCCCAAAACCTCGCCTCGACTCGCCCCGTCGATAAAAAGAAGCTTCGAGGAACTGGTGGAACAGCTTTAATCCCATTCCTGAAGCAAGCGCGGGATGAGACGGGTGAACCGGCCATTGACGCATGGGCGCGACGGTTACTGGGAGATGCACCTGTGCCATCGGGCTTTGCGGCATTGAGCAAGATCGGGGAGAATTCAGATGGACATATTGAGGTGGTGGGATTATCGGGGACATGGGCAGCTGATGAGAGTGAGGGTGGGATTTGCCATTGGTGATAAGACATACACTTGTCTTGTTTACTGTCTTCTTTTTGTTCTTGTTCATTTTGAGCGTTCTATGATACACCTGCTTCATACAGCCTCTTGGTTGATTTCTGATGTCTTACCGGTTTTGCCTTTTCTCATTTTTGCATACTGCATGTGATTGCATGAACAATTCAGGGGCTGCCATACAAGTCCATTCTCATCTCATTCCTGTAACTAACTCAATGATGATTGCATAATAGTTGTACAGCCACGCGGCCGATAATCATGATCTCTTAACATGACGCAATGATCGGACTCGATTAAGTTGGAAATTCTCTAGAAGAGTCCGGAATCCACCCATGATACATGACATCACCGCCATGATGTCATCACTTTCCTATAGATATAAAGACTTCTATACAACCATTTCGAGAAGGTAATCAGATCAATTGAATACAAACAATTACTTGACATACAAGACAATACAAGAACACAATCACAATGGCCGACAACAACTCTTCCACCCTCAAGTCTTACGTCGACTCTGCCACCGGCCTCGCCCAGCGCGCCGTTGGTACCGTCACCGGTAGCTCTTCTACTCAAGTACGCTTTCCTTACCCCTATCAAAAAACCTCCAAACCAAAGCTAACAATTGAATAGGCTGAGGGCCAAACCACTCAAGACCAGTCCGAGTCCGAACACGCCGCCAGCCACGACACCGCCAAACTCGGCCACGTAACCGCCGACCCCCAAACCGGCGCCACAGCACAGGACAACTCCACCCGCAACACAGGCTCCTGGGATCAAACCGTCGGTTCCGCTAAGGAGTCCGTCGGTAACTTTATCGGCAACGAGAATATCCGCCGACAGGGCGTCGAACAGAATGCTGCTGGTAAAGAGGCTGAGGCGAAGGGTCAGTTGAAGGATCTTGGTGAGGGGGTGAGTGATCGCGCGCAGGGGAAGTTGGGTGGTATTGGGGCTGCTGTTGTGGGGGATCGGGAGGAGGAGGAGAAGTGGAGGCAGGTTCATAATGAGGGGAAAGTTAGGCAGAGGGGGGCGGAGGAGGATATTGATAAGAAGGGGGGTGCTTAGATGTGATATGGGTTATATGAGTTATGATACTTGGTTTTTGTTATGTATAGGTTAATGTGATATCCATGGATTTGTTTGATGATCTTCTTGTTATCTTGTAGCCCTATCGATGGAAGGTGATACAGTAACCAATGCGGATGGTGATGTACCAGCTACGTTATTAGCTGCCTTTTGTGGGTATGAGGATATTTCTTATGCTTTTTATATTATGAGAATCATAGTACGCATGTGATATGAATCGACGATCTTATCTGCTGACCCTAATGGAAGGTACATAATGTAAAGGAAGGTAATCTAAGGAAGGTAATCATATCACCACTCGTATACCCGGAAGGTAACAACATCACCTCCTATACTTGTAGAATCGATTACCTTCCAGTATACTTCAACAATGCCAGAACTAATATTATAAATACCCCGTCCATCACCACCATTCAATCACCATCACAGACATCCTCAACCAGTATCGAAGCATCACAATAACAATTCACAATGGTAGCCCTCGACCTCTCCCTCCTCAACTCTCCCACCCAAAGCCAACTCTTCTGCAATGACCTCCTCGCTACCCTCAAAAGCCGCGGCGTCGCCCGTCTCGCCAACCACGGCATCCCTGAAGAAACCATCAACAAGCTCTTCGACATGACCCGCAAGTTCTTCGCCGCGTCCCACGAGGATAAAATGATTGCGAAGCATCCACCCGAGTCGACTCCGAATCGCGGATATAGTTATGTTGGACAGGAGTCCGTGGGGAATATTAGTGGTTTTGAGAAGGGTGTATCGCAGGTGAAGAGTGTGAAGGATATTAAGGTAAGTTATCTTCAACAAGGTATGAAAGATAGAAAGGGACTAATGAGGATAGGAAACATTCGACATGGGCTCCCCCACCGACACACTCGTCGACAACATCTGGATGCCCGAGGACAAAGTCCCCGGCTTCAAAACTTTCATGGAAGACTTCTACGCGCAATGCTTCGCCCTCGAACAAACCATTCTCATCGCCCTCGCGCGCGCCCTCAACGTCCCTGAATCACAACTCGTATCCCTCCACTCCGCGGCCGAAAATGAATTCCGTCTGCTCCACTATCCCGCCATCCCAGTCTCGCTGCTCAAAGATGGTACCTCCACCCGCATCGCCGAACACACTGACTTCGGGACCATCACGATGCTCTTCCAGGATTCCACAGGTGGTCTACAGGTCGAGGATCAAACGTGCCTGGGAACATTCCACGGGATCGAGTCGAACAAGACGGATATCATCCTGAATATCGGGGATTCGCTGCAGAGGTTGACGAATGATACCTTCCGCGCTGCGTGCCATCGGGTTACGTACCCTCCTACTGTGAAGATCAATGAGGGCGAGGGTGAGGAAGAGGATGAGGTTATTCCGGAACGGTATTCGATTGCGTACTTTGCGAAGCCGAATCGGAATGCGTCGTTGTTGCCGTTTTCGGAGTTTGTGGATGAGGGGAGGCCGTGTCGATATAATGATTTGACGGCTTGGGAGTATAATAATTTGCGGATTGGGAAGTTGTATCAAGTTGCTTAGATATGTACTATAAAGTGACACAGTTTACTATGTTTGTTTGTATTTAGCCATATGCCATATCGATGCTATTTAGTCTTTTCAATAACATTGCGTTCTGATAATGTCCGGCCAGCATTTTGCAGATAGTTCGAGAATGACCAATATTCTCCTAATGTTTTAGGACAAAGAAAACTTTTCTCTAGCAGATTCCACATCGTATTATCAATATCGTCCGTTTCGGTATCATGCACGAGACTCGCTCGTCAAACAGACAGCACCGAGTCTGTGAACCTCTCGAGGTGCCATATTATGAATCGACTCGTGGGAAGAAGGACGATAATCAAACTAGAAAAGTAGGGATAGAACCGTATAACGATACATGATATACGTTCGGATTAGAGATAAAATTGGACGAGAGAAGAAACAACAGGACGCTCGAAAGCGCAGCTCGTCAACACAGGATGGGCTAGCGGTGCGGTGTGCTACCAGCTTGCCGGTTGCCGCAAGTCTATCCCAGGCCAATATAGATTGTTTGATTGACCGGAAAGCAGACAAAAACATTAGAGTACAAAGACTGGTGTCAGCGTAAGCAAAGCCAGGCCCGGGTGTACTTCGGACTTTCAGTGAGTCGCTTGTGCCTGTCATGGCTGTCTGGTGACCTGGCAATGAAAACAACGTTCATGGCTACTTGAGGAAGTTTGATGGTGATTTGATCCAAGTGTTCATTGCTGTTCAACGCAATTGTTGATGATGCTCTTCTCAAGAAATATGGTGCTGCAGAATGCGAACTGTTAGTTTGATTCAAAACATGCTTGGGATGGGTCGTGACCCGACGTTTTCCAGTCCAAAGATTCGCTGGTTCGTCAGAGGTCTTGAGATGCCCAGTGCTATGAGCTTGATATTGCAGCTCCTGCTTGCGATAGCGGCATTGGTCTGGTAGAGTGCAGTGGGTGAGAGAACTCCTAGTCACATCATGAAAATCTTTGATCTCCATCAACGACACGGAGTTTATAAACAGGCCATCCCAGCTGTTGATAACCAGGATGGCTGCTACTTCCCCCAGGATGGCCCTACGACCTTCCTCGCGGCAACTTTTGAGCAATCCTCTGACGGTGGTCATTACTTCACTGCTAGATTAGAGGGGTTTGTTGGATTGATGTGTAAACACCAGGGACTGGTTCACGCTCCATGGGTCCATACTCCTGGATGTGTCTTTGCCGTGTGAGCTGGAGGCTTCAATATCCGGTTCTTTTCATGACCACATCAAGAAAGCAACACTCACGGCCAAAGAAATAAAATAAGATCCAAATAATCACTCAACGCTGTGTGGTGACACAACGGTCTCTCATGGTCCTCCTCAGTTGTTAGTTGACTTGTCTCGCTTTGTGACCTAGTGGTATGTATCAAGGCTGTTCCGATGTCTGACGGCTTGGCTGGAATAAATAAAAGGCACATAGAGTTCAAGTGACACGAGATCTGATCGAAGTTGGTAAGATGCGACGAAGAAAGGAGTAGGGCACAGGGCTGCAAGCGGTGAATCGCGGCAGTAACAAGCAAGTATGATAGTAGCGAACGAAAAGGAAAGCGTTGGATCATGCAATTTTATTTTGACTTCAAAGCCAGTCCTGCAACTGCCCAAAACAGCTTAAAACATAGAAGATTCACTTCGAACCATTCGTGGTGGTGGCATTATTGACGCCGGGATGCCTTTGTCCACCCGGTCTGATATTGTTCTTTGCCGCCGGCGTTGATATTGTCGTGATCCAACTCGACGGAGGCAACGAGAGACAAAGAATCCTCAATCGTCTTGTCTTGATTCTGTCACTGATTCCGCTCTTCTCTTCAGCTCTTGATATTGTTAAATTCGCGCTTCTCGTCATGTCGACGCCGTATTGTTTGTTTCGGCAGCGCTATAGCACCGTGATGACTCGCTGGTTGAGTTCTTCACTGCTGTCGAATTCGCTTGTTTGAGGTCTCTATTCTTCTCGAAGTTTTGTCTATTGAGTTATTCAACTTCTTCTTTTATCCGGTCGTCTTCCTTCTCATCTCTCTATACAACCCGGCCTTCGAATACATACACCTTCTCGTTATCACATCTACAGATACCACAATTGACAAGATGGCGTCGGACACGGCTCAAAGCTTTGATAGCAACAACTTCGACCCGTTCGAGCAGAACATCATCATGCACGAGGCAGATGGCACCCCGTTTCTAGTGTCTGTGAACTCTGTGGATGCGTGGCTCCAGTACTGCATCCGCATCTGCATCAACTACGGTTGCCAAATGGGCGCCTCGGCCGTCCTGCTCATCGTCCTGATTCTACTGACCAGAGCCGAGAAGCGTTCCTCTACCGCTTTCTGGCTTAACTCTCTGGCTCTAGTCTCCAATGTCGCCCGCCTGCTCTGCCAGCTCATCTATTTCACTGGCCCCCTCGTCCGTCTGTATCCTATTTTCGCGGGAGACTACTCCAGGGTTCCCCGCTCCGCCTATGCAGACTCGATTGTAGGCGCTGCCTTTTCATTCCTTGCCGTCGTCTTCATGGAAGTCTCCTTGGTCCTGCAGGTCCAGGTGGTCTGCGTAACTCTCCGGAACTGGTATCGACAGGTGCTCCTGGCGGTGTCTGTTCTCGTGGCCATGATTCCTATCGGATTCCGCTTTGCTTTGCTTGTGATCAACTCGATGTCAATCATGGATCTCGAAGTCATTTCGTCTACTTGGCTAGAAAATGCTACCAACGTCGTCGTTACTGTCAGCATCTGCTTCTTCTGCACTATCTTTGTCGTCAAGCTGGGGTTCGTCATCAAGCTACGCAAGAAGCTTGGTGTGCGAGAGTATGGTCCCATGAATGTTATCTTTGTCATGGGTTGTCAGACCATGATTATTCCAGGTACATCCCTTTCCATTTCTCCTCCTGATAGACTCCCCGCACTTTACTAACCCGTTGGCAACAGCCCTCTTCTCAATCCTACAGTACTTCGTCCACGTCCCCGAACTCTACTCTAACGTCCTAACCCTCGTCATCATCTCCCTTCCCCTCTCCTCCATCTGGGCCAGTTCCACCGTCGAGCAAAAGAGCCGCGTCACAAGCCGCACTTCGGACTCCCACCGCCACCTCATGAATCTAAACAGCTACAACCCCATGAGGACCAAGAACTTGTCGACGTCGTTTTCTACCGATACTACGACGAAGAACAGCATGGCCGCGAATGCTACGTGTTATGCGGCGCTTAGTTCGACTAGGCAGGTTGATCCGGAGTTGTCGAAGTATGGGATTTCGGTGGAACATGATTATTCCGTGCAGAGTCATCAGAAGGATGGGGGTGAGGTTTAGTTTACTTTGAGATGGTCTGGGCTTGGGTGTGATTTGAAATTGGGTGGCATTTTATTCGTGGTGCGGTGACTTGAAAAGATAATACCCCTTGTATTCTAATTGCATTGAAATAATAATCCATGGCATCTCGTTTAACTCGTTATTGTCAGTATGTAGCAATGGTTATACCTCTATAATACATTTTAATTATCGTACAAAATCGCCTACTTGGCCAAAAACTGCTGAAAAGCCTTATGCTCAATAACGACATTCCCAACAGCCCTGAGCTTCTTCCGTCCCTCCTTCTGCTTCTCCAGCAACTTCCTCCGCCGACTAACATCACTAGCATGCAGCTTCGCCAACACATCCTTTCGGTACGGCTTGACCGTTTCACGCGCCACAACCTTTTTACCAACGGCAGCTTGGATGACGATTTCGAATAGTTGTCTGTCAACATGCTCTTTGAACTTGGTCACCCATTTCCGACCCGTGCGGTCGATCTGGCTTGCGTGCATGACTCGCGAGACGGCGTCGACGGGTACTTTGTTGACAAGGAGTTGGAGCTTGACGACGTGGCCGGCGCGCCAGCCGGCGTCTTCGTAGTCCAAACTGGCGTAGCCTTTCGTGGAGCCCTTGAGTTTGCCAAAGAAGTCGTCGACGAGCTGGGCGAGGGGGAGTTGGTATTTCAGGATGACCTGTGTCGGGGTGAAGTAGTCGAGGCTTTCTTGCTCGCCGCGGTTGGATTCGCAGAGTTCGATGGCTTTGCCTAGGTATTCGTCCGGGAAGGTTAGGGTGGTTAGGACGTAAGGTTCTTGGATCTCGGCGACTTTGCCGCGGAGTTCGTCTTCGTCGGGGAATTTGGCCGGGTTTGTGATGATGTCTTCGCGGCCGTCTTTCCAGAGGACCTTTACGGGTACCGAGGGTGGGGTGATGATGATGCTGGCTCCGTGTTCCTGGCGTAGACGATCTTCAAAGACTGAACAGTGCAGGGTGCCTAGGAATCCTAGTCGGAAACCGGCACCAAGCGCCTCGGAGGACTCCTTCTGCACGTGGATACTTCTGTCGTTGAGAATGAGCTGGTTGATACTGTCTTCCAGGTGCTCGAAGTGGTCCGCGTCCACGGGGTAAGCAGCCACGAAAACCATGGGCTTCGGCTCCTCGAATCCAGGGAGCGGTTCCACGGTTTTCTCGGATCCTACTGTCGTGTATGTGTCTCCGATCTTGGCTTCCTTGCTGCGTTTCATTCCCGGGTTGAAGTAAATGTATCCGACTTGGCCTGCACGTAGGACCGTCTGCGACTTCTCATTCGGGTACATGATGCCAACCTCGCCAACGTAATACTTGATTCCGGTTGCATACGATATCACTTGTTGACTGGGGCGAAGTTCACCGTCGAATATGCGAACCAAGCAGATGACGCCTTTGTACGAATCGTACCACGAGTCGACGAGAAGCATCCGTAACGGCTTTTTACATTCACCTACGGGACTTTATCTTGTCAGCTACAGTTCTAAGCGAATGAGACTGGGGATACGCACGCTGGAATCTTGTCAACAACCGTGGGAAGCACTTTGGGCACATTCAGCCCAGTTTTCGCTGAAACCCATACTGCATTGTCTGTTTCCAGCTCAAATGAGTTTCTCATCTGCTCGAGCGCCCGCTCGGGCTCAGCCGATGGCAAATCAACCTTATTGAGAACCGGGATCAACTCCAATCCCTGAGCAAAAGCAAGGTAGAAGTTCGCAACGGTCTGCGCTTGGACACCCTGGCTCGCATCGACCAGAAGCAATGCTCCTCCACAACTGGCATAACTGCGCGACACCTCCGCACGGAAATCCACATGTCCCGGTGTATCAACCAGATGCAGCAGATAGTCCTCCCCATTATGGTTGTAGATCATCGTACAGGTCTGCGCCTTGACCGTGATACCCCGTTCTCGTTCGACATCCAGCTTATCCAGCACTTGCTTGTTCGTACCCGGTTGGATCGTGCCCGTCAATTCCAGAAGCCGATCGGAGAGCGTACTCTTGCCATGGTCGACATGTGCAACGATGCAGAAATTGCGATATCGTTCGATCGGGATCGCGGCGATGCGCTGTTCTAGTTCGCCTAGCGGTTTCACTGTGTGAGACCGCGCTGCTTGCCATAAGGCTGTGTTGGTGAAAGACCTCGTTGTTGCTCTAAGAGCAATGCCGGATGGCAGCGGCCTGGCGGGGCTTTTCGCAGCCAGGCAAGTCGGTGCTGCGCGCAGCCATCTGGCTAAGTGCAGGCATCCTCGCATCGGGAGTTCTGTAATGGCATGGGAATTACTGAATATCCCTCGTTTTCGCTGCGTATGCGCGTGGTAGCCAAATCTCGATCGGGAAAAAGTTGAAGGTGCGGCTCTGCGGAGAAACGAAAAAGACGGAAAATCGAATTGCTGCGGCGACTATCGGAGTAAACAAAACACAGCAACTCACGACAATATTTAACTGGACATACTACACTCACTATCTACACCATGGGAGAGAAGGACAAGTCCAAGGTTCACAAGCTGTCACTCAAAGGTGAGATTGCAGTTATTGTGGTCGCACAGTCCAGGATGCTCACACAGCGCAGGGTCGGCCAAGCTCGTGGCCGAATTCGTGAGTAACGCTCAATCAAGCATTGAGGTGATAGGATACTGACCGAGGAATTACACAGTTTGAATATTCAATCAATTCAATCCTGTAAGTTGTGACTGGGAGTGCAGTGATGGCTTGATCTCATGCGACCCAGTTTCCAGCGAGGAGTCTACCCTCCGGAAGACTTTACAACGTGAGTCCCCCCCCCCCTCTTATTTATTCAAGAACAACTTCTAATTGACTACCTCTAGAGTCAAGAAATATGGCCTCAACATGCTCGGTTCGTCCTCCTCCCTCGTCCGCATCCACAATCACCACTGACCGATCCAGTCTCCTCCGACGACCAAGTCAAAGCCTACATCAAGAAGATCATGTCTCAGCTCAATAAGTGGATGATGGGCGGAAAGATCTCGAAACTGGTCTTGGTTATCACCAGCAGAGAGACCGGAGAGCATGTGGAACGATGGCAGTTCGATGTACGCCCGCCCTTCCGAAACAGACAACACCAACAACAACTGACAAGGGCGATATTCAGGTTGAGATATTCAATAAGCACAAGCGGAGCAAGTCGGCTCAGAAATCGGGTGATAAGGAGAACACGGGGTGCGTTAGACTCATAAACACTGTCCATACGTCGGAAACTAACATTCATTTTCTACAGTGACGCCGAGTCCGCAGCCCCCATCGAGAAGACCGAAAAAGAGATCCAAGACGAAATCCAAGCCATCTTCCGCCAGATCACCGCCTCCGTTACCTTCCTCCCCGTTCTAGACGGCGACTGCACCTTCAACGTCCTGGTCTACGCCGATGCGGACTCCGAAGTGCCGGTTGAATGGGGCGACAGTGACGCCAAGGAGATCAAGAACGCCGAAAAGGTGCAGCTGAGAAGTTTTAGTACAAATAATCACCGGGTCGAGACGTTGGTCAGCTATCGTCTGGCTGATTAGAGTGATAGGAGGGGTGTTTTGTGGTGGGCGTTCTGGTTTTATTGCATCTCGGGTTTTGCATTATATTCTAGGTTCTATCAATAATGATTGATGTGATATGCATACATTTATAAAATTCTTCCTGGTATCACGAACTATGCCAAGGCAACTCCTCCATCTTACCAAACCACTCATTCCCACCTCCCCCATCCCACCGCACCAAATCCTCAACAACCAACTCCAATCCTACATTAACAAAGACCCCATCCTCCATCCCAGCCTCCCATCCACGCTTCACCCTCTTCCCCGCCAACTCCGCCTGAACGCCATACCGGTCTCTACTCCACAGACCAATCCCGCTTTTCTCTTCGCCTGCAATCAGAGTCTCAACAGGCGTCACGCTCTCGGGGGGATTAATCCCAACCACGCCAACTTTCCGGTTCTCCGCGTCTTGTTTGCTAGAAACAGTGACGGGGACTAGTCCGACGGCTGGAAAATGGAAGTCCATGAATCTCTTCCGCTTGAACTCGTGCGTTACAACCGTGACACGCGCTGGATAGAATCCCATAAACAATCTAAACCGGAGTAAAGAGAATAGTACGTTCTGGTATGAATCCGTCGCATGTGTTTCGGTAATAACTTGCGAGGGATTTATCTGTTGCGAAAAGCCGAAGAAGTCGTTATCTTTGACCAGGTTCTGTGATGTATCAGTCACTGGCCTTCAGCGTATACTGTAAGGGAATTATGTACCATATACGACTCGCCCTCTGCTAAATCTGTCCTCCCTCTCTTCGTTGCCCCCCTGAATCAATTAGAATAATATCCTAGACGATATTGATTAACCGAACGTATGCATACCCCGAGAACACAAGTACCCCACACGAATCATCCGCCAACGCCCGTAATCCGGCCTTGACATGTTCCGTGAACGTCGGCGTTTCGCCTCGTTGGAATGGTTCTATGGCCCTATGATCTTGTCAATTACGACCGATCCCGTTGTTGGAGTAGATTTGGAAAGGAAAGCTACGTTACCATTCATCTTCGGAAAGCCCGTTCGTGGGACCACCGAGGTATATTGCATGGCAGCATACGATGATTAGATGATTGCAGCGCTGTTGTTGCATCTTGCTCGATAGAGGCCAAGGAGTCCTTAATTGAGGATCTACGCGATAACGTATTCCACGGGCGAGCGGCGCACACGGGCGAGCAGCGCACCCTGTATTCCCACATAAATGCGCAACTTTTGAATGCTTATATCTCAACAACAGCTGAATTATATGGAAGTGTACTAAACATATTGATTGCTTATTTACCAGTATACAAAGAGGCTTAGGCTATCGAAATTCGAGACTTGCAAATAATTGTCTTAAATACACATTGTATCATAAAATACAGCGTAATTAATATTAACTTGATAATTAGGCTATAACATTCTGCAGAATTCAGTATACATAATATCTATAGTGTACAATTGCACCATATACCATATCATAGAAAAATTTTTTAAATGTGAGCATTCAAAAGTTGCGCATTGATATGGGAATATAGGGTGCACTGCTCGCCCGTGTGCGCCGCTCGCCCGTGGAATAGATACACCGTGGAATACGTTAGTTAGATGACCGCTGTTGGTATTACCTAAGCCATATATGTGAGACTGTAAGACTATGTAGGAACAATCTGAGAAATTCATATTGATCGGATAATGACTGCATATTCATAAATCCGCTGAGACATGCCAATTAGACGCCACAATATGATAACTAATATACAATCAACCTGTCCCGAAGAGATCCAGGCGCCTAGTAAGAAAGAAATGTTTGCAAAGTGCTCCTGTAAGAATGCCAGCCAGTAAAAGTAATATAACAGAAACAGAACGCCTCTTTCAGTTATGATGGATTGAAATATAAGAAAATGGCTCACAGCGCGTATGCTTATGCCAGATATTCGAGAAAATGATGCAGATGGACACTGACTATGACGGTTGCACACAGCATGTCGACGTACAACGATAAGTCGAAGATATGTGGAATCAAATCACGATTATGATATATGCAAAGATGCTGTAATATCAAAAAGCCAATATCAAGAGGTTTCGAGTCGGCATAAAGTACGGAGGGTGAAGAGAACTAGGTGAGAGGATCATGGCGGAATGTGCAATCGTCGCCCTTTAGGCACTTGCCCTCTTTCCAATATCGACACGGAACTATTCCAACCTTGGGCTGTCGTCTATAGTCAGTATCATGTTCACTTCGGGGAGAACTCGTATAACTTACGTGCTTCTTATGCGGCCCATTAGGTCGATTCCGTTTGGCCGGGTTGAATTTATCATCACCAGCGCCGTCAAACCCGCTAGTCTCACGCATGCGTTTGCGCTCCGGATCTTCGTAAACCTGGCTCGACGGGTTGCCCGCTTGGTTTTGGTTGTTAAGCTGGGATATAATGGCGGCAAGGTTCGGAGCAATTCCAGGCTGCGACTGTGGAGCTGGTGGGAAGACAGACGGCGGCTGCATCTGATTTTGAGCATTCATGATGGAGAAAATATTCCCAAAGTCCATGCCTTGCGTGACTGGGGGCTGAGGCATAGGGAACTGGGGCATTTGAGGCAGCGGTGCCGGCGCTTGTTGCTGGCGGAACATGTTCACTGTCCGCTCAAGGTCAGATGCAGGCACCTGCGAGACTGGCTGCTGTGTGGGAAGAGGTTGGGCCGGTGGTTGCGGTTGTTGCTGCTGGGTTGCACTTTGGATGATCTTCAGCAGGTTGGAGATATCGAACTGGTTCGTTGGTGCAGCCGGTTGCGTAGCGGGTGCCGGTTTCGGGTTGACATAGGCGAAGTACCGTTCTTGTCGAGCCTTGACGTGGTCGGGCAGTTCACCAAGAATCTGCACATCGGGGACGATCTCATCCTCACTGGGCGGAGGTGGCTCTTTCGGTGATGGCGGTATGTCAGCAAGCGAGGTGTAGAACACCATAAGCGTAGTAGCCTCCCGGTGCTCTTGAGCTTGCTTCTCTGGGCTAATTGGCTCTTGAGTACCCCCACGCTTGTTGTAGTTCCTGGCACGATCATCCGGTGTAATATCGGCATTATCAATTTCTAAATCTGTTAGCACGTAGATCAGACGTGGAAGCTTCAATGATAGCATACCAGATAGCTCGTGGTAGCCAAGCAGATTCTCCTCCTTGATGCCACCTTCATCTTCTTCGCCCAGTTCATCTAGGTCTTTGTGCAACTTAAGAATGCGACCTTCGCCTTTCACATCGCCAGCTTGCCGCTGTCGACGATCACCAGGACCAAGCTCCTCTTCAGGGTCATGTGTGAAGAGGCGGACTTCAGTCAAGGAATGATCAGGCTTCCAACTAACACGCAGCCTACGGCGACCTTCCTTCCGGAGCCTCTTCTTCCGCTCCTCTTCAGTCTCGGGAGGCTTATCCTCAGTAGGCTCAACAGGACCGGGATCTTTCGGCTTGTCAAGATCTGCCATGATATCGCCAAGTGAGAATGCCGGCTTGGGAGGTGGTGGGGCCGCTTCTCTCTTCTTCTCAGGGACACTGTTCACTATTAGAATGTCATATATTATGTTGCGATGGTCATGGATTCTTACTTCGACTTCGCGGCTGCTGCGGCTCTCTCTGCATTCGAAGTCCCGGGTCTTTTCTTAGCAGAGCTCAAACTTCCAAAGAGATTGGTTGGCTTGGGAGCAATGATGTTGGCCTTGGGACGTGCAGCGGTTGCAGTCGTTGCTTTGGCGTCTTGCCCTGTCTCCTGTGGACGCTTGGCCGTGGCACTATTGGCGATACCGGTACTTCCAGGTTTCGAGGGATTCTTGGTATTCGAGGTGACGACCATCCGTTTAGCAGCAGGTTGTACACTCCCCTCTCTGCTCTCACCGTCTCGAGGACGCTTCGAACCAGCCGCTTCGACACGAGACCCATTGGTGGCTGTAGCATCGGGAGTAGTATTTTTGCTGGGCGACTCTTCCTTAGATCCTTGTTTGCGCTTCGTGGATGAAGCAGCGTTGTCTAGAATTCTCTTTGTAAGATCCTTGACGCTTTGACCACCCTTCTTTGAGAACCTGGGGAGCAATTTGGCAACGTTGGTTTTCTGAAGCACGTCCTCATCCACCGTGACAAAATGAGAAAGTAACTAAATTTAGGACAATCATTAGCCTTCTTTCCGTGGGAAATGTGAGTAAATCTGCTATATAATCTACCTTTAGAATGTTGACCGTCAATGCTCCGTCAACATCGGCAGCTTGATGACGGTCCAGCAGGAACGAATACATGGCAGAGACGGCCATGGGGTGTTCACCCAACCTAGAAAATGTTAGTTAAATAAACATAAAAATAAAGACGAAAACAGTCACGGCAATGTGTGCGAAACAGATCGAAGGAATTGATGAGCCATAGTCTCCCCGAATATCACTCGTTAAGGAGAATTTCCGCTAATGGCTCAATTCTCCTCAGCGTACCCTCACGGTGATTTGACTATGCAGCCCATTTTAATAGCGGGGTTGCAAAGGGAGAGAGCAAGTTCTTTCGTCTCAAGTCGCTGGGACGTATACTGAGGTATGTATTGCCCATGGACCGTGGAGAACAAAGACGCTCGCCCTTACTTAATAGCCAGTTTAAAGAGGCATGCTGAACATCCACACTAGGAGTATTACAGGGGGAGAGGCTCTCAATTCGCTTCAGAGTTCTATAATCACGGCACAAAGCTGCCACGAACGTGAGAAAAACGATAAGGAAAAAGACATACTTCTCAACAATCATCGGATGGCCCATTTCCAGAGTGGTACTGACAACCACATCCATGAGGCGCCGTTGGAGGACAACTTCGTTTTTGAGTCGAATTGCCTTGTCGTTTTCACCCTGATTCTCGGCCGTCTTCATGGCTTGAGAACGGTCTTTCCACGTATCTCTTACAGCCTTGACAACGTTCTTAAATGCGACCAGCGCATTCTTGACTTTCTCGGAGTTGGGTCGTCTGTTACGTGGTGACCAGACAGCCCAAAGGGCATCATATCGTGCAGCAGCAAGCGGCTCGCTGGGACGAGTTGATGGGATAGGAGAGGGTTCTTCGGGGGGGAGTTGAATCTCAATACTGGAATCACTATCAGAACCGGAGGATGACCCGTCACCTGCTTGTTTCCCAGCTCGTTTGGCCTGAGTCTTCGCTTGCTTCTGAGCCGCGGTTTTGTTCTGAGGGGCCAGTAGTTTCTTGCCTGCTGGGGCTATTTCAATCAGTTAGCACGTGGGACATAGGAGGAACCATGCATTTCTGAGCTTTCTGAGCATACCTCGCGCGTTATTGATAACTACCTCCACCTTTGGAAATTTAGCTGCGATAGATTGGTTACCCATGGCATGTTGGTTCGAGGGCGGCGCTTGCAAGTCGTTCCGGTAATAATTGAATGGTCTAGGGCGAAAAAGTTAGTTTTGTGTTGTTACCTTTAGAAAAACAAAACGAAAGAACATACTTCGAATTGCTAGACCGTTCAAAATCCGCCGGACTTAGATAAAGGAAGTTCTCGTTGATGGGTGCGTGCTGTTGATTCCCAGATTGGTGAGGAGTGTTAAGAAATAGAGGGTTGATCGTCTGCTGGTTCGTGGCAGGATCAGAGAATCCATTCGGGAAATTAATCGAGGTATGCTGTTTTCAGTCAGCTAAAGACCGTTATGCAAGGGCCATACGGGGCAGTGCCCTACCGAAGCTTCTTCAGGGAACCCCGGAGGGATAGAGTATTGGTTGATGGGATTCTGTTGCGCATTTGACTGGTATGGAGCGGGGGGTGTAGGCTGCGAAGGAGTCGCTCGCTGTGAGGACGGCTGTGTCGAAATATCAGGCACGGAGAGGCGTTGCGGAGGAAAGAAGTCTTGTGGGAATGGGATGGCGTCGAAAGTCGTGCTATCTGACGGAATCGATTGCGAATCGAAAGCAAGCTGTGACTGAGGAAATTGGTGGACTTGAGAATATTGCGGCTGTACGCCAAGTCCCTGCGGTTTGGATGATGGCATTATTGGTTGATATAGGGGATTGGGTTGCCATGACTGGGGTGTTGACGAGTAGATTCCATGATTCTGCTCCTGGTGGCGCGGGATCTGGTTTCGTGGCTGCGGTTGCTGCTGGTGGAAAATCGGATGATCCCAGCTGATCCCCAGTGGCTGCTGTGAAGCACTCGGTTGCTGTGGCAGCTGTGACTGTTGCGGAAGTTGCGGCTGTTGTTGTTGCTGGAGATCCGGTGCGGGATACAGTGAATCGAGGGTATTCCAGTATTCGGGAGGAAGGGAGCTGGCGGTGACGGAGGAACGGTGCAAGCCGGTCGGGGTTTGCGATGGATTCTGATCCATCTTAAATTCTCTCCTCCCCTTCAAGGAGAGGCGAAACGGGTTTCTTGTATACGGAACGAGTAACGACTGTTAAGAAGAGGCAGTAGTAACCCCAGGATCTCAGGTCACATGCACCCACGTGCAAGCGTTACCGTATTGGGAATAACTGCGACAGTGGAGTATTCAACGGCGCGACGTGATTGGTTGGAGCTAGCTCAACGGCTGTGCAGGTGATATTCACAACACAACTGGGCAACGATTCAAGATTGAGATAAGGCCTGGTTGGAGTAGAAAAATATAGGAAAAGAATAAGTAATTTGCCAAAATTGTTGTATAACGTGTATCACGTAGGTAAAAGTGTGAAGAGTAGTCGTTAAGAAAGTAGTTAAGGCACCAACCTATTCTTGGCGATTCCAGCCTCAGGCTCCCTCAGGCATCAAGGAGTGACAGCGGTGAGTTATTGCCGTTTTTTGTGTGGCTGTTCCCCTTTTGCAACGTGCACCGCGTTCTTTAAGGAATATTATAGAGATGTATTGTAGATTCAATCCTCCTTTTCTTTCTCTTTTAAGGTGCTTTCAATAGCACGGTATCCCTTATCCTGTAGCTTCTCTTGTATCTCCTTCTCCGCCTTGGTTATGTGGCCCAGTTAGAGCTGCGCACCTCTTTCCCTCTGCAACTTGACTCAAAAAGAAAGACACAGTGAGGGTTATTAAAGACTGCAATGAAGCAGTATATAATTCGCTTTACGATAGAGTGGCTGATGGAATCAGATAGGGAAGGGGGAGAATGGTGATGTTGGCGAGTTGTTGTTGGAGGTGACGAGGAAAACTTCGCGGTTGTCGGGTTGCGTTGGGCTGGATGCGGTACTATTACCCTTTGGGTATAGTGTATATCACGTGATTACCGACCAATGACTTTTCCCTTTCGGGCAGTGTTTGCATCAGTGTGCCGCTTATGTTATCCTATCCCGGACGGAGCTTCATGCCAGGTGGAATCGCGATACAGTATTATACAGAGTACTCTTATTTGCATGATTGAACGCTGCTGTGGTCTGTGATTATCTATTCTATCTTCCCGCTACGACTTCCCTTATCTGGTTATATGTGTCATGACTCTGAGCCCAATTGAATCCTCGCCGTGAAAGTCGAATACCATGGCATCACAATCAATGTCTCTACGGGACCGCCAGGTCGGTAGGTTTCCTGTCGAATCGTCTCTGTTCGTAGGATAATACTGACAGCCTGTCGCAGCGTCTATTCAAAAGATCCTCAACCTGAACCAGGATCCGCCTGCCAACGAAGATAACCCCCACGATACGTCCGCTCTCACTCACGCAACTCCGATACTCAACCAAGATGGCGATCCGATTTGGAAAGTGCTGGTTTTCGATAACATGGGAAGAGATGTTATCAGCAGTGTGCTCCGGGTTAACGACTTGAGAACATGGGGGGTGACCATTCATTTGTATGTGGCCTGGCAGCGACGGGGAAGTCGCATTTCTTCGGAGCCATGCAGCTAACGAGATTGGATTAGGAACTTGACCTCTGCACGATACCCTATTCCCGATGTCCCCGTCATCTACCTCGTCGAACCAACTCCTGACAATATCAAAACGATCACTGACGACCTGTCACGCGGACTGTATACTCCTGCATATGTCAACTTCCTATCATCCGTTCCCCGACCATTACTGGAGGATTTCGCGGGCGAGATAGCTACAACCGGGACGGCGGAACATATTGCCCAGGTCTTCGATCAATATTTGAACTTTATCGTTGCGGAGCCGGATCTCTTCAGTTTGGGTCTGGGAAATGATGCCTACTGGAAGATCAACAGCCCGCAAACGAGCGATGAGGACCTGGACGGTGTCGTTGACAAGATCGTTAGCGGATTGTTTAGCGTGAGCGTCACGATGGGTATGTACATGCTGTCCTCGAGTAAGGGAGTTTGCACCGGCTAACAATGAACAGGCGCAATTCCTATCATTCGGTGCCCCAAAGGTGGAGCTGCGGAGTTGATTGCGACAAAATTGGACCGAAAGCTGCGCGACCATATCCTGAATTCTAAAGACAACCTCTTCTCTGGTCAGAAGAAAGGCGCAGCTGGCGTCCCTTCGTCCCGCCCCGTTCTCGTCATCGTCGACCGCAATGTGGATCTGGTACCGATGCTCTCTCACTCGTGGACGTACCAATCACTGGTGCAAGATGTCCTCCAGATGCGACTCAACCGGATTACAATGGAGGTAGAAGACGACGCAAATCCCGGCAGAGTAACAAAGAAATCGTACGATCTGACCAGCAACGACTTCTTCTGGAAGCGCAATGCTGGAGCCCCGTTCCCACAAGTGGCCGAGAATATCGATGCGGAGTTGACGCGATACAAGGAGGAAGCCAATGATATCACGAAGAAGACAGGCGCTTCTTCAATTGAAGACCTCCAGAACGACACTAGCGCTTCTGCACAGCATCTCAAAGCAGCCATCACCCTACTTCCAGAACTGCGGGAGCGCAAAGCTATCCTAGACATGCATATGAATATTGCAACTTCTTTGTTGAAGGGTATCAAGGACCGCCAACTCGATAACTTTTTCGAACTCGAAGAGAACGCTACGAAACAAACCAAGGCCCAAATTTTGGAGTTGATCAATGACCCTGCCAAGGGCAATGAACCATCAGATAAGCTTCGTCTCTTTATCATCTGGTTCTTGAGTACGGAGACTGAACTGTCGCGATCCGACATGAGCCAATTTGAGGAGGCTCTCACCAAGGCAGGAGTCGACGATGTTAGCTCTCTCGCCTATGTTCGACAGGTCCGTGAAATCACTCGCATGACCATGATGACGACCGCTGCGCCGCAGGAACAGTCGTCGGATCTGTTCAAGGGATTCTCCTCGCTATCGAACCGGCTCACGGATCGGTTCACGTCCGGAGCCTTGGGCGCCAATTTCGACTCCCTCATTTCCGGTGTCAAGAACTTCCTCCCTGCCAACAAGGATTTGACTCTGACCAAGATCACCGAGTCAATCATGGACCCGACAGCCGCTTCTAGTTCCGCCATTGCGAAGACTGAAAACTACCTCTACTTCGACCCCCGCAGCGCCAACGCTCGTGGCGCCATGCCTCCCGCATCTGCATCTCGCACACAACCCCCCGGCACCATGGGCGCCCCCGGCCCCGGAACAGGCGCCAGCTTCGGACAACGCCGCCAAGCATTCAACGAGGCCATCGTCTTCACAGTGGGTGGTGGCAGCATGGACGAATACGGAAACTTGCAGGAATGGGTCTATCAACACAATCACCCTGGCGGTGATGCTTCAGCTGCTGGCGGCCGAGCGGCAGGGTCGCTTAATGCGCCTAGGAGGCGCGTGGTATACGGCAGTACGGATCTCATGAATGCCAATGAGTTCATTGCGGAGTCCTTGGGCAGACTGGGAAAGGAGAGCTAAAAGGCCTGGTGGTATGTACGTAATAAAACATTGCTTATAATAATACGATTGCATGCAAACGCCGTACAAGTCCAACTCCTCTTGATTCATCCGTCAGTATTCAATTCCATTCTTCTAGTGGCTCCACCACGTGAGCACCAAACCCTCACCCGCCTAATGCCTCCACCCACGCCCCACGCCGAAGTACACCCACCATCACCACCAAAAAAAAAAAAAACTCCAAAAAATGCAAAAAAAGATAGGAGGTCATTAGCATGTCTCGGTTTCGATCCGAGGACCTCCGGGTTATGAGCCCGGCGCTCTTCCCCTGAGCTAACATGCTTGCTTGTTGAAAAATGGAGGTGTGTCTTCACTGTGGAACGGATTAGTAACTGATTCGGCAACTTTGAGGCAGTTCGGGGTTGCTCATCCTGAGCTAATATGCTGATTTGCATGTTGTGGAGCTCCTTGTTTGAGGTTATGTACGGGGGGTCTGCGTGGGAAGGTTTTCGGGGTGTGTTGGTGAGAGGTAGGGGGGGAGGCAGGAACTCGTGTCATTACTTTTTGTATTGCAGTATGAATCTGTTCCCCTAGTCTCTGTGTTCAGTACGTCCCGGGATCATTCAATGTGGCCTTAGAAGTGCTTTATTACTCTTGTCCAGCTGTTAATTATATATATATATGGCCTCATCGGTCTGTACAACCCTACGCAACAGGCACACCCACACCCTGCGGATTCCAAAAAACATCTCCCGGATCAAAAACCCCCTTCATCTCCTCCAACCTCCCCAAATTAACCCCCCAATAAGCCCTCTCAGCACTCTCCATCCTCGGATCCGGGCACCCCAAATACGCATGTCCAGCACTCCCCGGTACATCCCGCGTGATAAGGCCATTGATCCCATCTAAAAAGTCATAACTTTTATCTAGCACGGGACCAAGAACGTTAGCCGCAAACGACTGCATCCAGTACATCACGCCTCGGTGCGGGTAGGCCGTGGCGTTCTTCGGGTAGTCGTTTATAGCGCCGCCGACGAGGCTGAATGTCACGAACCAGGTTAGTGTTCCCTTGGGTGTCTTGTCGAGGTAGGTGAAGAGGTTGGTTATTGTTGATGATGGCATGGGTGTGTCCTGTGTGAAGCCCAAGGATTTTGCGTAGAAATATGTTGACATGGATCCTCCAAGCCGGACGGCGAGATCGTCAATCACATACGTCACTGTTCCTAGCCAGTCCTCTAGGACGAGGACTTTGCTTGAGTCTGATCCGGAGAAGCGGTGCTTGAGCCCGAGAGAGTTATATTCCTCATTAAAGCCGATTAAAACGCCCTTGAGTATCACGCTATCCTGCAGGCATATAAAATCCGACGTGAACTTCCGGCTGAGATTCTCACTCAGTGCAAAATCCTGCCAATCCCGGAACAAACCTCGCCCTCTGCTTTGCACTACCCAGCTTAAACGAATACCTTTCACGGCAAATAGCAGATCCGCATTCTCGGTTTCAGAAGCCCTCACGATGCTCGAATCTGGGAGCACCACCTCGACTTCTTCGATATGGTCCAGTGCCATGCCCCATTGTCGTGATGTGAGTCCTAATCCGCCGATGGTGAGATGTCCGCCAGCGCGGATCTCGGGACATATGCCATGTGACATTGCTCGCCCTCCTGCGTTGTAGAGTAGTGTATCGATGTCTCCTAGTGACTAGCCGGGTCCGATAGTCGCGACGTGAGTCGCCTCATCCATCGAGAACTGCTGGAAATGCTTCATGTCGACGACGATCGCGCCGTCCGCACCACCGAGTCTTGCATGTCATGCCATGTCAGCAAAAAACCACCATATCACATTCACTAACAGTTGCCCACCATGATTCCCAAAACTATGCCCCCCCCGCTCTTCGCTTGCGCTTTATACTCATATTCCGCAGCGCACTTGACAATTGCAGCGACCTGCTCGCTCGTCTCCGGGAGTGTAACCGCTGCAGGAGTCACGGGGAAATTGAGATTGTATTCACGAACGGCAGTCACTCCGTAGAGGTCGTTGGGGAGAGATTGAGGCATGCTGAGATTGAGTAATTGTAAACAATACGTAGTAGACTGAGTTCAAGGGTGAATCAGTATGGCATAATTAAATAAGGTTATACCTCCTTTGCTTTGTCGGGTCTTTGTATATATTTAATGCACGGCGGATATATCTTCGGGTTGTTGATGAGGTATATAAAAAAAATGGGCTGCTAGAAATGCTGTCTAACTATTATGACCATTTTCAATATATAAACAGACGAACAGACATCCATCCTATCATCAATCAATCAATCAATATCGCTAATGCGCAAAAGGCAAGCAGTAGGAGTACATGTACAGTAATCAACAGTAGTAGTGTTGTAAAACAAGATCCAACGCCAGAGTATGCAACTTTTCTTTTCTTTCCTCTCTGCATTTAAGGGGCAGGAATGGCAATCCAATACAGTGGATCAAGCGCGGACTCTCCTCTTCGTCTTGGTCTTTGCCTCCAATGGCGTTTCGCAGACCTCCGACCAGGTATCTTCGAAGACCGTCTTCTTCGGTCCGATCTGGCCCTCGTAGAAGTTCATCCTGCGGACGACTTCCATCGCACCCGTACCGAGACCGACAGTCTTACCCATGATAATACACTCTGACACACCCTCGATAAGATCCGTACGACCGGCACCACCCGCATCGAAGAGATGATCAGCCGTCTTTTCGAACGACGCCAGCTGCAGAACAGAGTCTCGCATCTTGGCCAGACCGAATCGCGTGATACCCAGGACTTCGCCCTTGTAGGTCATGACATCGGCCAGGAGCTGCATGTGACGCGGGTCAATGTCCATGTCCTTCATGACTTCGCTGATTTCTCTGACGATGGTGGTTCGTGCGGCTTCGATACCCAGTACGTCGCGCGCTTCCATGACGTTGTTGGTTGTTGTCTTGAGACCGTCGACACCCATGGTTGTCATGCATTCTCGGAGACCGTATCCTTCGACGAGGAGGGTGTTGGTTGTCGAGGTCTCGTCTGTCCGGATGATGGCTCGGTTGGCTAGCGGGTGGCCAAGGACCTGAATATCGGGGAGCATGCGCTTCAGGTGCTTCAGGCGGAGGAACGGGTCTGTGCTGGTGGCAGCAATTTCAGTCTTGGAGAGGTTCGTTTTGGTGGCTGGGTCCAAGTCCATGTAGATGTGGATGTGCGATCGCGAGTGCCGGAACTTCAAGTCGCCCGCCTTGAAGCGACGGTGAGTCTTGATCGCAGAGAGAATATCCCGAACGTTCAGCTCCAACGCTAGATCCTGGATGGTCTTCCAGTTGATCTTGACAGTGAGGTACGCCTCCTTGCCGGTCCATGCTTCACGAATGTAGTGAATGATATCCCGCAAGTACGTCTTCTCAATACGACCCTTGACAATTCGAGCAGCGATGATGTTGTCCTTCGTAACCAGTTCACAAGCAACAACGGGAGTACTGATCTCCTTGGAGGCGTTGATGATTTCCTTAATACGGGGAACACCCTGAGTAATACTCATACCAGCGACACCAGCAAAATGGAAGGTCTTCAGGGTCATCTGCGTTCCGGGTTCACCAATGGACTGTGCACCGACCGCACCAACGGCATGACCCGGCTCGACCTGAGCTCTCTTGTACTTACTCAAGCAGGCCAAAATAAACGCCCGAAGTGTCCTCTCGGTCAACTTTCCGGTATGGCTCAGACTCTTCTGCCTCCTCACGTCGGTGGAATCGTTGTCACCGCCGCGGGAAAGTAGTTTGTCGGCCTTGGTAGACACGTAGTCCCGAATCGACTCCAGGAAATCACGCGCACTTTCGTATTGGTCGATTCCGTGGTCAGTACGCTCCATGTAGGCCAGCGATTTTCCCATCAGGTCTTTCCGGTCCAACTTCGCACGCTCCTTGGAGAGCATCTCTTCACAGACATCCATAATCTCAGCAGGGAGCAAACTCCGCTCCTCGTTAGAGTATGTAGTCGATTCGGAGTGGATGAAAGTCCGGTCGAAGTGGACAGGTTTGGCTTTACCCTCCATATCCACGGGATCGAGTTTGTCGTCACCGTATTGGAACTGGACAATAGCTGCGGACGAGTTTCGTACAGTGTCGTCATACATGGTCGAAAGATCTTCCAAAGACTTCATCAACCGACGAGACATGTAACCGGTTTCAGCGGTCTTGACGGCCGTATCGACCAAACCTTCACGACCAGACATGGCGTGGAAAATGAACTCTGTGGGCTCAAGACCGGAGAAGAAACTGTTGCGGACGAAACCCTTGGATGGCGGCTGACGAGCATTCTTCGGGAAATGGGGCAGTGTTCTGTCCTGGAAACCGTCCTGCACACGCTGACCACCAATAATCTGTTGACCGACGAGGGCAACCATTTGCGACACGTTGATACTCGAACCCTTGGAACCGGACGTAGCCATGATAAGGGGCGAGTTGTACTTGCTAAGCTGAGCAATACACTCGTCACCAGCTTGCTGACGGACCTTACTCAGAATTCCAGACAATTGGTTCTCCATAGTCTGAAGTTCGTCACAACCAGGGTACTTCTCCAGGGTGCCTGCCTTGTACTGGCCAATGACTTCGTCACACTGTGCGTATGCCGTCTCGACCAAGTCGTGTTTGGACTTGAGAAGCTTTTCGCTCGGGTAGACATCCGTAATACCAATGGAGAAACCCATGTTCGTAAACCACCGTGACGACAGTTTCGCCAAACGATTCATACCTTCAGCAGCCGCTGCAGGCCCGAAATCTCTCAGCATAATATAGAAGACGTTGTCCTTTTTACCATCACCAATCGTCGCCTTATCCATGACACCACACATGACCTCCGAATTCCGGACGACAAGCCAAGAATCCTTTGGATCGAGGTCTCGAGGTGAACCATCCTTGGGCGCCTTGAACTGTCGACAGGCCGCATCCAAGTTTACCATCACTGGGTCCTTCTTGTTCGGGTGCATCAGAACGTTGAAGACCTGCTTTCCGGTCCACAACATCTGCGGCTTAAGCATTGACGGTGGGGGCAAGTCAAAGGGGGTTTCGGGGCCAAGCATGTAGAGACAGATCTGCGTGAAGGTGCGTCGGTCGAAGAAATTGTCCTTGACAGTGATCAAATACGCAGCACTGATGAAATCTTGGATGGCCGCAATAATCGGCTCTCCGTTCTTCGGTGTGGCCAGGTTATTCTTGACACCCATCAATTCCATAGCCTCTGCTCTCGCTTCTTCCGTTTGAGGCACGTGCAAGTTCATTTCGTCACCGTCAAAGTCTGCGTTATACGGATTGCAAACACATTCGTTCAACCGGAAGGTCCTGTGCGGACGGACCTTGGCAAAATGCGACAGGATACTCAGTTTGTGAAGAGAAGGCTGACGGTTGAAGAGCACAATATCACCGTCTTCGATGTGGCGCTCGACGAGATCACCTTCCTGCAGCTGCTCGGCAATCATGTTAAGATTACCGTACTTGAGGAAGACCTTGAAAGTCTGGCCCTTCTTCACCAGGTAGTTGGCACCTGGCCACTTCTTCGTCCCATTCCTAACCCGCTGCTGTAGCTTCTCTCTGTTGTACCTGGTGACGAGCTCAGGATATGTCATGTTTTTAGCCACGAGCTCCGGCACAGCGACTTCGTCGACTCGCAAGTTTGGATCCGGGGAAATGACAGTTCTGCCCGAAAAATCCACACGCTTTCCAGACAGATTACCACGGAATCGTCCCTGCTTACCCTTGAGTCGTTGCACAAAACCGCGAATGGGTTTTCCTAGATCTGCCTTGTTCAGTCCTGGAACGTCGCTGTTGATGTAGACCGCGATCTGGAGCTGCATGTAGTCCCAGCACTCCATAATGGTTTGTACCGGTGCGCCCTTGAGGAGGGCATTCTTAAGGTTGATATTACTCTGCACGATATCTCCCAGCTTGGCGGTCAAATCGTCTTCAGTGGAAGCAGCGTCTTGACCGACTGATGGACGAATACAAACGGGAGGGGCGGGGATGAACTGCCAGAGGAACATCTCGGGACGCGCTTCGCTCGGGTTGAGTCCCAGCAATTCACAGTCGGTATCTGAGATTTTCTTGAATAGGTTCAAGACCCGTAGAGCATTCATATCATCCTGCGCTTTCTTGAAATGCTTTTCGACATCGGTATTGGACGAGCAGGCTACGTCGAAGGACCGATCGAACACGATTTTGCTCGGGGGCGGGACCTTCTTCGCGGATGCCGAAGCGTTGAAGGCACGGAATTTGTCGTGGGTGATTTTGAGCGCGCTGGTCCCGGCCTTTTTGACGACACCGTTGACCGTACCGCATGATTCGCAGGTTCTGGTCTTCCGACAGCGCTCGTTGATACGTTTTGCAATTTGTAGTCGTCGCAAATTGTCCAATCCGGGACGGCGCATCTCCCGCAAGTAAGAACGGCGCTCAGCTTCGGGGAGCAGAATGCGCGAGCATTCTTTGCAAATTTCTTGTAGAATACCGATAACACGCTTAAAATAACCAACGTGAAAAGCCGGTAAGACGAGTCTCACATGTCCGAAATGACCGTTGCATGCCTGGAGAGACAAACCACACGTCTGACAGGTTCCGCTCTTGTTCGAGATACCCATGCGCCCATCGAGAGGACCATGGGGTACCACCGCTCTATCATGTTCGAGGTCGAAAAATTTCCGGTCCGAGACTTCGACGACGCCTTGACTAACGATATCATCATTGGACCTGGATGAGGCGAGCAAACATTAGCGAACTGACGGGGACTAAGAAAATTCAAGCAGAGGGAGCACCAGTAGCATACATCACACCAAACTTGAGTTCCTTGATGACCTTGGGGACCCGGTCAATGACCTGGGCCTTGCCCAGGTCTACTTGCGCACCTTCCGAGGGCTGCATCGCCGTCGTCAAGAATAGTCGATCATGGCAGGGTTAAAGATGGATGGCAGTTCGCGACGGCGGCAAGACACGCCGCTGAGTCACAGGAGCTTGAGTGAGAGATCAAGCTTGCCGTAACTGAGGATATCTTGAAATAACCGCGCGTAAGCGATGTCGCCAATGCAGGAGCTGGTAGAGAAAATGAAGAAAATGAAGCAACGGAATTATTTGCAGAAGAACTATCGCGGCGGGGTCGGCGACGAACTTTTTTTCGGCGGCGGCGAGAGCTCTCCGGTCCCTCTACAAGTATATTACCCAATCAGGACAATGCTGCTACGTACAATTTTAAGACGAGTAGAAGTGCTATGATTTTTTAAGACACTTAATTATAGACAGCACGTTGAAACAAGCTTTTATATGGTCAAAGAAAACCATGCACAGGCCAATGTTCCTTTGTGAGGTAGCCGCACTTGTCTATCAAAAAACTCGGCATGTTAACACCGGTATATATAACCGCATTACCCTACATAAAATGGCTATTTTCGTGGACATAATGATTCGGAAACTGGAAAAGAGCATCAGGGCTAGCTAAACAACCCAAGACCTCCCGTCTGACCCAATTGTAGCGCCGGAAAACCCGGAGAACTTCGGAATGCACATATTTTACGTATTATGTTCTTCTGAGATCTACGTTTCAACAAGCAAGCATGTTAGCTCAGGGGAAGAGCGCCGGGCTCATAACCCGGAGGTCCTCGGATCGAAACCGAGACATGCTAAGAAACTCCGAAATTTTTTGGATTTTTTTTGGGGGGATTTTTAGCCCGTCATTCACTCGGGGTCGGGCCCGGGTCTCAATTCACCTACATATGAAGTGCTTTCTCGGTCTCGGTCTCTTTCTTCTTTTCTTCTTCTCCTATTTTTGCTCCTTCCCCGAGCTCTCTAATATCCTTTCATTTATCAAAATGGGACGAAAACCCACTTCCGGCTGGATTCGGCATGGCCGGCCCCATTACCGCATCATATTAACACCGTAAAGCTCCCTACCGGATGATAAAAAGATGGGAGAGCATGCTTGGGTGTATGACAAGGATGGGTTCAAGGTCACAATGGCCTTCAAATCTGGGGCGAATGTGCACAGAAGTAGACATGTCGCGGATGCATACTTTCGGCACCGACGCTTACGATGTCCGCAATACTGAAATGTGAAAGAGTTTCTCGTCTTTTACCCGCCAATCCAACACGGCACTTCATCCTGGCGGGGAAATGAAGAAGAAAGTCAAAGGCATGCTCCTGAGGTGCCGACAAGAGGGAATGGCGGCCATCCTGGTCATCAACGGCTGGGATCTGTCGTTGTGGAGATGTTTCAAGACTTTTCCAACGTGACTAGAAACTCTCTCCGTTGCAGTTGTATTGTTTCAATGCTGACATACTATCCAGATCAAAATCACCATCCGGTGCTTCGTAGGTAACCCCCGCTATCTACCGGGGGGAAATTTTCTGCAGATACCCCCAATGCCGTATCAACGTAAGTATGCACACTAAAGTATTATGAGGGACCAGTGACATTGATGTAGTATATAGAAAAGATTCCTCACTACATCCCATCTCCGCATCCATTATAGCAAGGATAACAGGAAAACTACCAAAGCATCCACACCTGGTGCATTCAATGCACCAGATCAGGCTATACATGACAGGGGCCTTGCATGGCTTTCACGAATCATTGCATTGGGGGCTTGTACGGAACCATTGAGAATAGTGACCAATTCCTCATGTCCATACACCAATTCAACAAACCATTGTGGCCTGGTGGTGAAGTAATGGCCACCATCAGGCGCGTCCTGCGCGGCCTTACGGCGCATCCTGTTTCGTTCAGAGACATTCTCAGCTATCAAGCAATTCCTGATCAATTGTACTAACACTCAGAGGAAGGCTATTATCGTTCTCTGCGGTGAGAGGGAGGAAGATCAATGTCAACCAGATTGTTCATCGACAAAGTTCGAGCAATTCGTCCAAACCATTCAATGAGCCTACTGACACTAGCAACTACAAAAAAGATGCCACCATGGCTTGCCTACATGGCCTTGGCAGCAAGATTTTCATAATGTGAGGAGGGTTTCATTCTAGCTATACTAGTTTTAAAGCTGACGTTTTCAGGCGGTCGTATTCTGTGATGCATTATTGGAGAACCAAGGTAGATCGCAGAGGCCGATACGCGGCGAGACAGGCTTTGGGCCACTCCAAATTATCAGTGACTGATATACACACCGGTGATTTCCAAGCTGACACTTATACAATTCGTACCCAGTCATCTGTTGAAGATCGACTTGCTCCGAAAATCGGTGCTGCATATGAACCACAACGTGTGATGGTGCGCGAGTACGACGCATTACTTGAGGCAGACGGTTTGGAGGTAATCCCGGATGGATCACCATCAGGACTTGCCAGAAACCTGAATCTGCTCCGCACTCGAGAAGGAATCCTAGGGCTACTCGGGGGTCCAAGTTAAAAAGTAAGGTGTTGGGAATGACAACCATGCCATGCAGTATGATGGTTTCAAACAGAAGCATGGACCTGACCTCGCATCCCCGGTTGTCAACGCTGCATGCCTAGTGAAGGTCGAGATGATGGTTAGATTGTTCGTTACGATGGGATATGCGTGGATTGGTGTGTCCGCTTGGAGTATAGCGGCTTCGTCTTCTCATGTGGTCAAGTCTGTTGACATGCATATTGTGTTCAATTAGTACCAGATCGGCACCTTCGATCGATTGGCTGCCGTTGCCAATCACTCGTTCTATGGTAGTTTGATATGTACACTTTTCAATCTGACACAATACATAAAGCACATCAACGCCCCCCCCAGGTTCTACTCAGAAATTCCTTGAATGTCAACGGCTTCAAGCCTGGGAACTTCAACCGATTCTCCGTTGGCACATGGAAAATTCCTCGAACAGTAAATTGTCCGAATAACGCGTTGTACTCTGTCATCTCGTCCGCTGAAAACGGAGCGCCTTTGGGAATAGGAAGCATGGTGGCCTTGCCCCTGTTGAGGCTGTCGACACTGTCGTAGGTGACCTGGAACTTTTTACCTGCGCAAGGTTTAGCCAATAATTCGCATGTCTATCGTATAGCTACTCACCTCGAGCCTCTTCTGCTAACCGCAGCATCTCATTGAACTTGATATCGTCCCCGACGCCAATGCTGAACTCCGGCCACTCATCCAAGTCCAGCGTCCGGACGATAAACTTTGCCAGATCTTTTGAGTAGGTCAGACTCAGGTGGTCATTCCCCTCTCCGGGGATTGCAGCTTGGCAGTTTCGCATGTCGATGCCAAATGTAAATGGCGCCAGATAGGTTTCGACATGCGGCATGCCCCAGTAGTCCATGAAAAAGCCAGTTGCGAAGCGAGTATACTGCAAGTTGGATTTCTTTAGACAGTCGACGGCGTCAAGCCACCATTGGGTTGTGGGATCTAGCTCCAGGAGTCTGCGCAGACAGTTAATGCATGATGTCTGTATATCTCTGGTCCCTTTGACAACCCACCCCGGTGTATTAATGTGAGCGTATTCGCTGGGAATAAATCGCTTAGTGCAAGTTGACTTGTCTGCTGCGCGAATGAGATTGACCTGCGATTGACTGCACTCTTCCGAGGTCATGGGGAGGGTAGAGATGATGGTATGAACGGCATTCTCCTCGAGGCGACGAGCAATAGAGCTCACATCGTTGTAATCTACTGCGACTGGCACAGTGCCATCCCGAGCTTGCCTTTTCTGTGACTATGGTAGTGAGAATAAATCAACCATAGTTACTGGACAGTATTTACCTCAGGATTCTCCCTGGTCAACACGACAATCTTGAACTTGGCGACCCTGAGCAGCTCGTCTACAATCGTCTGCCCAACGTTGCCGGCACCTCCAGCAACTGCGACTACCAGCATGTTGAATACGGGTCAGTGAGGATGAGGGGATGCAGAGTTCTTTTTTATCGTGCTTTTGTAAAGTCTTTGTCATCATATCCTACAGAATACTTTCGCAGGATATACAGGAAGTTATTCAATTTCTAATTCAAGTATGGCTAATTACTCTCCATTTGAAAGTATTTCAATAGACTTCTTGTATATATCAATATTCCAATACTGGATCGTATATCTCCAGCCACAGGCGGTGCGGAGCCACACCGTGACTACCAACAACCATCGGACTCGACATCACCACTGCTTTCTCCCTCTCCCACACTCTCACCCTCGACATGGCGGCAGTGCCTCAGAGGACGCTTAACTGGCTTTACAGTATTCTGATCAGGGTATTTCTCCCTACCCAGTTCCTGTAGCGACACCGCTAACCCCGCAGGACCACTATGACCCCAAGCAGACATATCAAGATCCCAACCGGACCTACTACGATGTCGCTAATGCGCTAGCCCAATATCCCTCCCTCTCTCCACGAACCGATGTCTTCAGTGAGTCTCTATATTGTACCTGGGAGTCAATGAAGGAACCACTAACTGGATCGTGTGCAGCCTACGAAACCGGCTTCTCCACGCTGCTTCTCCTCATCGCGGGGACAATACCTGTCCCCTTTCGTGGAACGCTATACAAATTCCCAGTCGTACTATGGATCCCCACGACGTATCCTCACGAACCGCCGATGGTTTACGTGACTCCGACGAACGATATGGTGGTCCGGGTTGGACAGCATGTGACGTTGGAGGGGAGGGTATACCATCACTACTTGGCGCACTGGCTGGAGGCATGGGATGTGAGTGACGGTTTTCAGAAGTCAAAGCTCTTAGGCTTACAATATATTATAGAGATCTACGATCGCCGACCTCCTAGCCATCCTACGAGACGTCTTCGCAACCGAACCGCCCGTCAAATATAAACACCCGATACAGCAGCCACAACCGCAATCGATGCCTACACCACCCCCCGTGCCTCCGTTACCACCTGGATTCGGTCCGTCGACGATGCAGAGCGTGCCCTCGCCCAGACCGGAGGCCCAGGTACCACCTCCGCCACCTCCAAAGCCGGGTCAAATGGTAGCTGCTGAGCAGCAGCAGCAGACACCTCCAGCAGGACGATACAATTCTCCCCCGCCTCTCCCCCCATTACCGCCAGAGGAACAAGCGCGACGGCGATCATTTTCGCCTCAGACAGGTATGAGCCCTGGCGGAATGGCGAGTCCGTATCGAGTACCGCAACAACCGCACATGGCTGGACCAGCATACAGCGGCACTCCAGTCAGTCCTGCCCAGAATCCTGGCTGGCAGCAACCGCCACGACAATACCCACCGCAGCAGATACCCCGTCATCCTGCCTACCAGCAACAACCCGTTGCTCCATATCCACACTCTCCCATGCCTCACCAGCGACAGCTTTCACAAGCAACACCAACCACGCAACCGATGCCAACACCAACACCAGCACCAGTGCAAACCGCACCGAAACAGCCAGCATCGGCCCCAGATCTCCTCACCTCACCTTTTGAGCTGGAACTCCCCTCCTTCGCACCAACAGGACCAGCCCCTCCAATCCCCCCAAACCCCGAGAAAGACGCCCTCGTAAAAGCAGTCTCCAAAACACTCGCGGAAACGGTCCAATCCAACATCTCGCAATCCGAATCAGCCGCCCACTCACTTACCTCCCAATCACACTCTCTACATAACGCCATCGCAACCCTCCAAGCCGAGATCTCCTCGTTAAACTCCCTCAACGGAACCCTCCAATCAAACACGTCTATCCTCCAACACTCCCTCCAACGCGCAGACACCGTCATCGCAGACGCTCAAACCCGTCTCTCCACCAAATCCTTTTCCCCAACATCAACCTCTGCATCTCCACTCCCCTCCACCACCGACATAACCCAACCATCAACATCAACCGCAGTACAAGTCCAAGGCCTCCCCCCCATCGACGAAATCCTCGTCGCCCCCACCGTCGTCGGAAAACAACTCTACGATCTCGTCGCCGAGGAAGCGGGGATCCAGCAGGCTATCTACGCGCTGCAGGTTGCGCTCGTTAAGGGTGTTATTGGAGTTGAGACGTGGTCGAGGCATACGAGGGGGTTGGCGAGGGAGGCGTTTCTGAAGAGGGCGTTGGGAAGGAAGGTTGCGGTTGGGTTGGGGTGTGAGGGGGTTTAACCAGCTTGCTTTTCTCTTATATATATGCAGTTGTCTAGTACAGAGTATATAGATACCCGAATGTATACGTTGCGACTCGATTGCAGTAAGGAAAGACAGAACCTCCATTCACTATATGTTCAATTCAACATGATCACGATCACATGGACAACGCTATACTGGAACGGAACGATTTTTAATCCTCAAAAGGTGATGCGGCATCAGAAGTAAAGTCGGGGAATAAAAAGGGAGAAAAAAAGGGGTCGTAAATCAGAAAGAGATCAATATAAATCAGGTAAGAAGAGAAACTTCAAGGATTTCTTTTTTGCGCCATTCATCGGTCCAGTAGAGACAAACACGTGTACGAAAATCAAAATCAGGGTATATGCAGGAAGAAAAGGAGAGAAGATATGAAAAGAAAACGAAAATCAACGATACAGTCCGACTTATCGCACTTCATTCGCGTCGGAAAATGGACTCTCAACTCGTGCAGGTGGTGTTCTGCTGCTCCGATTTGACCCAGGCCCGTGGTGGGTCTCTAGGAGAGTCGACGCACGGTCAGTAAACGGACCGTGCTCTTCTGAAGCTTCAGCCACTGTTGGTGGTTGTTCAGAGGCTTTGGCCTTGACACCCTTGCCAGAAGGTTCGTCTTCCTCATCGGAGCTGTCGTCAAAGCCAGAAGCGGCAGGGTCGGCTTGTTGCTTGGTGCTGGCGGAGCGGGAAACTGGCGCACTCGAGCTGGGTTCAGATTGCTCCTCGATGGCCTGGACCGCTGGAGTAGCATCGTTGTTCTTCTTTCCGCCCACGGTCTTCACCATGACAGGTTTAGCCATCATTGGCCGTGCCACGATGGAACTGTTGTTGTCGCCGCTGTTGTTTGCATTCGTGACACCTGCCTTGGCAAGCTGTGCCGGCGTAATGGCAGGCACAGCTGGCGCATCAGGAGGGGTAATGGTAGCCGTCTCCGTAGGTTGGTTTCCGTGGATGCTGACGACGGCGGCACGGGTGCGCATGACTTGTTGGGCGGGCATCGGGCTGACGATGGCGTTGTTACGGTAGATGGTGGTAGCCACACTGCTGCGCAAGCTAGGGGAGACACTCGGGGCGCCACTACGGCGATCGTTGGACATTTCAGTGAACGACGAGTCACGCAAATCGCCTGGCATGAAGAAGTGTTGATCGGGGGCCGCACCGGGGAGCGGAGGAACGGGTGGCACGAGCGAGGGGGTGTCAGGTGGGGACCGGTTGGTCACACCAGGGATGTAGGCGATCTGAATAACATTCGAGGCGCGGGTCAGGACGGTGGAAGCGATGGAGTTGGTGGATTTTCTGGATCCTTGGGCGTTGGCGCCGCGTTTCTCCTGTACGCTGGATCCACCCAAGCTGTACTCGTTGCTGTTCTTCTTCTTGCGCATGTAGAACCACCAGATCAAACCGACGACGATTGTAACGAAAGCAAGACCACCGATAACACCACCAGCGATAGCGCCGGCATTGCTACCGCCTGACGAGCCACTGTTGCCGGATGAGGACGAGCTGCCGGAGGAGGTTTGGATACATTTGGTGGTAGCGCATTGGTCGCAGGACTGACTGATCATGGTACATGTGTACCCTTCATCGCAGGCGGGACATGACGGGGCTGCGCTTTCACATTTAACGCAGCGCTTGAAGACATCTCGTGCAGAAAAGACTATTCTGTTAGATTAATTCTTACTATTTGGTAAAGTATAGCATACCGTTAGGAGAGGTATCGAAAGACATGATAACAGAAAAGTAAACGATGGAAGAAAAGTCGTAACAGTAGCGAGCGGCGGCCGGTCAACGGCGTAACGAATGTAAACAGTGGATAGTAGCGTGGATTAAAAGAGTGTAAAGGGCGCAACAGACGTCAAGTCGGGAGCGTAGGGTTAGATCATCAAAGGCGAGACTTCTTAGGCGAATGAGAGGAGGTAGTTGGAGTGGGATAAGGAAGCGATGGTCATAGTCTGGGGTGTCGAGGAAGGAAGTATGAAGACGATGACTGTCACGGCGGGGAGAGAAGAAGTATTGTCTATGCGTGGTCTCGACCACAGGAAACGGGAGTGGCCGAGATGGTTGGTGGAGGAGCGAGGAGAGTGGGTTGACGGTCGAGAGCCACGCGTCAATCAGGGAGACCTCCTTGGCCCAGACGTTGGAGGTGAACGAGAGAAGGTGAGAAGGGATAACAATATGATAGAGCAGAGGAAGGCGATACAGAGTAGAGAAGAAAGGATAGAGAGAGAGAGAGAGAGAGAGAGAGAGAGAGAGAGAAGAGAAAAGAGGGAGAGAGGAGATGAGACGAGACAAAGCGGGAGAATGAGGAGTTTCGGCTGTGCGGACATTAATGCCACGGGTCAGGTGACTGTCATAACACACAAGTAGTACAGTACTACACAGCTACATGAATATACATGGATACATAGTAGATACTGTTGGATCTAAGACTCTGTCATAGCTAGACGATGTCTTGTCTCTACAGAGTACATCAGTCTGCATAGCAGAGAGTATTCTGAACAGTGTACAGTCTCCGCTCCAGTGCGTGGAGGAAGTATTTTGGGTCTGGACCACACCGGAGATTACATTCCATTGGCGCCAATCAGACCAGCACAAGAGATGAATACGAGGAAGATGTGCTATGGTAGAATCCTGTAGAGTCCTGTACAAGTAGAGTACGTAGAAGAGCATGAGATGCGTTGACTGTCATATATACTTACCTGTACTCTGTGCAGAGTACAGAGACTGGAGAATACATTTATATCTACGGGGTACGGGGTACGGACACAATATATCGACGGCTATATCAATAGACCATGATAGTCGGATTCCCGTGTTTATCAGGATTATCGTTGCACTGTGCGTTATCCCCAGTAGATTTTTATGCAGTTGTGTTCAATATTCAATATTATTCAACAATGACGGAGATATTCTCGAGTCCGTAACTTGTACATGCATACGAGTCGGAGTCTCCGTACACCTACAGGTACTTGTACATACGCAGAACTGCACTGCCAGAGTATCCCTACTATGTATGTGCTAAATACTATATCATGATCGCCCATTATACAATTGTCTTATATATTCAACGGCTATTTCTCCATCGGGCACCTCCGTGTTCTCACCATCTTCATCAGGGTGACAAGCTAAGAATAGCAATCTCCGTTTAGCGGTAACTTCCGTACCAGTCGTGAAATCCAGAAAGCGGTGGGTTACTGCCAGTCTAAAAGTGAAACATCATTGCCAAACCGTCCTGTGATTGGCTGCGGACTGAATTAAGGATTTGCCTTGGCTCATAGCGTAAAGGCAATGATTGGCCAATAGTCGGTGGGCGGTCTGGAACCAGTTCCACAAGGCTATATTTAACTGGGTCTTGACCATTTTGGGATCAGCATACCCCTGAATGAACTCTGAGAACCCTGATGGTGTAATTACTATACAGAGTACTCTGTACCAATTGTTCTCAGTCAGCATGATTCTCTAACTAGGATAATCATGTTGCTTTTCCTGTCTAGATCACGACTATTGTACTACAATGGCAGTTCGAATGGAGTTATAGATCTACCTGTACAGCTGTCATGGCGAATCTATCGGAGGGGTATGAGAGGTAATAAAATACCGCCACCCACACCGCATTGAATGTTTCAGAAGAGAGCCATTTTCGCCAATTTTCCAGCCACAGACCCTGATTGAGCGAGTTAGTTGACAGCCTGAGAATTGAAATTGAATTGAACTGAGAGAATGATTGAGAACAGCAAAGACTGCAGAGTATCTTGTACCTGTACTCCGTATATATAAGGACTTGTACTTGTAGTGAGGATGCGGAAAAAAGAGAATCCGGAAAATCCCCCGAACCAGTGTACTTTATGTACAAGCATACAGATATAAGCATACAGATACAGAGAAGCCGTACCTCTGGTAGACTCCGAAGATGTATCTGCTGGATACTGCCATGTACTCTGTACTGGCAGCTGAATCATAGAAATAATAAAAAAAGAACGGCAGTGCGCTCTAACGCGGTCCACTACTGGCGCCAACGCCGTCAAAAAGAGGCGTTTAGGAGAGACTAAAAGCAAACTGGCCTAAAAAAAGTTTCGCTTCTCCTTCCATTCATCTTCCATCGCTCATCTTTTTCTTTCTATCTTTCTTCTTTTCCTTCTTCTCTCTTCTCCCATCGCTGGGAGTATTTTCTTCTGAGTACATACCCTCACTCTCTCACACACTCTCTCAGGCTCAGCCCTGGCGGCTTCTCTTCGGATCGACTTTTCGTTCCTTCCGCAAAAGATCCACGGCTCTACTTTGCCTCTTCAGTATACAAGTACTCCGTACAAATACTGCTGTATTTGCATCTTTGCATTGCATCTTTGCATTTCCCTGCATCTCTCTGTTTGCTGTTGATACCCTTTTCTTTTTTATCAAAGTCGGGACGCGGTTGCTCCTGTTTCTTTTTTTTTTTTCGGATACCCCCTCAATTCTTACCTTTCTTTCACACTCCCCTTTCCGCTTCGTCCTTGCTTCGGTGGCCACTTTTCCACCGCTAAAAGACAGAAAAGAATTTTCGCTGCTCTTTGCACTTTGTTCTCTGTGTGTGTGTGTCTACGCTTGTCTTACGCTTAATTAATCTCCTGCTCTCCCTTACGCCATGGCCTATCACGGCTCGGGTGCGCAGTCACCCATCAACTACGATGATGCCGGCCATCGCCTTCAGGACATTCCCTCTGCCGAAGTGAGTTCCAATTTCTCTGCTGGGAGCATTTGAAGAAGAGAGTTACTAACGGGCACAGTTTGGCCACGAACACGAAGAAGAAGCTGCCCATGGCCTGCTCTCTAGCCAGGGCCCGTTCGACGACGCCCACCAACGCAGCTTGTCTCCCGCGCGCCCTACCTCAGGTTACAGTCTGACCGAAACCTACGCTCCCGAGGCCTCCTTCAACGATCCCTACAGCGCTGGCTCCGTCTACTCGGGTCACTCCGCCGACAACCCCGCCGCCGCTTTTGGCGTGCCCGGTCGTGTGGCTTCCCCGTACGCTCGCAGCGAGACCTCCTCCACTGAGGCGTGGCGCCAACGACAGGCCCCCGGTGGCTCCGGCTCCGGCGGCGGCGGCGGCGGCGGCGGCGGTGGTCTGAGACGTTATGCGACCAGAAAGGTTAAGCTGGTCCAGGGTTCCGTCCTGAGTGTCGATTACCCCTCCCCCAGTGCCATCCAGAATGCCATCCAGGCCAAGTACCGCAATGACCTCGAAGGTGGCAGCGAGGAATTCACCCACATGCGATGTACGTTTTGGTATCTCCCAACAAACACCTGGAACAAGACTAACAATTGATAGACACCGCGGCCACCTGTGACCCCAACGAGTTCACCCTGCACAATGGCTACAACCTCCGTCCCGCCATGTACAACCGTCACACCGAGTTGCTCATCGCCATCACCTACTATAACGAAGACAAGACCCTCACCGCTCGTACTCTCCACGGTGTCATGCAGAACATTCGTGAGATTGTCAACATCAAAAAGTCCGAGTTCTGGAACAAAGGTGGTCCTGCCTGGCAGAAGATTGTCGTCTGCTTGGTCTTTGACGGTATCGATCCCTGCGACAAGGATACGCTGGATGTGCTGGCCACAGTTGGTATCTACCAGGATGGTGTCATGAAGCGTGACGTCGATGGAAAGCAGACTGAGGCGCATATCGTATGTCCCCCCCCCCCCCCACTTCCCGGTGGACTCGATTCAGACGCTGATCGTTTTAGTTTGAATACACGACTCAATTGTCGGTGACTCCCAATCAGCAGCTGATTCGGCCCACCGATGACAGCCCGAGTACCCTCCCGCCCGTGCAGATGATGTTCTGTTTGAAGCAGAAGAATAGCAAGAAGATCAACTCGCACAGATGGCTGTTCAACGCTTTTGGTCGCATTCTGAACCCCGAGGTGGTCATTCTGCTGGATGCTGGTACCAAACCCGGCCACAAGTCACTCCTCGCCCTCTGGGAGGCCTTCTATAACGACAAGGACCTGGGAGGTGCTTGTGGTGAAATCCACGCCATGTTGGGTAAGGGTTGGAAGAACCTGATCAACCCCTTGGTCGCCGCTCAGAACTTCGAGTACAAGATCAGTAACATTCTTGACAAACCTCTCGAGAGTTCATTCGGGTATGTCAGTGTCTTGCCTGGTGCCTTCTCTGCCTACCGTTTCCGGGCCATCATGGGTCGTCCTCTGGAGCAATATTTCCACGGTGATCACACCCTTTCCAAGCAGCTGGGTAAGAAGGGTATCGAGGGCATGAACATTTTCAAGAAGAACATGTTCTTGGCCGAAGACCGTATTCTCTGTTTTGAATTGGTCGCCAAAGCCGGTTCCAAGTGGCATCTGTCGTATGTCAAGGCCTCCAAGGGTGAGACTGACGTGCCCGAGGGTGCTGCGGAATTCATCTCCCAGCGTCGTCGTTGGTTGAACGGTTCGTTCGCAGCCGGTATCTATTCGCTCATGCACTTTGGTCGGATGTACAAGAGTGGGCATAACATTATCCGCATGTTCTTCTTGCACATTCAGATGTTGTACAACATTTTCAACACCTTTTTGACTTGGTTCTCTCTTGCATCGTACTGGCTTACGACGACGGTCATTATGGACTTGGTCGGTACCCCGAGTAGTAGCAATGGTCAAAAGGGTTTCCCCTTTGGTGCCACCGCGACTCCCATTGTCAACACGATCGTCAAATACTGCTACCTTGGTTTCCTGCTGTTGCAATTCATCCTCGCCCTGGGTAACCGTCCAAAGGGATCCAGGTATTCTTACCTGGCCTCCTTCATTGTCTTCGGTGTCATCCAGATCTATGTGGTCGTCGATGCCTTGTACCTGGTGATTCATGCCTTTACTGGACAGGATGCGATGGATTTTGATACCTCGAACGGTCTGGGCGGGTTCCTCAAGTCGTTCTTCTCCTCGAGCGGTGCTGGTATCATCATCATTGCCCTTGCCGCCACCTTTGGTCTTTACTTTGTTGCGTCGTTCATGTACCTGGACCCGTGGCACATGTTCACTTCGTTCCCGGCCTACATGGGTGTGCAGTCCTCCTACATCAACATTCTCAACGTGTATGCCTTTAGCAACTGGCACGACGTCTCGTGGGGTACCAAGGGTTCGGACAAGGCCGATGCTCTGCCGTCCGTCACGACCACCAAGGATGGTGGTAAGGATGCAGTGATTGAGGAAATCGACAAGCCCCAGGCCGATATCGACAGTCAGTTCGAAGCCACGGTGAAGCGCGCGCTGACTCCGTACGTTGCGCCGGTTGAGCACGAGGAGAAGAGCTTGGACGACTCGTACAAGAGTTTCCGTACACGGCTTGTGACCTTTTGGATCTTCAGTAACGCGCTTATGGCGGTTTGCATCACCAGCGACGGTGTGGACAAGTTTGGTTTTACGGTAAGCTCCTACCTTTCTTCTCTTGTGACAAACAAAACTAACGAATGTAGAACACTGCTACCGATAGGACTCAGCGTTTCTTCCAAGCCTTGCTGTGGTCGAACGCGGCTGTCGCTCTGGTCCGTTTCATCGGAGCCTGCTGGTTCTTGGGTAAAACGGGTATTATGTGCTGTTTTGCCAGACGGTAGACGCGGATGGGGAAAGGAACGAAAGAAGATCAGACCGACTCTCGTCTCGAGGAGTCATTCTTGGTTTTATTTTTGTCGCGATTTTTGTACTTTACATACGATGCTCGTTCACTGATTGTCGACTGCTACACCTTATTACCTACATATTTTTTTGTTTTCTCTGCTTGCTTTTCATTGATTGAAGTTGGATTGTTTTTATTTCTTGCAGGGACTATGGTGAAAGCATTTGACGTTTGTTGTTTCTTTTTTTTTTTTTAGCGGTTAGAGCAATGGATGCATTATGCTTCACTATAAAACTTGAATGTGTAGGAGTGGCGATGGCGTCAGGCTTTTCCGCCTTTGGCTGCCAGACTTACTGACATATTGCTTTTGCTGATTTCTGCTTGCTTTGCATTTTCCAATCGTGTCTTTACCTCAGAGTGGTGTATTACGCGCAGAATAAGCCTTTGTTCTGACAGACTCGTCGCTGAGAATTGTTTGCCCACTTGCGACAACCCCGCCAGACTCTCCAACAACCGCTCCTCCTCCAACGCCGGTACTCGACTTTTTTTTTTTTTTTTTTTTTCCTTCTTCTCGATACTATTACAATACCTCAGATACCCAGATATCCTCTTCCCGCGAATTATCGAAAACAGTCTACGCCCGGGCGAGGTGTGATTCAAGATGTTGAAGATCTGGTCGATGGTACAGCCTTCTTCACCTGCATCAATCCACCACGGTCGATACTGACAGGAACAGAAACAACAACAGCAACAAGCTGAAAATGCAGATGCCGCAGCAGGAAAGAAGAAGAAGAAGGTCACTCCCGCGCAGCTGCGTGTTCAGCGAGGTACTCTCCTCATCCTCTCCAACCATCGTCCCCTCAAAGAAGTAAAAAGAAAGGAAGCTAACGAAGTGATGGTGATGATAGACCTTCAAGAACTCACCCTCGGCAGCACCATGAAAATGTCCTTCCCCAACCCCGACGACATCCTCAACTTCACGCTTACCATCGAGCCCGACGAGGGAATGTACAAAGGCGGCGTCTTCCACTTCACCTTTGCTGTGAACCAGAACTTTCCGCATGATCCGCCAAAAGTGAAGTGTACGCAGAAGATTTACCATCCAAATATTGATCTCGAGGGGAATGTTTGTTTGAATATTCTGAGGGAGGATTGGAAGCCGGTGTTGAATTTGAATGCGGTTATTGTGGGGATGCAGGTTGGTTTTCTTCCGGGTTTGGGTTGATTGTTTTGTGAGGTGGATGCTAATGGGCAGTTCCTCTTCCTTGAACCGAATGCGTCCGATCCGTTGAATAAAGAGGCCGCGGAGGATTTGCGTACGAACCGCGATTCGTTTAAGCGGCATGTGCGGAGCTCGATGGCTGGTGGTTCGGTGAGGGGGAATGACTTTGAACGTGTGCTGCGGTAGATGCCGGACACGGAGGTCTTACGATTGATACGCACGTGTATATGATAATTAGCGACTGGATAGATCCTTACGAGCTACAATCACTGGGCTGCCAGAGTGGTCCGGATAAACTTGTTGCAGGGTGCAAGTTCGAGATGTAGAGGTACATATATACAAGTCTTCAACCTCGACCCGTGGATCAGAACATAACGACTTTATTCCATGCTATCGATAGTATCGACAAACGAACGGTCCACCAACATTGCCATGAACAGTTGACTAGGACCGAGGACGAATTTATTTCTGCGAGGCACGCTCCTGGTCGAGCTTGGCGTAGTAGGTGTCACGGTCGCGGACGCGGTCGAGGTGGAAGCCTACTCATTGTTAGAGGGTGTTCGGTTTTGTCTTTCGCATTGAGGATAATGTGGTTGATGTACATACCGTACCACCAGAGGTAACCGAAGGTGGTGCCGAAGCCTGACAGAGTTAGTCAATTGTCGCTTCCCAGCCTGTGTGAATTTGATCGTGGTGTTTGCGTATTTCGTCTGTGTAGATATCCGACTTCTGACAGACATCCGCGTTCCCGGCGATCGTGTGGTGCGATGCGATATCGAGGACAGAGAGTCAAAAGACAAACTCACCAAAAGCGGTACTCAGGTCAAGAACAAGACCCCGGCGGAGCATCTATTAGCACACAATTAGCCAATGCACCCTCAAACAAAACCGACAGCTCTTGAGCAAAACCCGTGGGCTGATCACCCGCTGCAAGGAAAGCGAGGGAGGAAAACATACGCCGGTAATAGGGGGAATAGCGGAGGCCATTGCGAAAAATGGATGTGAGCAAGCGACTCAGGACGAGGACGGAGGGAAGCTGGCGAACGATGTGGTTCGGGGCGTGGGAGGGAGTGGAAAAGGCAGGCGAGGCGGGCGGGAGTCGAGCGATGATGGAAAGTTGAGGTTGAATTGGTTTCCGTCGGGTGTACAGTAAGCAGCGGTTGTGGTTGGACTACGGAGAGAACAGAACTACTTAGCTACGCTTTAGTTATTGTTTGTGTTAATTATTGACTATGGGTTAGAATTATTTTTCTTTACGCAGTAAATATCGTCTATCCTAGGTCATTATCCGAGTGTGGCCTCAGGCACCAACACGTGACCAACCGCGTTTTGAGCTCCGACTCTCACTCCTACTACATACGACTACAGTTACACCTCCACCTAATTTTTACCCCCCCGCGAAGAATCGGAATGCTCGATTCGCAACCCGCCATAAAACGCTCCTCCTCGTCGCAATCAGAGCGACCAACCGAAGGCCCCGATTCCAAACGCTTAAAGCGTCCATATCACCACCGGCACCAGCTCCAGAGTCCCGTTACGCCGGTGCTCGCGGAGCCCGCTATCGCTGATAATGCCGCCGTGGATCATTTGATGAATCGCGCTATTGGGGTGTCGTTGAGGGAGAGTGGGTTTGATTTGGCGGAGCCGGTTGCGATGGATGGGTTTCGCAGTGCGGCCGAGGAGTGTATGTTGGTTTTGTTTTGGTTCTAGGGATGTGGATTGCATTTGGATATTTGGGTTGACTTGGTTTATTGTGACAGATCTCGTGACGTTTGTTTCCTACGTGCATCAGTCGATGCTTAGTAGTCGACGGATACAGCCTATTCCGCAGGATTTCGAACACGCCTTGACACGAAATCACTTGTCGCCCGATGACCTCCTTCCCTACCTCAAATATCCTACCGCTGAACCGACTCCGACACTCTTACCGAGCCCCCCGCCAGAAGAAGATTCCTTCAAAGGTATATCCTTCCTTGGTCCGCAGCTCAGCGGCGAAGACGACCGTGCCAGGAGCGCGCATATTCCGAAACATTTCCCCGAATTTCCCAGCAAACATACATACCGCCACACGCCTGTGTTTACGGAACGAGAATCAGACCCGAGGAAAATTCGTGAGCGCGCGACAGAAGATGGGCGACATGGAGAGGAGGCTCTACGGAAGCTGGCTCGTGCCGCGTTTCAGGATAACCAGCTTGGTTCGGCAGGGCGGGAGAAGAAGCTGTGGGGTCGGCGGATGGAGAGCATGGATAGTATGTTTGAGAAGACGGTGAAAGCGCTGGCGAAGAAGTCGCCGAAGAACACGACAGTGGCGGGGATGGCGGCGCCAATGGAGATTGATTCGGGTGCTGGGGCAGATGTGGAATTGAAGACATCTCGGTCGAAGGTTTCGTTGAATCTCGAGTTGCCACCGATAATCAACTGCGAAAGAGATCTCTGGCGTCGGACGACTGCGTCGTCAAGAGGTGGAGAGAATCATTCAAAACCAGAAGAGAAGCCGAATGGCAAGCCTGAGACGGGGAATCTTTCGCGGATGGATAACTGGGTGAGCACATAATGTTGCTGTTGCATTGGAAGGAATGGCGTCAGGTGTTTTGCATTTTATTTCTTGTTGTGTTGAGAGAGATACCCTGGAGCAATCAATTTCATGACCATGTCTGAACCGTAGACCCTAACTCCTGCTATGCAATAAATATAACCAATCTTCAAGATGATGCGCGTTTCGCCCCCTCCTCCTTCGCCAACCGAATCGGCTCCCACGACGTCGTCTCAACCGTTAACCCGGCGCATCTGCAAGCCTCCGTCAACAACCACAACAACCAACCCACAGAAAAAGAGGTATACCGTCTAAACAACCGCACAACCGGCTTACACACAATACTTCCCGGTGTCGGAATCCCATCCTGCGGCGGATTGCACGAGTACTGCACCATCTCGAGCAGTGGGCATTCTTTCAGGTCGATCGCGGGCCCTTTGCGACGCTTTTCTTCGTGGAAGTTTCGCCGGATCGTGTTGACGTGGGAAGGGAGGGTTTCGGAGGAGAAGACCGGGACGAGGGGGGCCATTGCGCTGTTGGTATATTTATTTGGGATTGTTGTTTGTTTGGGGGTGAGTAGTGGTGGTTGTATGGGCGCGAGGTGAATGTGGGATCTCGGAGGTTTTGCGGAGTTCCGCTTCTGACAGCATCGGTCTACAGCTTTTTATGAATGATACCTTCGATAACTACAACGAAATACAATGTATAGCCAATTTATAGTGCTATTAATACTGCTATGATCATCTCCTCTTCAAGCCGCGCAAATGGCCGCCAGTTTCGGGGAGAAATTGCTTGGGGAGGTGATTGAAGCGAGACTGGATGAGGTATGTTTTCACCAACTTACGAACCTGATGAACAGCTACTGATAATTGTAGATTCTACATGATCTAAGAAATATATGTCCTGATGAAACTAGCAGCCGTCTAGGCGTCAGAGCTCTAGATAATCTGCTGGAAGTCTTCATGCCCGTCCCTGCTCCTCAGCAACACCCAGATGAGAATTCGAATTTACAACCAGAAGACAGAGCACATCATGGAGTCAGGGCTCGTCCAGACCCGGTGGTCGAGATCTCAAGTACCTCGTCGGCGGCTGGAAAGTCCCAGCTACTGTATCATCTCACGGCCATTGCTGTTTTGCCGGCGATGATTGATAATATCCAGATCGGTGGACGGAATGCTGCTGTTGTCTTTATTGATACGGATGGGCGATTTGACGCGGATCGTCTGCTTGCTGTTGCCCGGGGTATCATTCAACAGAGACTAAAGCAGCAGATGGTAGAGCAGCTTGACATCGAAACCACTCTCCTCACATCGCTTCAACACATCCACGTCTTCCGCCCTACCTCCTCAGCATCTCTTCTTGCAACCATACACTCCCTAGAATCCTACCTCTTCGACATCTCCCGTCACATCTCCACAAAAAGATCCCTCCACGCAATCCTTATCGACAGTGCAACATCCTTCTTTTGGCAAGATAAACTCCGCGACCAAATCGCCCGGATCGAAGAGATTGGCCGTCCGCACGCTGAGATCGAACATGACCGCAGACTGAAACAGAGTTTCTATATTGCTGATATGTACGCCGAGCTTGTGAGGGCGTTGAAAAAGGTACAGAGCGTGTTTGGGTGCGCGGTTGTGTATACGACTACAGTTTGGGTTGGGAGGGCTGCATCCGTGTCTGGTGAGGAGTTGGTGGCGTTTCGGTGCTCGTTGCCGCCGCCTTGGGGACTGTTTCCTACGTTGAGGATTGTTGTAAGGGCGAACGGGCAGGGGAGCTTTTTGGGTTGTGTGAATGGGTTGGGGAGGGAGGAGTGGCCGAGGAGAGTGGTTGAGGGGTTGGAGGGACGGAGTAGAGGGACGTTCGTGTTTGGTGTGGATAGAGATGGTGTGTATGTCTGATGAGTATCTAACTGTACAACTTTCCAATGGCCTCCACGGTTGTGTTTCCACCACTGAATACAATTCCAATATCCCATCCCTCCTCTCCAGCTTCCGTGACAACCCGTCGTCGGAAATCCTCGTTATACAAACACACAGCCAATCCCACAACCGCACTCGGCTCAACAACAACCTTCATGCGTTCCAGCACAAGCCGCATAGCAGCCTTGATCTGCTCCTCCGTCACAGCGTAGACACCAGCTACCTTACTCGGATTCGAGATGATAGCCCAATTCAGCAAACCAACCGGCGTACGCAGTCCATCAGCTATCGTCAACGTACTAACAGCCGGAACATGTTCTCTGGCTTCCAACCCACGACGACAATCATCCGCACCTTCGAAATTCGGCTCAGCGCCAAAAACCCGCGTCGATTTGTCCGAGAAGAACGTCGCTACGCCGGCGTTCAAACCACCGCCGCCAATAGGCGTGATCACAGCGTCAAGGCCCCCGCCATTGCCAGCATGAGCACTAAGACCCGGCTCCTCCCTCACAGTCTCCCAATATTGCCCCTCAAGCTCCAATCCCGTCGTCCCCTGTCCACAGATAATGTTATAGTCGTCATACGGCGGCACGAGAATCGCATTCGTTCTGCCTTGGATGTCGGCCACGACAGCTTCGCGCTCAACGCTGGTCGATCCGCTGAAAATAACCTCTGCGCCGTGCGATTGTGTCCCGGCGATTTTGGAGGAAGTGCTGATACGAGGCATGACGATGTATGCGGGAATATTCAGCGTCGAGGCGGCGAGGGCGAGGGCTTGGGCGTGGTTTCCTGTTTTTATTAGCTACTACTTCTCTAGGTAGTTCATAAGAAATTGAAGGGAGTGGTGAGGATACCAGAGCTGTGTGTAATAACACCCCTCCTCTTAACCCACTCCTCCCCGCGCTCCTCGACAAGCCGCAGTAATGCATGGAATGCCCCGCGCGCCTTGAACGCGCCGATGCGTTGGTAATTCTCGCATTTGAAGAAGAAGCGCAGGCGTGGGTGGGATGGGTCCTGGCCTTCGAAGGGTGTTCCAGCCAGTGACTCGGGAGATTGAGGGGTTGAGGCGATGGTGTTGAGGGTGCGGGAGGTTAGGAGGGGGGTATGGTGGATGTAGGGATTGATTAGGGAGTGGGCGGCGTGGATGGCCACGGGGGAGGGGAGCATTTTGATTGTGGTTGTAACAATTGAATTGGTATAACTATTCTTGGAGAAGAAAGAAAGGAAATGATAAAACTGGGGAATGACTGCTTATCTACTACTCCGGACATCGCCAATACGGGGTCGGACACAGCCGATGTGGTGGAAAAAAAAAAAAAAAAAAAAAAAAAAAAAATTGAACAATCAATTAATATTGAATCATAGTACATTCGTAAATTTTTCCCATCCTATCATTACATTATTTATTTCTGGTTCTCAGGGCGGAGGGAGCGGACGGCCTTGCCGGCACGCCAGATCTCGAGATCCCGGATCTCCTGCATCTCCTTCTCGTACTTCTCACGGTAGTCCTTCTGCGAGTTGTAGTCGAGCGAGCGCTGGGTCTCGGTACCGTCCTGGACACGGTCGTAGAGCTCGTTGAAGAGGGGCTTGAGGTTGTCACGGAAGCGGCTGGACCAGTCGATGGCACCGCGGCGGGCGGTGGTCGAGCAGGCGGCGTACATCCAGTCCATACCGTTACCACCGATCAAGGGGTACAGCGACTGGGTGGCCTCCTCGACGGTCTCGTTGAAGGCCTCGGAGGGAGAGTGGCCACGCTCACGGAGAACCTCGTACTGAGCGAGGAACATACCGTGGATACCACCCATCAGGCATCCACGCTCACCGTACAGGTCGGAGTAGACCTCCTTCTGGAAGGTGGTCTCGTAGAGGTAGCCGGAACCGACGGCAACACCCATGGCGATGGCCTTCTCCTTGGCCTGGCCGGTGACATCCTGGAAGACGGCGATGGAGGAGTTGATACCACGGCCCTCACGGAAGAGAGTGCGGACGGTACGGCCGGAACCCTTGGGGGCGACGAGGATGACATCGACATCCTCGGGGACGTCGACCTTGGTGAGGTCCTTGAAGACGGGGGAGAAACCGTGAGAGAAGTAGAGGGTCTTGCCCTTGGTGATCTTGGGCTTCAGAGCGGGCCAGGTTTCACTCTGGGCGGCGTCGGAGAGCAGGTTCATGACAACGGTACCCTTCTCGACGGCAGTGTCGACATCGAACAGGTTCTTGCCGGGAACCCAGCCATCCTGGACAGCCTCCTTCCACGAAGCACCGTCCTTCCTCACACCAACAACGACATTGAGACCCTGGTCACGCAGGTTCAGACCCTGACCGTGACCCTGAGAGCCATAACCGATCAGAGCAAGAGTGTCATTCTTGAAGAATTCCTGGAGCTTCTCGCGGGGCCAGTCCTCACGCTCGTAGACGGTCTCGGTCGAATCGGCAAAGGTAATCGACTTGAGACCACGGATGGGCTGCTGGTTAATGGTCATGCGAGGGACAGCAGCAGCAGCAGCAGCCTTAGCGAGAGCGGGACGAGGGAGGGCGGAGGAGAGGACGGAGCGAGGGGCAGCCACACGGGCGCAGCGGAGGGCACGGGGGAGACCACGAGAAGCCATTGCGGTGGTTATAGAGTAAGAGGGGAGAGTTGAAGTAGAGAGGAGAGAGTCAATTGAGTGAAAAAAGGAAGAGAAAAAGTCGAGGGACGGATTAGGTTGGGGCTTTTCTTATACGCGGGCTGCCCGTGACTGGGGTTGCACGTGACCGGAGTTGGGCTGCTGCTCCCCGGCCGATGTCGGAGAGGCATTGTGATTGGCCAGTAGTCTGGGTGAGTGAGTCTAGAATTGTGTGTTCGTTTATGAAAAAGTGTAGTTGTATTGTAATTGTAATTGTGCTATGCCAATGCTAGGATTTATATGAAGTAGTCTTCGTGTACAGAGTACGAGTAGGGTGGTCTACTATAGTAGTATCGAGTGTGGTCATGACGCTGTCACCGTTGCTGACCGTTGTTGATGCCTCACACCTCAGGCACCTACTACGGGACATTTGTTCCACCACTTTTCTCTAAAACAACACCACATTTCCTATATAACCTCTAAGATAATGCTAATGCGACGATGAACTTCTTTGCTGCTTTTGGCGGTGTCCCTACCGTCAAGACCCGAAAAGCCCTTCTCCTACTCGACTTCCAAACCGATTTTGTTCGTCCCTCTGGAGCTCTATATGTCCCCAACACCGCCGAATTTCTCGACACTCTGCCTCAACTCGCCAGTGCCTTTCGCTCTACGGGAAGCGTGTTCTGGATACAATCGTACTATGAGTCTCGTCGGGAGCTGGTCGACGCGAATGAGCAGGAGTTGGTGGTGCTAGGTCGCGGGGGAGAAGACCACAGCAAAAAGAAGAGTCATACAGGCAACGTACCGAACGACGAAGAAGCCTTTCTATCCGCGGAATCTTCTCGATGTGGCGATTCTCACAGTCCCGGGGGACAGCTGCCTGCGCCGATTGTGGCTGCCTTTGACTCACAGCATGACATTCTGACCACCAAATCCGACTATTCTGCTTTGCGCAACGACCGACTCGTTCTGACTCTTCGCTCTCAACTCATCACTGAAATTTACATTTGCGGTTCTTTATCCAACGTATCTGTCTACGCGACTGTTCTCGACGCTGCTACTTTGGGTTTCTCTGTTACTTTAGTTGAAGACTGTTTGGGTTTCCGGAATTTTGAACGACACGAAGAAGCAATGCGGCGCATGGCTGATATCTTTGGTGCGAACGGCATAACATCTGGGGAGCTCATGCAAGAACTCGACTGGCAGGAAACGGATCGCATCGCCGAAAAGGGAGATTCCAAACCACGACCGGCCAGATCCACGGGCATAGAAGATGTTCTGGATAACTTTGATTTTCGGGCTACGGATGGCCATGAGCCTGACGGTGTGAACGACGAGGAGGAGGATGACAAACCGGGTCTCAAGATCGCCCGCGCTAAGGATCGTTATGGTCCACCCCGAGAACAAGCGGACGAGAAGGTGCGCCCGAGAATGCGCCGGGCTAGACGACCAGACGAGAAACATAAGACAAGCTCGCGATCTGATGCTCGACGTGCGCGCAGGTCGAAGCCATCCCAGGACCTCCATGGACCAGGTGATGTGATCGGAGAGAGTGATTCTCGCATCGTCTATGACTTGGACTTGCCATCAGACGCCTTTGAGAAAATTCGACGCGAGGTAGCATGGCAGAAAATGTACCATATGTCAGGCCAGGTCCCACGACTGGTAGCTGTCCAGGGAAGGGCACAGGCTGATGGGTCGATTCCAATTTACCGTCACCCAGCTGACGAGTCGCCACCTTTGCATCCGTTTACGGAGACTGTCAATCGGATTCGTGTCATTGTTGAGCAGATTCTGGGCCACCCACTGAATCATGCCCTGATTCAGCTTTACCGTGATGGGCAAGATCGCATCTCAGAGCACTCTGACAAGACACTGGACATTGCTCGCGATTCGTACATCTGCAATGTCAGCTTGGGCGCTCAGCGCGTCATGGTCCTGCGTGCAAAGGCTGCCGAAGAAGATTCGACCAGGAAGTCACAGCGCATTCCTCTGCCACACGAGTCACTGTTTGTCTTGGGTCAGAAGACGAACATGCGCTGGCTACACGGCATTCGTCCGGATAAGCGTCCTGAGCCAGAGAAGTCCGTTGAAGAGCGAGCATACGGTGGTGAACGTATCTCATTGACGTTCCGACACATCGGGACGTTCCTAAACCCAACGGGCGATACCATCTGGGGCCAGGGTGCCGTGTCTAAGGAACAGGGTCAAACAAGGCCAGTGATACACGGTGATGCAGCTGGAACCCAGCGACTTATCCACGCTTTCGGCCAGGAGAACCATTCCACCGAGTTCGACTGGGACGGTGTGTACGGTGGTGGATTTGACGTGGTCAACTTTGTCACCGCATCGACTGCGCAAGTGATCCCAGGAGATGACCCGGTAGCGAATCTTCGAGTCCGACTGTGTTTGAGTGAAAGCAGTCTACGTTATGATGTGGTGACTGCTGAACAAGCATCTGTCAAGCCAAGTGACAAACGGCCAGTCTACATCGGGACAGATGACACCATTGTCGCTGGTGATGTCGAGATCATGAACTATTTCGCACAGCAGGCTCATCTCGAAGCACCCCGTCCCGGTATAGACAGGCTGCAAGGAGGCGCTCACCTGCCCGAGATTGAAAAACTGCTGGCGAGCTGGCGACAGCACCGTGATCGCGCAGACGCACTCGACATTTTGCGGCCATGGGAAAAAGCACTGGATGGCAAACACTATCTGGGAGGAAGTGTTTTCACCATCGACGACTGCTCCCTCTGGCCAGTCCTGTGGGGAATCGTACAAACCAGAGGCAAATTACCCGGCCGGTTTTCCAATTTGCGTCACTATCATAACCGAGTGGAGAAGCGTGGGCTGGTCAAGGCGGTTCTGGAGGAGGTGTAAATATTTTCGGGATTTGCAATGACTAACGAGGGACGAGCCATGATGATATGACTAGTTTGAGTGTTTCGTTCTTGTTGTATCGCGTTTATGCACAAGTTTGATTACCCCTAGCAGGTTTCTTATAGGCAAAAGTCGGGATTACAGACACTCCCCATCAAAATCCGTCGTGCTCAATACATCCTTCAACGAAACATCACCGCACACCACACCCTTCAAAAACGCCTTAGCAACAACCTCCGCACCCTCCGCACTTGTATGCGTATGATCATTAGGAAAGTACCCATTCACCGTATCCTCCCCAAGCGACTTAAAGACACTAGCCACATACGCCCCATGATCAACATACTCCACGCCAGCAGTATCAGCAGCCAACTTGGCATACTCGACAAACCGCGTCGCCTCGTACACAAATTCCCCCGTCTCCCATGGGTTATTCGGCGTCTGGCTCGATATCACCACCGTAGCGCCCTTCTCCTGGAGCAGCTTCGCTGCGTTTTCTAGGTATGCTGGGAAGGTGAGGACTGTCTCGGATTGTCCGTCGTACTCGGTTTGACAGGTCTCATCTCCTGTACCGCCGCAGTCGCTGCGGCCGTTGTCTGAACTGGATAGTGAGCCGCCGTCGTTGTGGCCGAATTCGATCACCACGTAGTCGCCGGATTGGAGGGAATTGGCGATTTCTTCGAAGCGGCCTTCGCGCGTGTAGGAGCGGGCGCTACGGCCGCCGATGGCTTTGTTGGTGGCGGTGCCGGAGATGGAGGATGAGATGTATTCGCCCCAGCCTGTTGTCTGTTAGCTATGGATGTCTCTTATGTGTATGTGAAGAGGTGTACCGTCGGTCCCTGACCCGCCTCCCCCAGCGGCCATGGTTGAGTCGCCGGCGAGGTAGATGGTTGCCCCTAGGGCTGAGGGGAGGAGAGAGAGGAAGAACGCGATAGACTTCATTTTCAGACAATGAGTTCAGAAAGAATGATACAGATACAGAAAAATGAAAGGCACATGCAGGTACCCCTCTTTATACTTCTACCCTAGACTCCGCAGTCAGCATTGGCATCGGTTAAAAGGCTATAAACCGGCATATTCTCTATACTATGCATACTCCTCCCGCACAGATGTTAGCGTAGGATCGTCTGTCTTGAAACACTGGCAGGCGGGCTCGGGTCAGCGGGGTTTCAGAATCGCGTGTCAGGGCAGGTGAGACGTCGGTGAGTCGCTGGCTGCTGTTACTGATTCGATTATGCGGGGTTAGTGAGTTTATTTGAAATTGAACATATATTGAAGAGATCTGGAACGGATTCCACGTGTAGAGATTCATATAGACTGTTCTATTCTTATGTACAAGACGCTGTTAGTGGACGGGCTGGCATATCATGCCCTGTGAGGAAAGAGACTAATAAACCAAAATCAGACAATATCACAGCTTCTCAAACGTTGGCGTCCGCTTCTGGATCCCTGAAAGCAGTGCTGAAGATACGTCTTTGGTCTGTAGAGCAGCGCTGTTCCAGACCGATGTATACCGGAGGCCTAGACAAACAGTAAGCAACTAAACATATCATGCACAATGAAGGAGACATACCATCCTGCACCGAATGATCCCTCGACCAATTCAAAATCTCCTTCGTCCCCTGCACTGCAACCGGACTCTTACTAGCCATCAACGTCGCCAAGTCTACCGCCCCCCGAACAGCATCTTGCTTCGAATCATACACGGAACTGACCAACCCCACGCGCAAAGCCTCGTCCGCTCCAAAAATCCGCGCCGACAATGCCACCTCTTTCACCCATCCAAAGTTTCCGACTACCTTGGGCAATCGACTCAGTGTGCCGATATCCGCTGCAATACCGATATCAACCTCCTTAACCGCGAATCGTGCATCGCGCGCGCATACCCGCACGTCCGCTGCGGTAGAGAGGTCGATGGCTAGACCCAACGAGAACCCATGCATAACCACGATAACAGGTTTCTCGCAGCGCTCGACCGCGCTGATACAATCCTGGAATGGGGTGATGTGGCGGCGGAGAGCGGCGGCTTTGCGGGCGGGGTCGTTGTCCGTCTCCTTGTCCATTAAGAAACCCTCAGAAGCGGCTTTGACGTCTAGTCCGGCTGTGAATGCTTTGTCGCCGGCGCCGCTGAAGACGATGGCGCGGACGGAGGGGTCTTGGGAGAGGTGGGCGAAGACTTGGGATAGTTCGATCCACATGCTGCGTTCGTTAACATACTGTTATATCAGACGAGTTGGGGGAGGGGGAGGGGGCGTACGCTTCGAAGAAGGCATTCATCTTGTCGGCCCGGTTGATCTCGACGTGGGCGACATATTGCTGGGGAAAGGTGATGTTGTAGTACTTGTAGGTGTAGTCTGCCATGTTGGTATTATTGATTATAGCGCTTAGTATTGATAGCAGTGTGAATGATTATCGAGTATTTAACAGCGTCTAAGGATAGATATATGCAAATTCTAAGCTGTCTACAAATGAAGCGATGTTGTCGTTTATGTTGACGGTTTCATGTGCCTCGGTTCGGCTGACATTACTGCCCGAGGTGTCTGAATATATGCCTCAGGTGTCAAAGTTGTGCATAAAATAAGCCGAGCATAAGAGATCTGCGATAAACATCGACTACAGACTACTCTGTACAGTGAAAACTATTGACTCTGCAGTCAAGCGGTCATATTAGATTTAGTCTATGATACAAGACCCAATTATATAACAGATTAAGTTTGTACAAACTCAAATAACAGAAAGACGCAATGCTATACACTGTACAAGTTCAACTGGTACCGGCCAACTGTTTAGCAACCCTTGCACTCCTTAACCCAGAGGTTAGCCACACGCTGGGTGCTAGAGTGGCCGTCAACCCAGTTGATGGTACGCTCCGGGTTGTCGCCGTAGCCCTCGATACCGAAATAGTTCTTGCCCTCGTGGGTGAAGTAGCCGTCCTTGTCGGTACCGAAGCCGTCGAGGCTGGCACCCTCGGGGGTAGCACCCGAGTGAGGAAGGGTCAGACCGACGGGGGCGACCTGGCCGTCGACGACGTACAGGGTCTGGAAGCCAGTGGGGGTCTGGTCCGTAGAGGTGAAGCTGACGCCGGTGGTTTCGTTGGAGCCACGGACTATGTGTTGTTAGTGACAGTTCATACCGGGACGTGAGGGATGTACGGATACATACGGATGAGGATCTCGTGCGAGGCGGGGTCAGCGCCGATGAGGAGCTTCTCTGAACTTTGTTAGTTTTCTCGAATTCGACGATCGACGATCATGGAAGACTTACGGCCATCGGTCAGAACGGTGTTGCCGCCATCAGCGACGAGGGTGAAGGCCTCGGGGAGAGCGGTGGTGAGAGCCGCGAAGAGAGCGGTAGCAGCAGCGATGGAGAACTTCATTGTGATGGTTGTGGATTGAAGATGTCTGAAGACAAAGGAGTAGATGTAATTGAGAATTGAGAATTGAGAGCTGGTTGTTGTTGTTGTTGTTCTTCTTCTCCTGCTGGTGAAAGACCCTTTATATATACTTTTGGCCGGACTGATATCAAGGTCCAGCAAGGCTTCCGAAGCTTCCCCGATCCAAGACATGCTCCACGGAACTCAACCGGTGCACAATATCTCTATGCGGAAGCATCTCCGGCTAGCTTCTGGGGGTTTCCGTGGGCCTGATTGGAACAGTTTCTGCTGCAAAGCCTCCTCCCAAGGTGTGCTGCCAATAGTCGTTGATGTAAGTGAGGTTTTTTATAGAAAGTCCGACTGCAGGTTTCAGAGCTGGCATGATATCATTTGCCTGTTAGGGCGTGGATGTTGTTGTCAACAATAGTACAGAGTACAGAGTACAGAGTACTCTGATCTGGTACTCCGTACTATCGTATCGATCGAAGAATAGGAGTCGATCAAGTGCCTGAGGCATCAATACCCCCGCTATTTGCAATAGTGCCCGTCAATGCTTCGATAGTTCTACTTTGTTTGGTGTCTCAATTCTTCGCCTTGCACCGTTACTGCTTCTCCAACAATTAATGGATCAATGGAGCACAATACTGTCCGCTCCCGGCGCACGCATCAGAAATCGCGACTGGGTTGTCGCAACTGTAAAAAACGCCGTATCAAGGTGAGTCCCTGCCGGCATAGACATAGACGCATGGAAGGATGCAATTATGGCTGACGGTGGCGACTCCGGGTCTAGTGCGATGAGAAGAAACCAGCCTGCTCCAATTGCCAGCACCATGGCATCTCCTGTGACTTTACAGCATCTCTCCCAGCCTCACCTTCTCCGGCCACCTCCGATCCTGATGAGCCACAACGGCGCCCTGCCTCGAAATATCGGTTCAGAGCGTCGCGATACCAGTCCCAATTGGGCCGCATTAGTATGCCCGTTAGTGAGACACCCACGGCCTCGACCGGGGTTCAATGCGACGATCCTTCTATTCGCCCGGATGGTCTGTCGCTGCCCGACCTCCAGTTATTCCACCATTTTGTCATCTCGACTTACCGCACTGTTGCTGAGGATGCTCACGGCTGGGAACTGTGGCAAGTCCATGTTCCTCAGTGGAGTATGACTTTTTCGTCAATCCTCCATCTCCTTCTGGCTTTCTCGGCTCTTCATCGTGGCCATCAACAGCCGGCGTCGGCACCAGAACTGAGAAACCGGTATATCGCGCAGGCGGACCAGCATTTCACTTTTGGTGTCAGCACTGTTACCTCGATTCTCTCTCAGTTCGAATTGACTCAGGAGAATGCCCAACCCATCTACATCGCTGCTATCCTCATCTGCTTTGTCTACTTTGCACGCGGGCCGCCGCCGGGGGAGTACCTTGTTTTCAGTGACACTGGCCAGGCGGAATGGCTGGTTCTTCTGCGCGGTGTCCGGTTTATCGTCTCAACGCGACATCAAAATATTTTCAAAGGAGTCATGGCGCCGCCCGATGCAGATCAAGAGATGATGAAGCAGCGCTATATCAGCCCGGAATGGCTAGAGATCTGGAGAGGTGACCAGCGGCAGCTCCTGGAGGTTCGACAACTGGTCCGCCAGAGGAGTGCCGATTTTGTCCAAGGAGACGTGTACGTTTCTCTGGTTGACAGTCTGATGCAGACGTTTGAGGATGCATATGTCAAGATAAGTGCGCACCGGGAGAGAGTTGGTTTGATGCAGATCATTGTCGGTTGGCTGTATCGCCTTCCTGAAGCGTACATCAGTCTCCTGCAAGAGAAGCAGCCTCCTGCATTGGTTATACTTGCGCATTGGAGTATTTTACTTCAGTACATGAGGTCTGTCTGGTACATGCGTGGCTGGGACTATCATGTCATCGACGGGGTCCAGCGCTTTCTACCGTGGGATTGGAAGGAATGGGCATCCTGGCCTTTGAGACGGATGCAGTCAATAGAACTTCCCGGATAGTATCCATTTACTGGGAGTTGGGGATTGTTTTTCACTTTATTTTTCTATTTCTCTCTAAACAAGAACGGCTAAATACATGAACAGAAGCAACGGTTAAGCACGAATTACACACGCGCCCCTGCATACTGCGTCAAAGGCACATCGCCCGAGTTCCGATCCGCCATCAGCATTTCCCCCTTCTGTGCGTTCCGTGCTCTCTTGATCAGCAGTCCCGGATGGTACACCATAAGGACGACCACGGAGATGAGCATCGGACCCGCATCGAAGACATAAATGAACGCCTCCTTGGTATTCAACGGGGACTCCTTGCCAGATCCGAACTGAATCAGCCGGATCAAGTTGCGCAGCATAATCGTGAAACACGAGACATACAACGCCCACATGTACCGCTTCCAGTTCAGATTGGGATTGTGAAGCAATACAGGCGTGGGATCCCGATTGCACCGCCGATGAAACACGGCTGCAATTAACACGAAGAGGCAGAACACTATCAACGAGAAGATCAAGCCAGCTAGTGTAGCTTTCTTGCCGATGTCCATGACATTTGCGTCTCCAGTGACTTGCACGCCTGCACCGGCTATCTGTGTGATGAAGGTGATGATATCGTTGAGGACGAAGATCGGAGTGAGCCATTTGGGCCGGATGCTCGCGTGGTGTTCGGCGTCGAAGGAACGGATGACTCGCCCGAGGAACATGTAGATTGTCGCTGCGATGAGGGGAGGCGCGCACATGATGAGCATTTCCTGCAGCGCCCAGGGGCCGATTTCGGTTCGAGATTCGTGGGACCAGGCGCGGCCGTAGTAGCCAAATGTTTCACCTGTTCCTCGTTAATGGTGTCGGGATGAATACTTCTGAATTAACTCACATATACCCCCTAACACCATGGGAATAAAGTACGCCGCTTTATAGGGAATCATGAGCACAAAGTGTGCGATTGTGGAGAGACCGAACAGCGCCATAAAGGCATATCCAGCTTCTCGAGATGGGTAGTATGGGTAGAATTCCACCCACGGGTCCGATCCGTTTATGCCTGGATGAAATGTGAAGTCCATAGTGTAGTTTTAGTTGAATAGAATAGAATAGATTCTGTTAATTCTCAGGTTCGAAATCTACGACGTTCCTCTGCCTTTAACTACGTCGTGGAAGATAAGAGGGCGCGTATACTCCTTTACCCGAATAGGCAATTTTGAAAACGAATACGCGTGGGTCGTGCGCAAAAAAAGCGATCCAAGGATGATCGTCTGGTTTTTCGTCTGATGCTTGTTGATCGGCTAATTATAGGCATTGTTTCGAATAGACGGCGGTCTGTCTACAGGCAGGAGTTTTTATGGTTGAGATTCTATTGGCAATGTGAGTGTCCGGGGCTACTCCGGAGTAGTTTATATATATATATCCGTGAGGAATATGCTTATCATCTACGAGTACGAGAAAGTTATGGAATTAACGAAGCAATGAATTGAACTAGTATTGTACATGATTAAGATTGATTATGTTGTTGAAGACACCGAAAACAAGCAAACAGAACCAAAGCCAAGTAATGCAACAGTTATTCGTCAAGCGTAACTCGTAAGTACTCCGTAGTACCCGTCGAAATAGGAAGGTCCCGTTTACTCGATGGTGATCTTCTTCGTTCCCGAGACAGCGTCCTTGGGCACCACCACCGAGAGGATGCCGTTCTTCAAGCTAGCCCGGACGTTGTTCTGGTCGACACGGCCGGGGAATGAGAAAGCGCGGTGGAATTGGCCGACAGAGCGCTCGCTCGCCCAGTAGCGGTGCTTGTTGTTTTTAGACTTGTTGACGGATTTCTCTCCGGTTCTGGCGACATCGCTGGTCTCGTCCTGGCCTTCTTGGCCTTCTTGATCCTGGGGTGTGTCATTGGCGTTGGTTTCTTGGGATTCGCGCTCGGAGCGGCCCTTGATCACCAGGGTCTGGTGGTCGGAGAATTCAATGTCGATGTTCTCCTGAGAGATGCCGGGCAGTTCGCCGTCGAGATAGTAGGCGTCGTCGCTCTCACGGAAGTCGAAGCGAGGGGAGAACGAGCGGATAGAGGAGAATTGACCGCGGTTGGTGCGCTGGAGGTCGCAGTTGTCCAAGAGACTGAACAACGGAGCGAAGTCTCCGGGAGAAGAGATGTGGAAAAGAGACATCTTGGTGTTCAGAGTTGTTCTTCAAAGAGATGTGAGAATGCTATAGTGTCGATGGAAGCTTTGTTCGGAAAGATTTCGATTGCGTGTTTGCCTTGTAAATGCTTGATCGGAAGCTGGTGGTCAACTAGAGACGGTGCTGAGCACCCTTATATACCTGAGATGCTCGATTCCAGAGCCTGCCATGATGCCAAACGTGACTCATAATCGGAGCAGCTAGATGGTGCTCGACAGCGCTCGAGATATCCCGTTAGGGCTCGCTGTTTGGCGCCGGCCCTGCTAGATGCTTCTCGTTGCTGCTGGACATTTCTCGGCGTTTCGATAAAATCACGTGATTTCCAAATAGGAAAATGACGTCATAGGATATCCAGCATCAAGAATCAACATGAGAACCGACTTCATTGCAGCAGTACCGATACGGACTAGGATTACCGACGGCGACAGGTCTGGTTCGACCATCTACGGCAAATTCCATATATTTCCAAGCAGCAATCAGGGATCAACAAGTGTCCAAAGGAAGTTTTGATCGAAAACAGTCCAGCTCAAGTAATACCCAATGCCGATAATTGCTTGGTTGTTTTATCCGGCTCGATGCGAAGTCACTCTTGAGACACCACGTTGCCACCGGACCAATGTACTCATCCAAGCTCGTGTTTCACAATCCAGTACAATCATCCAGTACAATCGAGAAGACCCTTCATAGAATAGGCCCCAAACGTATCGATAGTCGCCGGTGATGGGGAGATGATGGGTACTTTCGCATCCTTCGAGACGGTAGTTTGCCGTAGATAGTATCGTCGCGACGGACCCCGGAAGCCCCAACCAACAATGCGGATGCGTGATTCCATCTCGAGTGGAAATGTCGACCGAAGATAGGACGTGGCTTGGGATACAACGGAAGAGGAAAACGCGTCTTCTCGAGATTATTCCGATTCCGATTCGTCGGGCTGCATAAGTTTATCGTCCAAGTCCTACAATCCTGATCAGCTAGGAACCCAGCGCATCGTTCTTCCTGGTCTCGTACCTTGCCCAACCTGAGCTTCAAGTTCTGCAATTGACTCTCCTTGATGACCAGATGGCGGTCATCGTCCAGGTCCTCCACTATGTAGTCATGTCGTTCTTCGTCGTATTTGAGGATAATCGCTTTCACGGAAGGGTCGCATTCGATTAGAACACCTGGTCGCGTTGGGTTAGCAGGGAGCAGACTGTTGGTGCAATCGATCATACCTCGAACTGCGCGGGGCATTTTGTCTGAGTATAGAAGAATAAGAAAGGCAGTGATGGGGTTCAAAAGTGAACGGTATAAACGGTCAAGATCTCGAAAAGTCTTGGTCGGCGGATTCCCGTGATAGCCAAGACATCCAAGGCACCAAGGCAGAAACTTCTCTAATAACTAATTAACTAGTATTAACTAACTAGTTACGGAGTACAATGCTCTGCTTCGAGGGCTCATGAATAGATCGTCCTGACACCAAAACAAGCATCCAAGGGCCACGTTTCACAGGAGCAACAGCGATATTAAGGCCTCGTAAGGTAGCGTATCATGTACCAGAAAAAGTACTCGGATATACAGCAGCATGTGGTTTGCCTCGGTCCAGAGCACTCAGGCATTGAGGCAGAAACCCCCTTCTCTATCTTCACTTTGTCTCCTCAGCCATCTCTCACGCAGCATTCCTTCTCTATTACGTTCCTAAAATTTACTCGTGACTGCTGTGGTGCGTTGGGGCTGTTTGTCACATCCTAACGTTTAGGGCACAGCAAACAAAGATATGCACCTACGCCTTAACTTGAGAAGTTACCTGGTTCTACAGTACGTCTCGAGTCTACGGAGTACTACTGACGGAGATCTGACGAGTCAAAAGACTGCATATTCGCCATATTTGAGACGATACTGTCGCGAACACTTTCCTGATCCTAGATCCCGTCTCATTGAATACATATGGGGGAAGGTACCGAACTACCATGACTCGCGCTGAGAACACAATGATGGATTGCACTGCAAAAGGATACATTACATGAATGAACTAGTGAGGATATCAATGTCTATGGAAAGAAAAAAGTTCGCAGGCGCTTTGCTAATAAAACAGAAAAACAATGGCACTTCAGGACGCAAGAACAGCGGCAACTTTTTATGCGCCACTCGAAATGATCACATCCGCTGCCTTCTCACTGAGCATGTAGATGGGCAGAGCGATGTAGTATCCGGGGATCTTAGGGAAGACGGAAGCGTCCACTACTCTCAGGCCCTCGACACCACGGACACGGAAGTCAGAGTCGAGTACAGCGTTGTCATCGTCGTCTGATCCGATAGGCGCCGTGCAGCAAGCGTGGTGACCCCAGGCCTCCTTCTTGGCGAAGTCCTTCAATTGTGAATCGGTGGAAACGTTCTTGCCCGGCCAGACTTCATCAAAGTCACCGTCGAGCGGAACCAAGGAGTCGAAGATGTTCCGCGAGAACTTCATTCCTTCGATAACAGCCTGCAAATCCTTCTCATCGGCATCGTCCTCGGTCGAGCCGGTGTCGAAAGAGTTGAAGTTGATAACCGGAGTGTCTCTGGGGTCCTTGGACCGGAGCTCTACAGTACCGGCGGTGTTGCGGGCGCGTGCCTTGAGGGTGATCCAGGCCCAGTGGTTGGACTCCTTCAGTGCGTTGTACGAGTATCCGGGGTAGTATCCCTTGAAGTACGCAGGGGCACCGGAAACCAGAAGGTCCGGGTCACCGTCGCTAGTCGAGGAGTTCCGGGTGACGGCAATTGCAATACCATTGGTGGTGTAGGTGCCCTTGAGGAGCGCTCCGTTGTTCTGCCACTTCTCCATGCATGGGTCGGGCGTGGTGGCAAGGAAGGTGCACTCCTCTGTCAGGGTGAAGTTGGTTGGCGACTCGCCAATGACACTGACCTCATAACGGTCCTGCAGGTTCTTGCCAACGCCGGGAAGGTTGACAAGAGTGTCGATACCGAGTTTTTCCAACTCTTGCTTGGGTCCAACACCACTCAGCTTCAGCAACTGAGGAGTGTTGAAGGCACCGGCAGCAAGGATAACTTCACGGGCAGCCTTGACACTTCCGGAAGAAGAGGCAGTTGCATTGCCGGACCGCGGGTCTGCCCTGTACAGGCTCTGACCCTTGAAGTAGTCAACGCCAGTGGCCTTGGGCTTGCTGCCGGAGGTATCGAAACGGAGGTTGGTGACAAGGGTGTTCATTTGAACGTCAAGGTGGTACTTGCGCGAACCGTCCGAGTTGGTGGCCTTCTGGGTGTCCACGATGAAATCCCGAGGACCAGTACGCCTGTAATCGGGGACATCGACAGCGAGGGGAACTTGGTACGGTCCGGTCTCTTGGTCACGGTCCTTTGCGTCGCTGTTGAGGTCTCGAAGGAGAACTTCACCGAGACCAGTCACGGTGGTGAGAAGCTTTCCGATGAGAGACTTTCCAGCAGCCGTGGCTGCGGCGATGATCAGAGACAGCAGCTTCCGGTCCTCGACAACGAGCGTCAATTGTGTCAAACTGGTGGTGAGCCAGCCATCATAACCGTGTCCCGACAAGCTGCTGGGGAGGTAGCGGTTGCGCTCGAGCTTTTCGAAGTATTTGCGCATCACATCCGGAGCCCAGGTGTCGTTACCGGTGATCGAAGCGAGGTCCTCCCAGTCCTTTTCGTACGGGTAGATGGTACTAGTCGTAAGCCGTTAGTACCAGCCTCACACAACGCTATCAGTCAAAGTTTTGAACTTACATCATGGCGTTGTGAGCCGAACATCCTCCCAAAGTACCAGCACGCGGGTACAGGACTCCCAGAGGGTCAGAGTTGGCGGGCGGGTTGGGACCGACGTGAAGCTCGCCCGACGGGGTCTTGTAGGTCATCTTGGTGTCCTCCTCCTGACGACTCAAGTCCTGGTAGTGGTTGACGAAATAGTCCCATTTTGTTCCCTCGTACTCGGTGGACTGCAGCTGCATGGCAGGAGCCTGGATCACGGGTGCATCGAATTGGTCATCTCCGGCATCGAGGAGCAGGACCTTGTGACCGGCAATTGCGAGTCTTGATGCCAATGGACCACCTCCAGGACCTGAGCCAACCACGACATAATCGTATTCAACGTCTGTTCCGCTGGTCGTCTGGGTGGTGTTCGAGCGTTTGTGCAGCCATTCGTGGTGCGATCCATGGGCCCTATGGAAACGTTCAGTTATACCGTGATGGTGAATAGTGTTGCATGCCAAATCACTTACGAAGCCAGGACCGCCGAAAGAAGGGAAAGAAAACTGAAGCCTCTGATTACAAGCATTTTATCAATGAATGCAACGCCCTATGCCTCAGCACGACGGGTAGAAAGAAAAGGAAAGAGTGACTTGAAGTGAGTGGTTGCTGGAAGACAAGATGAATGGATCGAAGATGCTTTGAATATAAACCCGGGGAAACTACACCCTCGGTTTGACTATGCTATGGCTGCAATTTACACGCCAGGAGTACGGAGTGAGGACTCAACGGCGATCCATATGTGCTTGTTTCCGAGAATAGCGCTAACCGTTGACTTAGTCTAACGGCCTTCACTGACAGGTGGGCTAGTCCGACGGAGCGGTCCAAACCCAGGTTCCAACCCAATAAACTACGTGACCCCGGAGATGAAACATCGTGCATAGAGCGGGCCCGACTCCTGGGTTGAGGACTCTTCAGGAGAGACATCGTCGAGCTTGGTCGAGCTGCCGTCAGTGCTTGCTAGGTCCGATTCGGGTTTTCGGCATGCCTTAGCGTGCGGAATATTCCATTCATGGCATTTCATACGGAAATACTTTGCTAGCCACTTGATGGCGCGTTCTACCCGGACGGCCTCGCAAAAGTACTGTACGTCCATTTCCTTTTTCCCCGTTGATCCTGTGAACTATGGAATCATATCGAGTATAGAGCACACCCCTTACTGATTGATCCATTACCAGGAATCTGTTTAACACTGTACACGCAGGAGGAAGGCGTTGCGCTCGTTCCCTACCCTACTGGTAATTTCCCCATAATAGCTCATGTTGTTATCGCACTAAACCTTCCTGCCGGCGATCACACTACAAACCCCAGCTGATATATTAACACGGATTACCGGGATACGGGACCCGGTCTAGCGCTGAACTATGAGCTATGCATGCAGACTACGGGCTGGAGTACTCTATCCCGTGTACTGGTATTCTGCATATGCAGGGATGCTTACGTTTTGGGAAAGCCGATTTTCCTGATTATCTGGGATGATAGTCGAGACCCTTGTGATGCACAAATACCGTCTCCCAGAATTATTCCGGTATCCTGTTCCAGAGGCTGTTTCTCCCTTGCTTCTACGGAATCCTTTGACCAAAACGCTCAGGGCCACAGCGCAATTCGAATTAATAATCTAGGAAAATACAAGGCCACTACGAGTCAGTCCTTCTCTGTGCACCATAGCGCAACCTCTCTAAGCCAACCTTTTACCGACTGTTTGCTTTTGCGGACGACATCCGGTACTAGCCCTAACTGGGCCTAAATAACGTGACGTCCCTAGCGTTCCACCTACCCACCGCTGGAAACCAATGAGCACCACTTCGGTCATATCCCGGTCTCCACAGACTCGTGCGCCCCACACGGTCCACCGCAACGGCTCTACTTTGACAGGGGCTATATTTTTTATTTCCCTTATTTCCGCTCTTATTAGGGGACTCGGGGGTTTCTTCAGCGGAAAGAGGAAGATACCTTCCCGTTAGTCTAGGGAGGGTCTTACGGCTTAGCTCACCTGTCATAGAGCTACGGCAGGGCCCACTCAACGGCTATCAGACGGCAACTGGTTCCGGTGAGCAACTACTACTGAACGGGTATGCTGTGTGCAGGCTGTCGCTACTATCCGTCTCGATGGTATCCGAAAATGGTAAGAAGAAACAAGACCAATACGGTTGATATTGGGATATTGCAAGACTGCCGACAGTATACCAGAAAAAGATACCACCCAAAAGACCGTGAACGACATAACTTTTCCCAAGAATGAAATCATAAGGAATTAATAACAACTAAACAATGGAATAGAGAAAACGAAAGAAAGAGTGATTAAGAATGAGCGAATAAAGTGAGCAAGGATATCACGGATTAAACAACCAAAAGCAAACGACACCAGAGTTCATCATGCTTGCGAATGTGCATGTCCCAGATGGGCGTGACTGGAATTGTCCATGTCAACAAGCGGAACGAAATGATCTTCGTCGCCGCCCTTGACCTTGGGAGTGAACTTGCCTTCCAGTCGTGATCCGGCACCAGATCGTGACGTCGAATAGGTGTTGTTAGTACCTTTGGAGGCACCTTTGGTTGTGTCCCCGAATGCAGTGGGAAAGACACGACGCAGTAGCGAGCGAATGGCTGGGAGACAGGCGCAGATCACGCCGACATGACATTCGATTGTACTCCAGTATCCGATTTCGACGTAGTCCCCTATACGGGTCAGCTCGACTCGCCAGGATTTCGCTTGATTAAGATAATTGAAGACTCACATGTGACGTTCTGTGTCGTGGCAAACTTGATGAGCGATTCTAATCGCAGGATACTGACCAGGGTGACGCTGGTTTGGTCAGTAAAGAGCGCTTCCTCTCGTCTGAACGGGTTGACATACAAAATACCCAGACTGAACATGCACAGAACACCCAGCTTCTTCCGCAGCGACAAGTTCAAGTGGTACAATTCCCGGAGCGGCAAAGCCATGACGACGATATCAAGAATCATGTTGGCGATAGCAGCCGCCCACCCTTGGGCGTTGATGTTGTTGCATTTGAAGTTGTGCTCGCCGTCCCAACGCAGATATGCGCCATTAATCGGGTCACACTGGAAGACCGAAATCAAAACGAACGAGATCAGGTAGCCGACACAGAACGCCATGACAACATAGGCTGTCACACGGATCTCTTTCTTTGGGAAGACGCGTAGGTAGAAACAGAGGATGGATATCTTGGTCATCGGAAGGATACTCAGGTAGAGGACCTCGTCGATCATGTATATCTGATGCTGGTCAGTCTCAAGCAGGTTAACTTTGACTAGGGTCGACTAACATAGAGAATGTGAGTGATGTTCTCGAAGGGGAGCGTCCACATATCCTTTCCAAGACCTGAGTCGGCCACTGCATTCATTGGTCAGTCTCAGCGTTTTTTTTACTAGGGGAATCTGGTGGAACACATACAGACTATTGAGAACGCGGACAATGGAATCACCATCATCTGCAAAACAATCAGCGTTGGAAAAGAAACCTACTGCAGGATCGAGGCTCCATACCATTGTAAACACCATCGTCGCATCATCCCATCCGAATTGGCCACCAAGGCAACGGAATCTTGCAGCGATCCGGAGAATGAAAGCGACCACGGACAGTACACCTCCAACGATGCCGGCAATAGACACAGTCTTTGATCGGTCCCGAATAGGAGCATCGCATGCTGTTTTGGTCACATTTTTCGTAGCTGAATTGTTAGTGGTAGGTTCCGGTTATTACGATGAGAAATTGGTGAACCCACTGAGAGATTGCTTGATTGTGCAGCTCATCAATACGCATGCCTCGACATTCGTGTTCAATTCGGTATTTGTACATATACAGGTCTGGTTGGTTAAGCCACAAGTCGATTGCTCTATTCCCGCCACCAGGCATTTCAGCTATGAAGAGGTCAGCTTGATTGACTCGACTGCAATTGATTCTGCTATCATACCGCACACGGAGGCAGAGCAGTGGCCAGTTCCTGAATACTGCTGGCCGCTGCCATGGCAGAGAAAAGCACTGAGACCAGTGCTGCGATCCAGGTCAATCTCATACTGAGTTGCCTTTTGGTGCCGTGATATCAAAAGAAGGAAAAAACGAGCGACTATGGTTGAATTAAAGAGACACGGGAAAAGAAACCCACGAGGAGACACCGATCACTTTTATCTATAACCTTGAAATATCCTGCAGATGAGATTTATCACCCCCCGATTAGACTAAGCCCGTTCCAAGCCCAACAGTCTGCATTGGCGCACAACGAACGAGGGGTGATCAACAACTGGTTGACATTTTTACACACACTCAACGACACGGACACACGCACTGTTACGGGGCGGATTCGGAGCGGGAACCTGGAAGCTCTTCCGGAGGGGATACACGTATATCCAAGGCCATTATAGCCAACATGCGTTGCAGTTCCTTTTTCCATTTTTGGGGTTTCCAGCGTATTTCTCACACGCTCGTGGCCAATAGTATGTGTGCCGGCTGGGCAAACTTGGTGTATTGTTCTCTGCACATACCAGCAAAACCGTCCATGCTCCACGCTATCCGCATATTATGGCGGGCCAACGGAAATGATTACTCAAAACACAAGCTTTGCAGTTTCCCACGAAACGTGCGGAATGGCTGACCGGAGATTGTGCGCCTTGGCCGGGCCAGAGGCATACCGAGCGTTTCCCACCAGCGCTCTATTGGATTTACGGCGCTACTTTAGTTCATCAGATATGGGTTTGTCTGAAGGCTACGCTGCTGGAACTAGAAAGGGGGAACACACAACAGTAAGCGCATGCAAGTACTCCGTACTAGCTTCGAGCTGTCATCAACGTCTCGGCCGTTAGCAGTGCTAAGGAGGCGATTACGATCTACACAGTACAGCATGCCCATTACCCCGGACCTATAGTTTTTGCTGTCAGACCGGAAAGTCCACGCTACGGTGACTACAGAATATAGAGCACAATGATTTTCAGTGCGACAGTGGCAAAGTTGTTGATCGATTGATTGATCTTCTGCCAAAAATACTCTGCAGCTACGTATACTCGATTCTGGGAAACGATGACATGAACACGTAATATGAGTTACCAGTTTGACGGATTGATATATGATACTTCATACGGAGGGAATCAACCTACGCAAATAAACACACCAGGAGGACGTCGATGCTATCGACAGATGGCGCTCCATCAACAATTGAATCGGGAATGCTCCCAACAACCACATTGCATATGTGCGGTGCATGGATCAGGTTTACGGAGGTTAGTCGTGCATAAGGAGACATAAGAGCATTCCCGATCGAGTTAGACGGCCATGAATCAGGCGGATGTTCATTTGAACGTGCGCCAGAGAATTTTCCGCCAGCTCCGTCACACTAAATTAGTCCAGTGGAGCAGCTCGAGACGGCACGGTGGATCACCACGAGCCTGACATTAGATGTGGATCAGCCCCGAGTCAGGTTAGTCGAGATCAACACGTCAGGACGTTTTGGGAGTTGTTGACGACCGCGCGGTGGATTTTCTGCCTTCCTGTTTGGGATATCTGAAGACAGCACAAACTCGCCCTGTGCACGGAATTCCCATCGAATCCGGCTGGCGTTAACAGCCAGCCCCTTACAGAGGACTACCGGGATGTGTCGCCTTGTACAACTGCCGAATCTGCTGGGATTGGTAACTTCGTTGAAGAATCAGAGATTCTGCAATTTTCAGGGTCATTTTTGTTGAACGGCATTCTAGAACACTCCGGTCCAATGCACCGGATGCTGAAAGCCCATATAACGCATGCATTGCTGGGTACGGGGTAATCTGCTCTTTTTCGAGAAAGCTGTGCTTACAATGGCTAACGATACGGGTATCATAGTATGTATAATATGGCGTCGTGGCCATAGAAGACCAATCGTTATCTACTAACTCGGCCCCCCCCCCCCCGTAACTAGTGATGCGGCTAATGACTCTCTGGAAGAGTGGCCCATCCCCATTCCCAATGTCCGAGTGACAAGTCAAAAATGAGCTTTTAATAAGCAGAGATTGCAGATCTCCAGGTCCTCCGATCAGAATACTCCTGATGCCTATGTATTCTTGAAAAGGCGAGACCTCCGCTTCGATGTCTTCTTTTGCTGTCCATTCATGACGTTCTCTACTATTCTGTCGACAGTCACTCCTTTCTGATATTCAGTCACCAGTCGTTCTTTTGATTAGTTTTTTATAGTCATTCGTTTTTTTCAATTATGAGGGCGTGGAAATCGGCATTGCCCTTGGCCCTTTTGGGTATGGGCGCTTCCATCGTTGATGCTATGCCCACCGCAGACAATTTACACAAACTGATGAATGGAGCGGGCCAGATCCCTAAGAACTGTCCCTATTCCGATGTTCAGGGTGGAAGCGTTAAGAGTAGCTTGAACAAGCGACTCCTGGTGAATTCGTTGAAGACTCCCGTTAATGGTATGTATAGCTTTCCGCAAGTGATAGTGACATACTGATGAGACAGTCACCGGTGATCACGCTTTCCAAGCGCCTGACTTTGATGATGGCGACCAGCGTGGACCTTGCCCTGGGCTCAATGCGCTGGCTAATCATGGCTATATCCCTCGCAATGGTGTTGTGTCTGTAAGTAGCTCGTGCCTGGCGCGATAATATTGGTGCTGACGGTCAAAGTTTGCCGAAGTGATCCCGGCCATTAACAAAGGTGAGCTTCGCGGGGTTAGATTTGCGATGGGACTTTTCTGACGGTGGTAGTGTATGGTATGGGCGTCGACCTTGCTACGGTCCTGGCCGTGATGGGCACGGTTTGGGGCGGAAACCCGCTCTCGTTGAACCCCAGCTTCTCGATTGGTGGAAAAGACGATCGGGTCAACAACCTATTGGATAACCTTGGTGGCCTGTTGGGTATGTCATATTATCCGCGGTTTATCGTTCATATAGCAACCCTAACAATGCAATAGGTGATCCGCAGGGTATTATCGGCACACACAACTTTGTCGAATCCGACTCGTCCTTGACGCGCGATGACCTGTACATGACCGGGAACAACTACGCTCTCAACATGACCAAGTTCGAAGAATTCTACGCAATGTCCACGGATGGCACGTTTGACATGGACTTGATGGCCGAGCGGGCAAAGGTCCGGATGGACCAGACCAAGGCGACCAACCCCAACTTTTACTATGGACCGGTGACGGGACTTCTCGCGCGTAATGCTGGATACATGTTTGTGGGACGCATTTTTCGGAACCATTCTGAGGAGCACCCGGAGGGAGTTCTGAGTACGTTGGAACTGCTCCAAGTGTATGATGTATTTTGACTAACAACCGGTACAGCCAAGGATATTGTCAAGAGCTTTTTCGCCATCCACGGAGAAGAGGGCAACTTCACCTACAACGAGGGGTGGGAAAGAATCCCCGACAACTGGTACAAGACTCCCGTGGACTATGGATTGGTGCAGCTCAACCTCGATACGGTGGGCTTTGTCACCAAGTATCCCGAGCTGGGCAGGTAAGTGTCATCTTTGACTCCGCATCGGATACAATCAATAACCATTCTGTAGCATCGGAGGCAACACCGGAACCGTCAACAGCTTTACTGGCGTCGATCTCTCTGACCTGACCGGAGGCGTCCTCAACCTGTCCACCCTCCTCGAGAAGAACAATCTACTCTGCTTCGTTTTCGAGGTCCTCAAGTTCGCCAGTCCCAATGCGCTCTCCGGTCTGTACAAGACGCTGTCTGTGCCGCTTGAGATGGTCACCAAGGCTATCGCAGCCCCGTTGCTGAATATGACGTGCCCGGCCTTCGATGACCTGAAGATGGGCGGACAGGATTTCTTCTCCGGCATTCAGAGTCAATTTCCTGGTGCGAACCGAACCGGTGGTGGACTGTAGGGTCGTACGGCAGACAAGAGATGAGCTACTACATCGCCATAGCCAATCGAGTTTCGAATGAATTAATTCTCCTCACTGTTTAATTTCAGATATGGTTTTACATGAAGACCAACCTGTTGTACAGTGGCGGGTCATGTGAGTTGAGGCTCGTATTCTCACATCTTCTCATTGCACCTTCACTTTCAGCCCCAACAAGGATAGGATCTGTAGACCCTCCTGCTGCCTGATATTCACGTGATATATGAGCCTTGTTTGTTTTAAAAGAATCTTTGTACGCTGGATTTCTTCTTCCTCCTCCATTATCGCATCCTCTATCTGAACGCCCGCGGAACCAAAAGTCAAGATGGACCAGTCTCTGCAGCTCGCCATTAATCACGGACTGCCTTTGGCGGGGAAGAATGCAGAAGACACGGAGCATTTACTGTTGGTTTCCCTTACGGAACTTGAAGACGCCGACGAAGCGAGCCTTGTCCAGAATTTTCAGCATTCGCTGCATGGCAAAAACGTTGACATTCACTCATGGAGACCGTCTACTGAAGTGCTGCAGGCAATCGCGCACCAAGGTCAACACCGGGATAGCCAGACCAACCTTTACGCAATGGGTATCCTGGCCCATCGCGCAGGATGGACGAGCCTGATCGTTGCGGACGAACTGACGAAACGCCAGCTCAAGGGAACTTGTCGAGTGGGTGAAAATTCTTCGATTTCCATGGTCATGATTGCTATTCAATCATCTAACACGCAGCCGGGTCATGAAGTTCGCGTGGTTGCCAAACGTACAACTGGAGAAGACAAAAACAACGCGGAGTTGATGGCGACAATGCAGACCTTTGAGCCGCAAGAAGTGAATGAGTACAACAACGAGATGTTTACAAACGACGGCTTGGTGCTTCATGACACGGATCGAGGTGTGTTTACCGGTGATATAGCAGCGAGGCTGGAGTGGGAGGAATGCTCGATTAGGGGCTCAACTACAGAAGATGCCTCATGGGCAATTAATCATGGAGCACAACCCGTTGCGTTACCGTCATGGGTGTACCATGACAACCGCCATCTGAACATCTTCCTAATGTTCCCAACCGCAGAGGACGAGCTTGCAAATATCAAATCAACACTGCAGAGCGCCGCGCGGAAGTGCCACCAAAAATACGGCGGCCAGGACCAGGAGATGGCCATTCAATTGATTCCATGGGAGTATCATTATGTGGCGTCTCGGCGCGGATTACTCAACCTGTGGGACGGATATCAGCAGCAGATTCTGGCCAACGACTATTCGTCAAGAATTTACTTCCTGCTGGAACCCACTAAGGATACCGAGCGTGTCCTTATCGGAATTCTGAACTATGACATGCTAAAACCAGCCATTGTGTCGTGGATATCTCTGGAGCAGGTAATCATAAAAGAGCAGCGCTGGGGATTATCCGCCAAAGAATGCCTGGATCGTCCGAAGCCGCACATTCCAGAGAGCCAGGAGTCAGAGCTCATGTATCCGCCAGAACAACCGTTCTATGTGAACAATCCGCCTTGGCTCCCGGCCGATGACCGCATCAACTGGGTGCCAGTGTTTTACCTTACTAGTAACCTGACCAAGGATCAGGACCAGGCAGTTCGCGCTGAGCTCCACACGACGAATACGTTTGACCTCGAGCAATGGGACAAACACTGTTGTTTTGTTCCCTGGAAAGACGGCCAGCGAGATGGGACATTGGAAGACATGTGGGATATTTTCTGGGATGTTTACACGTATAGGAGAGATCGCGCGACGTCAATTACTCCACCTCTCCCTATCTTCTTTATCGACCAACAATCTGGACATGACCTGACAGTCATCGCGGTGGACTCTGACATCCTCTACACCAGAAAGTCAAACACTGCTGCGGCGGAGATTCTCAAGAATACACCGGCTCGAAAGGTCAGAGGATTCTTTCACGGTCGACTCAGCGGTCGGGACGCACATATGGCACATGCGAACTTGAGCATCGCAAACATGGGATTTGACGAATTTACCGAGGCGAATCAGTTCCCAAGACCGGGTTGGCCAGGGCACGGGATACTGGAAGACGATGAGTGAGGTTAACTATGTAGATTGACGTGATACGATGAGATATGTGCAATAAGATATGACTACAATACACCTTGGCCTCATGCAATGGAATCAACAGCGATAGATCTTGCGTAGAAATAGTTGTCTTCAGTGTAACTTGAGTTATCGAATCGTGCTGCTTGCGCAAGACTCAGCTGGGGTCAGCTCCTGGATCGAAGCATGCGAAACATGTGGATTTCCTGGCGAGCACTTCCATGCCCTAGATTCATAAGCCTCAAGGTCTCGTGGCCAAATCTCACCATGCAGCGCCTCACATGCACGTCTTCCTTTCTAGTCCTAGTCAGATCTTTTATTCGATGATCTCCCACCTCCCAGTACGACAATGTCCCATAGAGTGTCTGCTGACTGCATCGGAGTCCTTATTGCAGGCGACAGATCAACCCCGATGCTATACTATCCTCGTATTCGGCATAAAGCCCACACATTCCAATGATGCAGTTCAAGGATAGCAAGCTTTCGCTGTCATCCATGGCGAGATAGTAGTATAGACGGCCGGAATCCCACTTCAGCCTTATCATATCAGACGTATCGCCTGTGGTAACTCCTCGTGGCTTTCGGTCTCCGCGGACAGTGTTCCGGGCTGTCATTCCGAATTCCGAGTTTCCGAGTCTTCCTAATCGGGTAGTCGTGATGACTGCGGAGGTCCAGTTCGTTCTCTATACATATATAAAGCTCTTAAACTCCTTCCTTTGCTCCTACAAAGAAACTCTCTTCCCATCACATTATTTATTATCGCCACAATCATGACTCCACATCCTCTCGCAGGCCTTTCTCCAGACGAGATCAACGTCGCTCGCGATGTTGTCGTCGCTTCCCATCCCGATACCATTATTTACTTTCGTGAAATCTACCTCTCAGAGCCCCCAAAGGCTCAGCTCACGGAGTTCCTGGCACTTGAACACTCTGGCCGATTGAGTCCGACAACACCACGGCCCTCTCGACTGGCCCTATGTCAATACGATGTGATTGGCCGAGAGAAGTCCACTGAATACCACGAATCCGTTGTCGACATTCGACTACGAAGACGGGGAAAGCATCAGGTTGTGGATAAGAAGTTCCATGCTGCGCTGGTGGTGTATGTTGTTTCAAAGTAATGCGAGGTAACAGGCAGCTGACACAACTATAGCGATGAATTCTATGTCTTTGTCGACCGCTGCAAAGCCTCTCCTCTTTTCCAACAGGCACTGGAAGACTTTGATCTCCCTAAAGGCTTTGATATAGTCATCGAGCCCTGGCCCTACGGCGGATTGGATCTCTCCGACGATAACCGTCGATACATGCAAGGCTTGATCTTCGCCCAAGACAAGACAAAAAGCAATGAAGACGCGAACTTCTACTCCTACCCACTGCCTGTAATTCCAGTCATGGACTGCGCGACAGAAGAGATCGTCCGCGTGGACCGTCCGGCCACCGGAGGCAAGGGCGATGGACTTTACGACCAGACGTTCAGTCGCGACATCATCGGCCACGCCAACGCATCAGACTACGTCCCGGAATTGCTTCCGGGGGGTACGCGAAAGGACCTGAAGCCATTGAACGTGGTTCAGCCGGATGGTCCCTCGTTTCGCGTCACGAATGAGTCCCTGGTGGAATGGCAGAAATGGCGTTTCCGGGTGGGCTTTAACCCGCGTGAGGGTGCGACAATCCACGATGTATGGTATGACGGAAGGAGTGTGCTGTATCGGCTGGCTGTTAGCGAGATGGTGAGTTTTCCTTCCCGGAGTGGAGCACTCGAGGTTAACTGTGATAGACGGTCCCCTACGCCGACCCTCGACCTCCGTACCACCGCAAGCAGGCCTTCGACTTCGGTGACGGCGGCGGCGGTAACACGGCTAATAACTTGTCCATCGGCTGCGACTGTCTTGGAGTGATCAAGTACTTCGATGCATTGCTCACAGAGACCGACGGTAGCGCAACAAAACTGCCCAACGCTATCTGCCTGCACGAGCAGGACAATGGTATCGGCTGGAAGCACAGCAATTGGCGCACCGGTCGGGCTATTGTCACGCGTAGTCGTGAGCTGGTGGTGCAGTTCATTATCACGCTCGCCAACTATGAGTACATCTTCGCCTATAAGTTTGACCAGGCCGGTGCTATCACTGTCGAGTCGCGTGCGACGGGCATTCTTAACGTTGTCAACATTGACCCCTGCAAGACTAGCGAGTATGGCAACGTTGTCAGCGGAGGGGTTCTCGCCCAGAATCACCAACACATCTTTTGCGTGCGCATCGATCCTTCTATCGACGGACACGACAACTCTGTCGTTGTGGAGGAGTCCCATCCGGTGCCTATGAATGAGACCACCAATCCCAACGGCAACTTTTACCGGGTTATCGACTACACTGTAGACCGGGCCGGCTGGTTGGACGCGGCCCCGGATCTAAACCGCGTGGTCAAGATGACCAATCCACACCGGACGAATCCAGTCAGCGGCAAGCCAGTCGCGTACAAATTCACGCCCTTGGCCACGCAGAAATTGCTTGCAGACCCGAACTCGGTGCAAGCAAGACGGGCGCAGTTTGCTCAGCATCACGTCTGGGTGACCAAGTACCGGGACGGCGAATTGTACGCTGGCGGGAACTACACCTTGCAGAGCCAGCTGGGGATCGGTGGTGTCTCGGACGCCGTCAAACGGGGAGATCGCGTCACTGACACGGACGTGGTGGTTTGGAGCTCGTTTGGGCTGACGCATAACCCGCGTGTGGAAGATTGGCCGGTGATGTAAGTTGTCCCTTTCCAGGCGAAAAGTGAAGACGATACTGACGAGATAGGCCTGTGGATATTTACCAGCTCAACATCCGTCCATCGGACTTTTTCACAGCGAATCCTTCCTTGGATGTACCGTCGAGTCGGAATGCATCGTCGCGTGTGGTACAGTCAGATTGCTGCCGGGATGCGCATATCTGAGCGAAGAAGAAATATGTGGGTTGAGATTGTATTATTACTGTGGTTGAGATACCTCTGTAGTGATTCCTGAATGATTATGAGAATGCAAGCCATCATAATTATTTGCTATTTCTGTTTCAACCCAAGAGTAGTAGTACCATCACTTCTTGACAGCCACCACAAACAACCGCGGATAGCCCAAAAGCACTCTGCCGTCAACCGACTTGGGATAAGCAGTCTCGAGACGCTTCAAATAGTCGTTTATATAGGCTTCCTTTTCTTCTGGTGACAACGGATCAAGATAGGGTCTCAATCCCGTCCCCTGAACCCATTCCACTATTGCCCTATGATTCTCCAGGGGATGGTGATAGTCCGTCTTGAAGATGTGCACCTCCGACGACAGTGGAATGAGCTGGTCATAGATCTCCCGTGGTGTCTGGAAGGCGTCTCTGCCGGTATTCTTCAGTGTAGCCGCCCAGGGACCGTCTGCGGCAACTTCTCTCATCAAGACATGAGACGGCTCGGTCAGATTGTACGGAACTTGGAAAGCGAACGCGCCACCAGACGGCTGCGGTTCCATCAAGCGCTTGATTAGCGCAATCCGTTCATCCTTTCCCAGCCAGTGCAAAACGGCATTCGAAAAGAAGAGATCGACAGATCGCGGGGGCGAGTAGGCTCTCAGATCTTCCACGGTGAATTCAAGATTCGGGAGTGTCGACTGTGCTTTCTTGATCATATCGGGTGATGAATCCATGCCCACGACATGAGCGTTGGGGTACCGGTGTGCCAATACGGCCGTTGAGTTCCCCGGTCCGCATCCTAGATCAACTATTGTTTTGGGATCTTGGAGAGGGACCCGGGCGAGCAAGTCGCGCGCTGGCGTGGTTCTTTCATTCATGAACTTGAGGTATTGAGAAGCGTTCCAATCTGTTTGCGCCATGGTTCTGGCGGAAGAGGATAGTGTCTGACGACCTGAGAACGGTACTTGTGATAACTTGCGCCCGACAGCTAGCGATGGGATAAGCTTGAACATGTCAAATAAAGGGATTGTTGTAGACGTGGAAATCCGGGGTAGAGTAGAGTGAGATGAGCCGCGGGGTTCTTCTAGTGCTACGGCATGATGTTAAGTTCCTAATCGGGGTGCCGATAATCGGATATAATAGTGGCGAGGTGAACATGACAGACTATGTACACACAGTGCCCTTGGTTAGTGGGAACTACAAGGTCAAAAAAACAGCGCTACTAAGAGAGCAATCATGAACCAGTAGTTCGGTTATGCAATGTTGCTGGATATCTCCTATGTATTGACCATGACTTCCTTTTTTGGATAGCCTCGGAGGCTCGGAACAAATCCCGCTATCGGCCGGCATCGCCTGGTGGTTTTTTCTCTCTTTCGGAGTGTTCGCCCCTGCATTGTTGCGACAATCGCATGATATTTCTCATTTGTATACTGATCTGTCGACGTACAATGAGCTCGGAAACCCCGCGCGACTCGTCGGAACAGCTTCGGACCAAAAAACGTGCTCGATACACGCAGGTGGCTTGGTATATTGCATTATCGTTGTCTCTCAGGGAATCCGCAACTGATGTCTAGTGTATATGCAGCAATGAGTGCAAGCGACGCAAGTTGAAATGTAATGGCGAGATTGTCTGCGCGCGCTGTGAACGCGACGGCGTCCAGTGCGTTTACACGACCAACGCCCATGTCGCGGCCAGAATTCCTGATGTGGGAGAGTCGCAGGATGGCCAGTGAGTTTGCGATTCGACTAGAATTTGATGGATGCTTACTGACACCGTCAGGGTGGACTCGCAATTCCGCGCTGTGGACCGCAAGATCGAATTGCTCCAGCGTGAGATACAATTGATGGCCGCTCGTATGCGCGAAATGGAGACGGTACTGGGCCATCGTGACAGCAATCGAACCGCCAACCCCCAGGTACCTAGCGCGTATACACCGGCTGCTGCATCAGCTTCGGGAACGGGAACGACATCCAGCAGCGCCGGTGCTGCGCTTGGTCGCATTCTCAACCCACCCAAATCCCCGACGTACATTGGCCCTACGAGTGCAGAATTCGGGCTCACTGCGCGCCGGAAGAGTGTCAGTGATGGCGAAGAGTCTAGCCCGTTGCCATTAGAGGCAATTCTGACGACTGGGGATCCTATCACGGAGCTAGGACTGGCTGAATCGCTTCGACTGCTGTCGGTATACGAGCAGTCGGTGGGAATCATGTACCCCTGCGTCGACCTTGACAGCGTGCGCACATATATCATCGATTTTATTCGTGGGGGCGGCAATGCACCAGCGGTGGCCAACGCAGCAGACCAGGACTGGTTCTTTGCACGCGATGCGTCCGTTATCAAGATGATCCTGGCGACGGCCTTGCTAGCGGAATCACACGGCCGTAGTGAAAGAGCGGCGCAGTTGGCAGACATTGTGGAGGATGAGTTTGCTACTCGAGTTAAGATTGCCGACGTGGATATGAAGGAGCTGCTGATTTTGGCGTTGTTGGTAAGCTGTGTCGGGTGGCTGGCGAAGAGTTTACAACATGGCTGATGCAAAACTAACATTTTGCAGTCTATTTTTCATTCCTACCGTGACGACGAAGTCATCGCCTGGCGTCAGATTGGCCTGGCGGTTCGAGGGTCCATGCAGCTCGGACTACACCGTCAGGAGACCTGGCAGCGAACCGGCGGTGTTTTCCCCGGCGAGCTACAATGCAACTGGGCTAGTCGTCTGTTCTGGTGCATCTATGTCCTCGACCGCAAGTGGTCCTTTGGCACTGGTCTCCCATTTGCCATCCAAGACTCGGATATGGACACTAACCTTCCGGAGCCTGGTGCTGCGACTCCGTATCTTACCTGTATGATCAACTACGCCCGACTGAGCACTAAGATTTGGGGCTTGGTCGTGGGTTGGCCTGGCCGACCACGATCCTCCACGTCGGATCGTTGCTCTTATCTCGACTTCCAGGTCCAGCAGTGGATCCAGTCTATTCCCCCAGAGCTCCGATTTGATCCATCGCAATTCCAAACCCCTGACTTCGACCCGCCTCCGGATAGCATGGTGATGCAGCAGGTCTTGTTAGCTTTGCAAGCTAACCAGCTGCGCATCTTGGTATATCGCCAGAACTTGCTGAGCACGGAAAGCATCGAGGCAGATTTCTCGGGTGCCTCCGTTGCTGTCGAAACAGCGAAAAGGACTGTGCATATGCTGGACTGTTTTAGTCGTGTTTCAGGCTTGTACTTCCAACGCCCAGAGCCGTTTAATTACTTTCTGCTTTCAGCGTTAGCTGCGTTGTTCCTGGCTGTCCTGCATGCTCCCAACCGCTTCAGTCAGGTTTGTCGCCCAGAGTTCTATTCGGCTGTAGATTTAGTGAGACGATCGTCAACCAGAGCCCGGACATCGCGACGACTACAAAAGATTATTCGCAGTTTGAAGTTGATCCCTTTGCATTGGGACGGTGGTGAACCGCGCGCTCATGACCAGGGGAACAGGAATGTTGCGGCTTCTAGCGCTCATGCTTATCACGCCAGCTCGATTCCAAACCATACGGCATACACGTCCACTCCTGTTTCGACCTCTTCTTCACCCCATATCCAGTCAGCGATACACAGTGTTCCCACCGAGCAGCCTTCTACAGCTTGGTCTACAACACCAGCGGTTACCCTCCCAACCGATACAAATAACAGTTGCGAGGACCTGACAAGCTTCTTCGAACTGGCGGGAGGACTATACTTTGATCCGCAAATTGAGACGGAAGTCGACGGAAACGGCAAGGGCCATGGAGCGTTCGTCCAGACCAGTGATGCGCGTCTATCCGATGCTATTCACGCGGAGGATGAGGCATTAACAAGGGTGATGGCTGGGCTGCTATAGACATAGTATATTCTAGGCAATTTTAGTCAATCGGCCTGATTAAGTGGCGGAGAAATCTCGGGCCTGAATACCTTCATGGACAAACAATCCTTCCCCTGACAGGGACAGACCAATCGGCATAGCCACAGTGTCTCACCGGATAATCAAAACGAGCGAGATATGCGTGCCTGCAGGTACCGCTATGCGACTATGCCCGAGTGATGCATCTTCTCCGGTGCATGGATTATATTAACCGGCATCATAAGCCTTGTCTGTCCTCTTCAACGCCTGCAATACCTCGCACCTATGCTGGGCATGCTCTGTTGAGTCAAGTGGCTTGCAATGGCATGGTGCCAAATTGTCGGCAGTTTCAGTCTCCGAGAATAAAGCGACTTATACCGGCATCTTCAGTCCAATGTAAAACAGGGCTGTCAGTATGATAGTTTCAATGGGCTCTCAGATTTCTTAAGTTTCTTCTTACAGCTTCAGATAGAGCAAACCCGGTGCGCCTAGTGTATCGGCGTTCTATAAATAGCCCGAATGGATCACCTTGGATCCCAGGATCTACTTTATCCGCGGCTTTACTTTATTTACCGGAGACTACAGAGTAGCATGACATGTCGTTGACTTCTTATCGGTTAAATGGGACGGGCTTATTTAGCGTCCTACAACATGTGATGCACCGTTGATTGACGGGGCGCTTCAATTGAAAAATGATACTTGATCGCTTCGGCATAATGGACATGTCAGGAGCACTGACGGATTTAAATAGTCGACCATGCCTCTTATGACGTTCTAATTTCTGTCGCATCATTGCAGCAATGTATACCCTTTTCGCAGCCGCCATATCGGTCTTTGCTCTCCAGGTTCATGGATACGCTGATCCAGGCAGTTGTTCTGGAGTGTGCAATGTCCATGATCCAGGGTTGATTCAACGAGACGACGGGGTCTATTTCCGCTTCTCAACGGGGAATAAGATCTCATATGCCCAATCGTCGTCCATTGAGGGACCGTGGACAGCCGTGGGATCTGTGGTGCCGGATGGGTCATCGATCAACAAGGCTGGCAATGACGATCTCTGGGTATGTCGCTCTGCCTGTCTTTTCCTTCGGCTTCTCTTCTCCATTCTTCGCCTGCCAGGCCTGTCCCAAGGCGTTGTTTGGATCCATAGATATCTGGGATTTAAACTGACAGCTGTTTCATTGATCAATATTAGGCACCTGATGTTCAAAATGTCAACGGCGTTTACCATGTTTACTATACGGTGTCCACTTCCGGCTCGCAAGACTCTGCAATCGGATTAGCGACGTCCGACACGATGGACGAGGGTTCCTGGACCGACCATGGGGTGACCGGAATCTCGTCCAGCTCGTCAAAATCGTACAATGCCATCGACGCAAACCTTTTCAACGATGATGGTACTTACTATCTCACCTTTGGCTCCTTTTGGCAGGATATCTTCCAAGCTCCGCTGAACTCTGCTGCGACAAAGACTGCTTCTTCGTCATACAACATTGCATTTGACCCGAATGGTGATCATGCTGTAGAGGGAGCATACCTGTACAAATCTGGCGACTATTACTACCTTTTCTATTCTGCTGGAGCATGTTGCGGTTATGATACGTCCAGACCGGCTACTGGAGATGAATACAAAATCAAAGTCTGCCGGTCGTCATCGGCTACTGGTGATTTTGTATGTGGCCCAGCTATCTCTCTGAAGCATAAGCTAACGAATTTCAGGTTGATGCAACTGGAACTGCCTGCACGGCAGGTGGAGGGACAGTCGTTCTTGAGAGCCATGGCAACGTCTATGGACCTGGTGGACAGTATGTTTCTTGCTCTTGTACCAGTTCAATAGCATCCTGAAGCTAACTTCTCGCAGGGGCGTCTTTACCGACCCGGATCTTGGCCCCGTTCTTTACTACCATTATGTTGACACGACGATTGGCTATGCGGACAACCAGAAGCTCTTTGGATGGAACGCGATCGACTTCTCCAGTGGATGGCCGGTGGTATAGGAGGCGTTCATTCAGCGTTCTGGATTCGACGGATGAATAGGGCGCATGTAGCGACTGAAGAAACACCAAAGATACGACGGGATTTGAGCAATCAATTTTACTCGAGACAGAAGGCAGTACAGGCACACGTCTTGGAATTGGCCAAGCCTTCTTGACGACTTGAATTAAGGCTCGCCCTCGATTCCGAATGTTCAGTATCACATAGTTTATCTTTCTATTCAGAAATCGAGTGAAAATGACAAGCGGAATTTATGATTGAGATTCGAGTCGCCATTTAGTACGAAGTACGCATAAACAAGAGTAAGGAGTACTAACATTAGCTCTCGTTACCAGCTCAACCGACACGCCTACATCATCATTGAGACACCTAATCAAGTGATTGCCCATCATTCTTGCTTGGACAGTCCATATGGTGCCATTGTCTTTTTGGATTTGCTCACGTGGAAGCTTCAGGTAGTCTGTGTGGTTATTTGTCGCATGCACGGAGTATTGTGTCGGGCAACACCAGATCTATATCTATCACCTGGATTACTGCCCTTATTCTGGTTCACATACGTCAATCTCACTTGAATTTACCTTCAAGGGCCTGCTCCCTTTAAAAGGAAGTCTATTTTAAGTCACATCGCCAAATAAGTACGAACATCGAGTGTGGTCGGGATATTTCTAACTTCCAAGAACTCGTTCGGCAGGTACGATGCAGATATCTCTGGGACCTGCTTTCCAAAACGGTCTGCATGCCTTTCGAGGTCAAATTACCGCTCTCGAGCTTGGGTGTTCCTGCGTGGTCGACTCATTCGAGTATGCCCGATGCCCTAGTACCACAGACAACGACCCTGCCCTTGAACTTGCATCGATGAACAGACACTAGTATTATTGCCCTTGTATACCCCATGCTTCAATCCAGGCTTAGTCGAGGGTTTATATCATTATATTTAAGGTTAACTAGGTCAGATGCAAGGGACGCGTCGATTTATGATCAATCCACCGCCAGACCCGGCCGACTTCTTTGCCCGCCGTTTTGAATGCATGTATCTATGGACGATCAAGATCAATTGCCAAATTTCTAGAATATCTTTTACATGCAGTTTCATATCCATGCCTGGGAAGGCAGATTAGATTCACGGATTTGCAAAATCGCCGGTTCGCCACAGCATCAACAAGGTATGAAGGGGTGCGCATACTCAAACTACGGTGAAATAGAGATTCAAATGCAAGGAGCTCTACTCGAAATAGGAACAACATCATGTTCCGGCCTATGGGCTCTCAAGGCGAGGCGAGGGGCCTTGTGTTTTCTTCGGCCTGAGCGTTGGATTTCTTTTCATTAATTCTTCACTCATCTTCCCTCGTCTTCGCCCGTTGACTTCTTATAATACTTACCATAATTCCCGGAACCGGCGATTTCAACCTTGCCCGCCGTTATGCGTGTCCAGTCCCTTTGTCAAGATGAGAGCATCGCTACCAACGGGCACCCTCCAGTCGTGGACGGGGATGAGACGCCGACGCGAATGGCCATTGTCGGCATGGCATGTCGTCTCCCTGGTCAGGTAACAAGCCCAGAAGACTTTTGGAAACTTTGTTCGCGAGGACGAAGCGCGTGGTCAGAGGTACCTCGCTCTCGGTTCAACCACGCAGGTTTTCACCACCCAGATCCTCAGCGCCCCGGGACGCTGAATCCGCAGGGTGGTCACTTCCTGGACGAGGATCTAGGACGGTTCGATGCGCCATTCTTCAGCATAACCCTTCAAGAAGCGCGCTCGCTCGATCCCCAACAGCGGCTATTGCTCGAATGTACATACGAGGCTTTGGAGAATGCGGGCATTCCCAAGCAGTCCCTGGCCGGGTGTAATGTCGGAGTCTTTGCGGGAGCATCATTTGCCGACTACGAATTGAGAAATATGAGGGATCCCGAGACCATTCCCATGCATGAAGCGACGGGTAATGCAGTGTCGCTGCAGGCAAATCGCATTTCGTACTATTTCGACCTCAACGGACCCAGTCTCACAGTTGACACGGCCTGCTCTTCAAGCCTGACGGCAGTGCATCTGGCCTGTCAAAGTCTGCGAGCCGGAGAATGCTCTGTTGCCATTGTAGCCGGTGCTCATCTCAATATAACTCCCGAGGCGTTTATTTCCATGTCCTCTGCAGGGTGCGATTACAATACCAACTCCTCGCATTTTAGTTGAATTCAATGACTGACTAAACTTGTATTTTGCAGCGTGTTCTCGGATAGTGGGCGGTCCTATGCGTTTGACCACAGGGCGAGCGGTTTTGGTCGTGGGGAAGGTGTTGGATGTATCATCCTGAAGCCGTTGGACGCCGCTCTATCCGCTGGCGATTCTGTGAGAGCAGTCATTGCTGGCTCTGGGATAAACCAAGATGGGCGCACAAGGGGAATTACACTACCAAATAGCGCTGCCCAGGAATCCCTCATCCGCTCAGTCTACAAAAACGCGCATATCGATCCGTCTGATACCGGTTACGTTGAAGCCCACGGAACGGGTACGCGGGCAGGTGATCCATTAGAAGCTTCTGCCTTGCATGCTGTGTTTGGGAAGGGACGTACACCGAAAGAACCGTTGTTTGTGGGGTCGGTCAAAACAAACGTCGGTCATACTGAAGGGGCAAGTGGTGTGATCTCGGTCATCAAGACGGCGATGATGCTGGAAAAGGGTTTCGTTCTTCCGAACTGTGGGTTTCAGAAAGCTAATGACGAGATTCCGGTTGACAAATGGAACATAAAGGCAAGTTTATGTCTCGCGATGAACCCAAGCACAGTGCCTCTAACCTGTCGTTTAGATTCCCAAGAAACTGGTCCCCTGGCCTCGCGGGAAAAGATATGCCAGCATCAACAACTTCGGTTTCGGTGGAGCCAACGCTCATGTGGTGTTGGAGCAATTTTCGTCCCTGCACGACGGTGGCGTCAACGATAAGTCTCCAGCTCTCAAGCGAAAGATAATCACCCTTTCCGGCCACGACGAGAACGCGGTGAAACAGCAAGTTCAGAAACTGGGCTTTTATTTGGAACAGAATCCGGCTGTATTCCAAGAGAGCGTGTTCAATGACCTCGCATTCACGCTGGCGCAGCGGCGCACTGTTTTCCCATGGCGCTTGGCCATTGCAGGCTGCTCCACGATCGAAATAGGGCAGCAACTGTCCGCCGAGCCGGCGCCTTCACGTGCTCAAGGCTTGCCAACTATTGGGTTCGTTTTCACTGGACAGGGAGCCCAGTGGTTCGCGATGGGCAGAGAGCTGCTTCCTGCGTACCCAGTTTTTCGACGGACCATGAAGGCTGTAGACAACTGCCTATCCTCTCTCGAGGCAAGGTTTTCGATTATTGGTGAATTAGGATCCTGCCTGGTCTTGCCACAAATTACTAACATGTGATAGATATGATCGAATATGGTGATGCGGCGTCAAGTTCGATATCCAAGGCGTATATAAGCCAGCCTGCATGCACAGCTATTCAGCTAGCCTTGACCGATTTGTTACGCTCCTGGGGGGTCTTTCCCAGTGCCGTCACCGGCCATTCCAGTGGTGAGATTGCTGCAGCATATGCGGCTGGCATTCTCACTCTGGAGGAATGTGTTCGGGTCGCCTACGCGCGTGGTGCGGCAGCAGCCCTGCTGACGAAGGATACGAGCAACGGGAAAGGATTGATGATGGCCGTTGGAACAAGCTGTGCAGCTGTTCAGCCGTACATCGATAGGGTCCGCGGTCATCGAGCTGTGGTCGCTTGTATCAACAGTGAATCGAGCGTGACTGTATCTGGAGATGCAGGAGCCATATCCGAGCTACAATCGACGCTGGACAAAGAAGGCATCTTTGCGCGGAAACTGCAGGTCGATGTTGCCTATCATTCACATCATATGCAGCGCGTTGCAAAGCAATATCGCCAATTGATTGGAGAAATTGAACCCCAGGGATCGTCTGTTCCTTTCCATTCCACTGTCCGTGGTTGTACTATTCCGCCGTGCGATTTGAACGCTACCTACTGGGTTGACAATCTCGTCTCGCGTGTCGAGTTTGTAAAGGGTGTTCGGAGCCTCCTAGGGCAGAAGGTCTCCGCCGGGGAGACAGAACGACCCATTAGTACAGTGATCGAAATTGGACCCCATTGCACGCTCCAGACACCGATAAAACAGATCATTGAGCACCATTTCTCCAACGCAAAGATCGATTACTTTCCCAGTTTGAAGCGGAAGGTCGATGCGGTTGAGGCAATGCAGCAGCTTGCGATAGGGCTGTGGACGCGAGGCTTGCCACTGGACTTCGAGAGTATCAACTTCCCCGACTTACGGACAAAGGCAGCGGTATTGACCAACCTATCCCCATACCCGTGGAACCACTCGGAAAGTTACTGGCATCCAGCTCGCCTATCCGACAACGTCTATCAGACGCCATTCCCTCGGAATGATATTCTCGGTTCTCTAACCATGGAAAATATCGATCTCGAACCACGGTGGCGGAACGTTATATCTGCCGACGCTCAGCCCTGGATAAGACAACACCGGATCCACAACAATAGTGTGTACCCCATGGCAGGCTTTTTGGCGATGGCCGTTGAAGCTGTTGCACAGCAAGCTGCGCTCCATCAAGTCGCCCTTAACCGTATTGAGATGCGCGAGGTGTCTGTCGGCCGAGCGCTGACAGTCCCCGAGTCTTCCTCTGTTGAGACAATGCTATCAATGAGGCCATGCACCGGAAACTCCCCGAAAATGTGGCACGAATTCCGAATCTTTTCTTGGTCGGAAAATCGTGGATGGGAAGAACACTGCCATGGGTTTATTATCGGACTAGAGAACAAAGAGCCTAACCCGGTCGACGGCCATCGGCAACAGTCTTCGAAGGTGCTGGATGCGGTTCACCAGGCAGCATCAATGCGAGCAGCATGTACGACCGCCGTGGACAGTCATTCGCTCTATCACAACGTTGCTCAATGCGGTGCGCTCTACGGACCGCTGTTTCGGGGACTCACTGATATCGCTGTCAGCAACGGTCACGAAGCAATGGCTAAACTGGCAGTCCCGGATACCAAGTTATGCATGCCCAAGGAGCATCAAACATCCTCCATTGTGCATCCCACTCTTCTAGACATGTGTATTCAGCTTATATGGGTGCTTTTCGGATGCTACAAGCCCGGGTCGAAAACAACCCATTTGCCATTGTTCGTGAAGCACATTGCCATCTCTCCATCTCATGGCCTGCAACCTGGCAGCGAATTGCAACTGTATGGAAATCGGATTAACGCTATATCCACGCGTCACCCACTCAGTCACCGTATCTTTGCGACCAGCCCAGGAGACCCGGCGAATTCCGTCATTGAAATCGACGGTTGTGTCACGATTCCTCTGCCCCACGATGACGGCGGTGTATCGGAAGCCAGACCCCTCTGTTACAGAGAGCATTTTGAACCCTGTTTTGACTTTCTGTCGGAGGCGGATTCAGACCTTCTCAAGGGCCCTGACTCGGGTGACGGTCCAGGTGCCCAACGGACTCGTCTTCTGGATGAAGCTTCACATGTGTATCTCCAACGTGCTGTGAAGAGCATCAGTAAGAATGAGATACTTTCATTTAAGCCACACCTCCAACGCGTGTTCCGCTGGGCCCAGAAGCTGTGCAATGCGACCACATTTGACACCAGTCTATGTGCACAACATGGAGACCAGGAGAGACTAATCCAAAAAGTTCGGACTATGAATGCGGTTGGTGAGCTGACTTGCAAGCTCGGGGAACGCCTTCCTGAGGTGCTCCGAGGCAATTTCGACCCATTGGCCGTCATGATGGAGGACGATTTACTCAGCCGACATTACGAAGATAACGACCACCTGCTTCAGAACTATGCTCGAGCGACCAAGTGTATCGACGCAATGGCTCACCAGAACCCACATCTCAAATTCCTCGAAGTCGGTGCAGGGACCGGAGGTGCCACATTGCCCATTCTGCGGACCCTGGGAGGGGAGGCCGGATCGACACCGCGATTCAGCCATTTCACTTATACCGACATATCCCCCGGCTTTTTCGAAAAGGCGAAGGACAAGTTTCAGGCCTGGGGCCCGTTGATGTCGTATCAGACTCTAGACGTCTCTTCGGATCCGGTCCCACAGGGCTTCGAGCCGCACTCATACGACGTGGTTATCGCGTGCAATGTCTTACATGCAACTCCGCTCATTCGACGCACCGTGGCGAATATCAGACGTTTGCTCAAGCCCGGCGGAAAGCTGTTGCTAATTGAAGAAACCCGGCTAAAGTCCAGCCACTTCATATATGCACTCCTTCCAGGCTGGTGGCTGAGTGAGGATCCGGACCGCAAGAACGGACCTCTGTTGGAACCAGGCCTATGGCAACGCGTGCTCAAGGGAAATGCCTTCTCCGGTATCGACGTCGGTATTGATGACTATCCTGGAGCACCACAACGAGCATGCACTCTCATGGTCTCAACCGCCACAGATACCCGAATCCGGCCGTCTTCGAACAATATCATTGTCATGAACACAGGATTCCTCATTCCAAGCCTCTGTCGTGCACTCCAGCAAAAGCTGAAGGATCTCACTGGGGGAGTCGTGAATACGAGGGATTTCACGACTGATCCGACAGGCAAGTTGTGTATTTTCGTTGACGATCCAGACACTCCACTGTTACCTTCTCTTACCAAGGAGAATTTCCAGGCGCTTCAAAAGATGCTGGCTCGCTCCAGTGGGGTTCTGTGGGTTATCCAAAAGGGCAACACTGGCCCAGAGTCGCTTGGTGCACACTTGGCCGTTGGGCTAGCTAGAACGGTGCGATCGGAGACAAGTCTTCCATTCGCTACACTGGATGTCGGCGTTAAGGGCAGTCTTTCAGAGAGTCAAGTCGCGGGCAGAATACGGGATGTTTTCAACGACGTTTTCTGCAACTCGTCCGTTCTTCGCCACGGGGATATGGATTATGTCGTCCAGCAGGGACGAATCTGCGTTTCTCGAGTTGTGGACGACGCGGAATTGAATGAACACCTTTTCCAGGACACGGAGCATGCGCCACCCCAGCATCAGGCACTCTGGCAGCCATCCAGGCCCTTGAAAATGGTTCCTGCAGGCGATGGTGCCCTGGCCGATTGCTTCTTCACGGACCATGAGGCCGTTCGCTCGCCCCTACCGGACGACCTGGTCGAGATTCAGGTCCAATATGTCGGCCTCAACTTCCGCGATGTCCTAGTCGCTATGTCGCAGATCCAAGGAGGACAGCTTGGCCAAGAGTGCAGCGGTATTATCACGGCCGTTGGGGCTGCTGTTGACGATTTCCGTGTGGGTGACCGCGTATGTTCGACGGCTCCGGGGTCGCTCGCGAGTCACATACGAAGCCCAGCGTCGAGCGTGTGGAGAGTGCCGAACACAATGAACCTCGAACTTGCTGCATCCGCTCCCTTGGTGTTTGCGACTGCGTATTATTCTCTCGTCGACATTGGCAGGCTCACTCCGGGAGAGTCTGTTCTCATCCATGCCGCCGCGGGAGGTGTTGGACAAGCCGCTATCATGATAGCCCAGGAAGTCGGAGCCAAGGTCTTCGCAACAGTCAGCAGTGAGCACAAGAAGCGCTTTCTAATGGATACCTACCAGCTCGCAGAAGATCAAATATTTTTCAGTCGAGACACGTCGTTCGCAACCGGAATTTACAAGGCCACGGGTGGACAGGGGGTCGACGTGGCATTGAACTCGTTGACTGGCGACGCCTTGCGGGCAACTTTTGAATGTTTGGCTCCATTTGGACGCTTCGTGGAGTTAGGGAAACGCGACATTATCCAGAATTCCCGATTAGAGATGGTCCACTTTGACAAAAATGTGTCTTTCTCCTCGGTAGATTTGTCCCTGATCATCCGAACACGTCCTGCGTTGTCAAAGCGGTTGCTTGGTGAATCATTCCGCTTCTTTAACAAGCCTGAAACACAGGCACGATGGTCGATAACCAGTTTCTCCATTGCCGAGCTCGAGTCCGCATTCCGGGCTTTACAGGGAGGTCGCACCACGGGGAAGATCGTTATTCAAATGGGAAAGGATGCAATGGTTAAGGTAAGGCATTCGTTTGCTGCTTGTCGCTCATTATGTTTGCTAACTGTGTCTGGTTATAGGTTCACCCAGCACGCAGACCGGAAGATATCCTCTCTCGTGATGCTTCGTACATTGTGACCGGTGGCACAAGAGGAATTGGACTCGACATCGCCCGATGGTTGCCGGAAAAGGGTGCACGGCATCTGATCCTCATATCCCGGAGTGGTACGGCAAGCGAGGAGTCCCAACAAGCACTGCGGACGCTCGAAGCAGAGGGCGTGAAAGTGGAAGTGTGTCGCTGCGACGTTGGCGATTCGGCCGATTTAGCGCAAGCGTTGGTACCAGTACTGAAGCGAATGCCTCCGGCACACGGTGTTGTTTACGGTGCCATGGTCCTCCGGGTAAGTTTATCTCTGGCCTTTTGGTTATGAGTCCTGGTCAGTTCTTCTAACCATGATACAGGATATGTTATTTGAGAAGATGAGTCTCGAGGACTACAATGCGGTAATTCGGCCTCGGATGCACGGTATTCTGAACCTTCAACGGATCTTGCAACGCCAGAGAGAGTCCAAGCTGGACTTCTTTATCAATCTTTCGTCGCTCTCCAGTGTTGTCGGTACGATGGGACAAGCTGCATACACCTCCAGCGGTACCTTTATGGCCGCTATGGCCCAGTATCCTTCACTCGCTGGGGTTCCCTGCCGGACCATCGATCTGCCCATGGTGCGAGATGTTGGATACCTGGCTGCGGACCAGAAGCGACAAGAGGACGCCAGTCACCAGCTTGGAAGTGTTTCTATCGATGCTTCAGATATTCGCGCGGTTCTTGCAGCCGCAATGCGGAACGAGATGGAACACTCCGCCAACAATCATTGCCTGCTCGGTCTGAATGGTGTCAAAACCACGCCCGTCAAGGAGCTACCGTTCTGGGCGCAAGATCCGAAGCTATCGCATTTGCTTCGCTCGTCCATTCTGTCGGAGATTGATTCGACCCAGACTCAGCAGTTCGATACCAAAGTGTCACCAGCATCTGCTGTACGACATGCTTCCAGTTATTCCAGTGCTGAATCGTTAGTGGTCGATGCTGTGGTGCATAAGATCGCCAGTACCCTGATGCGTCCGGTGGATGAGGTTGATCCCTCTGCGCACATTTCCGGCTACGGCCTGGACTCGCTGGTGGCAATTGAGATCCGTAATTGGATTACACGAGAGCTGGAAGCCAACTTGCAGATTCTAGAGATCCTCACGAGCGATTCCGTGTATGCCTTGGCTCGGACCATTTTGGGTAAAAGCACTCTTGTCTCTCCAAATGTACGCACGGCGTGGAATTCCGAGATGTCGAAGACTGCTTAGTTGATTTTCCTTTCGTTTATATCATATATCCCTTGTTGCCCTGTCTTTAATCCCGGCCAACCTATTGTACCTAATTAGAATAATGAACAAAAGCCACTTGAGGCAATTGTTCCTTCACAGTAAGTCGTAGAGTGTTCTTGTGGTCTGTGGGAGGACGAGTAGACCGCGGTAGTACTTTTGAATCGACTTTACTGTTGCTTGAAACACGCAGAAGTAGCAGAAGACGAGAGTTGGGGGATGTGACCGAAAAGTGACTACCCGAGATATATATTCTTATCCATGGTCTGCGCCCAAGTCTCATTTTCTCGATGCTCAAAACATAATCGCCAATATATAGTGATTACGCCTATGTAATCTTATGGAATAGATACTATTATACACCCCCAATGAGAAACTTGCCAACAGATAATACCTCATTGCTTTTCCGAGTTGATAATCTGGTCCGAAATCTTCTCTGCGAGCATGTCTAGAACGCCGTCAGTACCGGTTATATCAGCGCCAGATGGATTTTACTTACACACTGTGGACTGTGGGTGACCCGGAGGCAGGAATGGGAATGCGCTCGCATCCACCACGCGCAGACCTTGAACCCCAAAGACCTTGGCTTCGTGGTCGACAACGGCCATGGGATCGTCCGATGTGCCCATCTTACACGTACACGCAGCATGCCATAGAGTCATGATGTTGTTCTTGACAAACTCAAGGATCCCCTCGTCTGATTGCACCTGCTTTCCGGGGTTGTATTCCTCGCCAATCACCACAGGGGCCATGGCATCGCTTCCGAATGCCTGTCGCATTCGTTTGAACATGGCAATTGCCATCTCTTGATCGGTTCTGCTGTCCAACCAGTTGGGGTTGATGATAGGCAGGTCCGACGTGTCTGCAGATTTGAGTGTCACGTTCCCCCGAGACAACGGAGCGACCAACACCCCGAGCATGGAGGCATACTGGTAACCATCCTTCGGCTGATCGCGCAGGAGGTTGGACACATTTCCGATGTATCCAGCGCCAGAGATGTACTGGTTGAGTTAGCTAATGTCTGGGAATTACAATCCATGCCGTATTACCTCTGCTTCGGGCCAATCTTTCGGGAATCGCTTTAAATCATTCTCGGTTGAATCGGAGAACTTCGAATGCAGGCTTTCTGGAATTTTCTCCCAAGCCAGATAGTCGGAAATAGGGTTGGTGAGCGGTCCGGTGTGCGGAATGGCCTTGTCGAGAAACTGTGTAAGCAAGGAGAGGAGATTCGAAGCAGTTTGGGTGAGCGTCTGGACGTTCACTCGATAGCTCGGTGCGAAGAACGGATGATCCCACATGTTCTGGCCAACACCAGGCAGCTTGACTACCGGATCGATGTTATGCTCGTGAAGCGTCTCTGCCGGACCAACCCCCGACACCATCAACAGCTGAGGCGATTGGAACGCGCCTGCGGAGACAATAACCTCCTTCTTAGCCGTGAGTTTGAAAGTTCCCAAGGTTCCCTGCGCTTGCACCCCGGTAGCCTTCTTGTTGTCGTCGAAAATAATCTTTTTTGCCAGGGTGTTGCTATAGATCTTTCGGCTCGCAGGTTTGATGCTCGCTAGGTAGGAGGACTGGGAGCTGCTCCTGGTCTCGTCACCGGGCCGGATGGTCGACGAACAGTATTGGGCGCCCATGACGGTCCCGAGATTGAAATCCTTTTGCTCCTTGATCCCGATCGCCTCCATTCCCAGCTTCATCCAGGTCGAAAATGGCATTGCGTAGTTGGAATAGGACACATGCAGCGGGCCTCCTTGATCGTCAAACGCGGCGGGGTCGAAGTCGGCAGTAGCATTGTCGAAGCGGGTGTTTTCATTTGGAGGAGTGAATTCCACGCTCTTTTTGTAGTAGGGAAGGAGGTTGTCGAAGGTGTAACTGGTATCGTTGACGGTATTCGCCCATTGCTGCATCGACTCTATGCTGGGCCTGTCAAGGTCAGGTTGCATTCCTTCCCATAAATGTTGTAGTAACTGACCTTTGGTATATCATGAAGTTCAGCGCGGACCTGCAATAAGTCAGTTGTCTCATTCTCTCTTACATCTCGGGCCATGACTTACGATCCCCCGAGGCACTTCCCGCGAGCATAATGGATAGCCCGTCCGTTGGCTCCGGGCTGATTCTCCGCGACAAAACCCCAGTCCACGGACGATTTTGAATCGGGATCCGATCCAACGGCCAGAACGTCTGCACCAGGAATGGCCTGGAAAGAGTCCAACTGATATAAATCACCGGCCTCGACCAGAGCTACCGAGAAGGACTGCTGCGCCAGGCGAGTGGCTATGACATTTCCGGCTGTTCCTCCACCAACCACGACGTAGTCGAATTCATGGTCTCCGATCAAGTCGCGGGACTGGAGGATAGAGTTAGGATGGTTGTCAGCCGTCCCTGCGACGGCACCAACGGCCATTGAGGAGGCCACATAGCCCAGGATGCGTTGGTATCGCATCTTTTCTGCCAATATTGCACCGAATAGCCAGGGATTTTGGTAGGCACAGCGACCGGTGAATATTATAAGACTCCCGTTTAGGTTGCGGAAGTCCGACCCTCGGTTTAATCTGGGTGACCTAATATTTGGCACTAGACATGAGTGTCTGCTCAAAATGCTGGTAGTTCCGTCTTCGTGAGCTCTCTGGCAGCCATAGCTCGCACGGAACAGCGTGAGATGACCGTGTTCGGCAATAGTGACCGATCTCAAAAATGCGAATGCAGGATCACTATAATTCGAGGCACTATTTATTGCCGTCGCCGATTGGGGGCCCAACAGAATAAAGTTCGCACGGTTGTTCCATTGTCCACTATCGCCAAATCAGATTCATACAGCTAAGACTGGTGCCGGGAAGTACATTTGTATTAGTATCGGATTCCGAAACAGGTCCAATAAGTGGAATGTCGGCAGTGGATAATGCAGATAATTCCGTGCACTATGGTTCAGGAACGTGGATCTGCAGATCCCCCTGTAATGGAACTCAAGAATGTGCCCTTGTAGACCGAGGCTTTTGCAGTTGTTCTACAATAAGATATGTCAACTGAGAATATCTCACATGGAGACCGATATGCATACCGGACCACTTCGTGATAGTCCGAAAGCGTCGTCGAGTCCTCCTCGAACATATGATGGGACCCCTTTTTCCATTCGTCAGCGATGGCGGCGCATTTGTCCAAAATTGTTTCGCAGACCGGATTTCTGGCTCTTATTCCAGATTGTACCTTTTTTCCATTTCTCTGCGCGGTCAATATTGATATCTTCCATGAAGCGAATCGTGCGTATATCTGCCCCGATGTTACCACCGGGGGCCATACAACCGCCACTGCTCCGGCCGGACCACTCGTCTAGCATGTCCATGCGGCAAGCGTGCAGGAATTGTTGCAGATCAGTAGCTATGCCGTTGTGATCTCGAATTCGACTTGATTCGTGTTTCTGAAACCGTCGAGGGCTGCTCCAGGCCACTTTGGAAAGGAGGCCGCAACGTGTCCAATGGTTAAAGAGGAAACAACAGAGGGATTTCATACTGGAATCAGATATGCCTTACGACTGTGGAAGTATGGAGAAAAGAAAAAAAAAAAAAAAAAAAAAAAAAAAATAATGAATTGCTACCATTTTTATTCATAAGACTGATGGCGTAGATTGACAGCCATGACAAGAAGACATACTACTTGTGCCCGAGATGGCTGTCAGGGATTTACAGGGAGGAAAAGAGAGTAAAAGGAAGTTATCTAGTTTTGAAAATGCAAATACATAGAACGCTCAAATCTATTATCCTATACCAAACTCAACACCTAAATATCTGCTCTATACTGTCGCAAGAAACACCGCTGCCAATGCAATCACTGCTGCCGTACGGTTCAGCGACTTCCTGCTGGACCCCGAAGTCGACGTCGACAGCAACAGCGACGGTTCATAGTCCCCAGGATCGCGACTGTCGACGGTTCCATTCCAACAATACCGCTGGAAACATGTCTGACATGCCTGCGGCACCGTCGTTCCCGTCCGGTTCAGCGAACGCGAAAGAATCGCACAGCCAACACATGTCGGCCAGTCCTTATCCTCGGTGGCATTGCCCATGGTGACCACTTCATACCCGTTCGTGATGATCGAGTCCCGCTCCTCATCCGAGTACTTGAGCTGGAAGGTCGACGTGTTGGAATACGCGCTGTAAGGCGAGTTGGGGAGATACACCACCAAGGGTGCCGGGCCGGTGAGGTTGGCCGCATCGCAGCCAAAGAACGTCGGACGCTCGTTCAAGCCTTGGTTGATAAAGGTGTGGCGATCAGGGACCGCTGGGAAGACCGTGCCGTTGGCAATGCCCGTCGAGTTGAGACTGCGTTCGTATGTGGCCACCAACGAGTGTCCATCGGGCCAGTTATAAGATGTGTCCGCCGACGAGTCAACAGCAAAGATCACGTCGACCTCCCGCTGCGGTTGAATCAATGGATGGAGGGGAAGGTTCTGCTGGTCTTCACCACCGTCGACCACATCCAGGTCATTAGCGTTGGAATAAGCGGCGGTAGAGTTGCGGTAGCCATAGAATGGATTAGGTGAGTAGATGGCGATATCATCGTTGGCTTCTCCAATGTCTTCCAAAATGTGAGTGGCGACTGATTTGATGACATCCGGCAGATCCGCCTTGTTCAACCGGAGCAAGCCTTGATTGAACAAGGTTGACGACGTGCCCATCACGAAGCCTGCATTGTCGAACCCCCGAACACACGATGCACCCTGAGGGAGTTCCCCGTTTTCGAATGGCGAGCCGAGGTACTCCAGTGGAGCAAAGCCAAAGATGGTAGGATCGAAGGAGCCAAACTCCCATGGGTTGAACTCGTAGACGGTCGAGTTGCTTCCGACCACCAGCTCCCCAGGTGCACGGCCATCAGCCACAACTAGCGGCATGGGCATCTTGCCGGCTTTGAAGTCGTCCGTCTGAGCGATCGAGGACCAGGTGTAATCCACACCCCCATCCGTGTCGTTGATGAACTGGTAGGACAGTGCACGACCCCAGTAATCGGTCAGCGATGTGTTGAAACCAGCATCCTTCTTGCCGTCCACCACGTGCACGAGGTCCCGCCAGTACTGAGCACTGTCAAGGATCTTGACGCCGCCATCATCTGGTCCTTTGAGGATCGACCGACTGAACTGCCAAACGTCTCCTTTGTCATGAGTCTGCAGCGCGGAGATGGTGGTGAAGTTGTTGAGATAGACCGATCCCAGCAGCCAACTTCCACCACTAAGACCCGACACATATGTGGAGGATTGCAGCAGTCCGCCAAGGTGCCCAGAGCTGGTAGAATTCTCGGTTCGACTGTCGAACGCCTTCAAGGCACCTGCTCCATTGGTCAACGCACGGTAGCCTCCTCCAGATACGGCGATGGCGATATTCGGCAACTCCGACACATTGTTGGCGTGGTTCTTGATATACGACACGGCATCGAAGGACGGAATCGAGGTACGGTCGAAGAAATCTTTCATCGGCTCGATGGTCTCGCTCCGACGTGTCCGAAGCCATTCCGTTTCGTTGGAGGATAACGATCCGGCGCCTCGAATACTGGGACGGTTCGTGGGACAGGTGACATTGGCAGGGGTATAGCCATCAGGAGCATTCGGCAGAGCCCGTCGGGAGAGCGCAATGGCAAGATTTACGTCCGATGGCGTGGGACTCGCTGTACCGGGTCAGTCGAGCTGTGTATTCTTCCGGAGTGTCGGTACATACCAGCAGCAAGGCCAGCCAAAGAGCAGGCCCAGGAAACGACGGAGAATTTCATGATGTGTTTTGAATCTCGAGATTGAATGGCATTATTGACCAAAAAGACCCTGGACCGTTATATATACAGTGTCTCGTATTCGTTTTTGACATGGACTCAGCCTTATGGCCGATCCGGTCGTATCCGACGAACTTCCCCCCCTACCAGGCAACACTGTTTTTGTCTTCATTTTTTCTGTCCAATTCCGCAGGCGGCCCCATTCCTGCACGCTGTCTAGTGTCTAGAGGATGTACCGACATCCAACCGGATGCTGTGAGGTTTCTCCGTGCTCATTGGATTCTTCCTGCTCCTGCAGTTGTCGGTTCATTTTGGCATGCACCATCCGAATCACCATTGCCAACACGGCCACCAGCAAAGCCACGCCTGCGGTAGCACTTCCCCCCGGAGTATACCGCAGCCCCGAGGATGACGGCCACATGTAACTCCCATAGATGGAGGCTGTGTTACCTAGCATGTTGGCTATTGGCTATGGCGATGGCTGCGGACCGTTTGACCAGGGGCCGAGAGAACGAATTGGCGACCCAAGCGATAGTAATTTGGTACGCTGAAACAGCCCCCCATGGGCATTCTGCCGGGTAGGAATGACATCAGCCATGGAAATACGGTGTACGCTTTTTTTTTTTTTTCTAAACATATCACTTACAAGAACATGGCGAAGAATCGGGCCCCAAGGTTGGTGGTGGCCGTGCAGATTATGGCGCCTGCCACGCTCACCAACATCAACAAAATAATGTGGATACTGCGGTCATTGGTCTTCCCTGATGTCCATGTCACAACCAGGGAGACTAGGAAGGTTGCGATCCACACGGGGGCAGTGATGAGCAGGGTCTCGATATTACCATAGCCCAATGTTTGCACAATAGTCGGGAAGAAGTACTGAAAATTCTGCGACAACAGCGACGTGTGCTGCAACAGGGTAAACAAATAGATACGCGGGTCCGTAAGCACTAATCGAAGCGCTTCTGATATATTTCCGGCCTCCGTGTCATCAGCCTCACCGGCGTCATGAATCAGTCGCCATTGGGCGTATGCTTGTTCCTCTTCATCCAGCCATGATGTGGTTCCGGGATATAATTGGGAAGGAAAATTCTGCAAAGTGAGGATGCACACCAACAACATGACACGGACGATCACTTACGAGGATAGAAGGGATATTCCGACTGTGATGCAGCCTTCTATGATAAACAGCCATCGCCATCCGGAGATCCCATGCACTCCATCTAGGTTCCCTAGAACGCCCGCCCCGATCAACCCTCCAAATGCGTTGGCGAGGGAACTGCCAGCATAGAACCAGGCGATACGATGACCCAGCTGTTCATGTTAACACCGGTCATTTTCATGCCTGTGCCTCGACAAATCCGAGAAAGAACCGAGACACCACCAATCCCAGTGAAAGAAGTCGTTGCCGCTTGACAGGCCGAGATGACTCCCCAAATAGCCATGGCGATTCCCAGAAATAGCGACGGTCGGATCTTTGTCAGAAGCAGATTCGACGGCAGCTGCATGAGAAGATATCCGACGAATAGGATGCTTGTCGCTAAGTTGTAATCGGTCCCCGTCATGTTCAGGTCCTTTTCGAGAGTACCGAGACGTGCTTGCGACAAGTTACTATCCATGTCAGTCACTGCATATCCCGATGAGAAACCTTGTTGCACAATTCGGGGCATTTCCGAATAAGGGGAATCAACCCCGGCTTGACAGAACCTGGGGGAGCCATGAGGGGTGAACGCTCGGTACATCGTTTACCGAGTTGAGTTGATTTCCTTCTGGGTCTGGCTGGGGAGAGATGTCTTATGGTTGTATTGGCTAGTCTCGAAAATGCTCTTCCATGCTGCCAGAGGGGGGGGGGTTAGGTAAGGGAGAAAATGTTCAGGGACACGAAATAGTCGCAATCTTGACCATGGGCGTTATATTCGCATACCTAGCAACTCATTGTCCTCGACAACCCCAGACAAGGAGGACTGTTTGACTGTTTCCGGTAGGCGATCTGCACCGCCACATCCAGCAGTCATCAGCCACAAGTGGCCGTGTACTCAGCTACGTGACGTCATCCACCGAGGGGTACCCTACTCCGCTACTACTACTTGTGTATGTACAGGGGTATACAAAACAAGGCCGAATACTTCAGATGTCTATCTCCGTACAGGGCGTGCTATTCATAGCATCTGATATCACCGATAATCCGGTCTCAGCAGGATAGAGTTGATATGACGATGAGATCCAGTTGTGGCGATTCCCACACGCGAATCATACCCGGACATTCCTGGATCCAGGTGGAGCACAATCTCCGGTAAGGCTTATGGGATTCGATTCTCTGGTACGAAGACGGATGGAAGGAAAGGGGCGTTCCAAGGCTATATAAAGGCCTCGCCCGGGACCTGTTGCTCCCCTTCTTCAATATCACGATTCTCCTCTATATTCTACAGTGATACCATACATTCACAGCACAACAACATCGCATCACCATGGACAAACTTTCCGGTCTCGCATCCAAGCTCGGCGGCAAGGGCCAGAGCCACCAGCAGGGCGGCAAGGGCCAGAGCCATCAGCAGGGCGGCAGCAGCAGCGGCGGCTCCTCCAACAACAACCAGGAAGACTACGTCGACAAGGGTGTGTTCTACCCACACAAGTCTACGAGTATTCCTTTGCTAATGAACACAGGTCTCGACTCAGTTGAGAAGAAGTATGGCGCCGACCCGTCCAAGTTGCGTGACACCAACGAAAAGATCACCGACACCGGTCGCCAGCAGTTCGAGAGCAGGACTGGGTAAGTGATTCATGCTGTTGAAGACTTTATGATTGCACTTTCTAATACGTCACCAATAGCAAGCACGTTCCGGATAAGATCTCCAACTAGATCGGACCTCGGGCTCGTATTACCATAATGGCGTTTGGGAAGGATACGTGAATAATTATATTATGGATTAGTTGTGTCAGACAGTACCGACACGGTTTATGATGAATATAATGAATGGATGAACGTCTTTTGAATTAGATATAGCCATGATTTTCGTAGCCTTATGAATGTTTGTCGAGTATTGACGGGTATGTTTAATCCATCGCCCAGCGGTAGGTATCTTTAATGAAACATGCAATATACATGTCAAATGCAAAAAAAAAAAAAAAAAAGAGATGATGTATCACGCCATCTATGTAAAACTGTGACTCTCATGTTACGCTCATGTTCACCAAGCTCCAACAACACCAGCGATCGGAATGTCAATCCCCGTAGTATACGAGCTTCCATCACTCAACAGGTACACGTAGGCCCCTCCCAGCTCGCGAGGGTCAGCCAGACGCGGCATCCCACCGTAGTATTGCATCTTCAGGTCCCAGTCGGGCGCGTGTTCGACGTAGTAGGTCATAGCTGTTCTGACGAATCCCGGCGAGATACTGTTGACACGAATGCCGTGTTTGCTCCATTCCATGGCTAACGTATGGCATATATTCCGGACTGTAGACAGGCACCGACGGTTAGCTGGACCAACGCGACAAGTATGACATAGGATTATGAACTTACCGGCCGCTTTCGTGGCGCCGTATGGTGCAGAGGGAGCAGCCTAAGATAGGATTAGCGATTGGCTTTTGTTGCTGATGGACTCTATAACTAACCCGATTCGGCCGATACGAAGTCATACTCGCAGTCATAACAATGGATCCCTTAATGCCCAGCTCCATGAATTTCCGTGCGAAGATCTGAGCGCAAAAGTATGCTCCGAAGACCTGCGACAGTCAGCCTGGTCGACAAAGGAACCTTTCGGAGAATACTCACATTGAGATTGAACAGCTTTTCCAATTCCGGACGGTCGAATTGGAGTGCCGGTTGATGTTTGGTCATGCCAGCGTTGGCAACTAACCCATCGACCCGTCCGTTTTCCTCCACGATCTGATCAACGGCTTTCTGGATGCTCTCCTCCGAAGTCACGTCCGTTTGGATAGACCGGAAATTCGGGTATTTCTTCTGCAATCCTGCAAAGTCCTCACCCGGCTCCATGAGATCCAGCGAGTAAACAACCTTGGCCGAATTGGCAAAGCAGACCTCTGCGATTCCGAGACCAATTCCTCGATTCGCACCGGTGATTGCGATCACTTTCTGCGCCAGCGTGATTTGCCAGGTGAAATTCGAGCTGGGCATGGTGTTAACATAGGACTGCGTCCCAGAGTTGGTTCCATTCTCGGTCGCAGTCATTTCGGTCAAAGTACAAGTATAACTGTTTCGCAAGATCTCAACTGAGAGATGTAAGAGAGCGTGAGGTTCTTCGCATTCAAGGGACGGGGCTCTTTAATACTCCTGTTCTACCCCACATGCATACGTCGCAACGATGAAGCTTTGTTTGGTCACTCTCCAAACCAGAACATCGGCCATGCCCCGACGCCCCAGATCTTCGGCTGGAGGCCCTCCACGTTCGGTTCGTATCGTGGCATTCCCGAATGTCCCTCAGCGACGTCAATGGGATATAGATACAGCCGTTATAGCCGTGAGGGTTTTATTCCACAAATCAATCTGTCAGATTACCCCGGATAGCTTGGCTTCAGTCGGCACGGTTCCGAGTAAGCCGATCTGCCTCGACTCGAGGCATCCTCGGCCTCCGCAAAATGCACGCTGCCGTCAAGCTTGTCAGACTCCTCTGCTTCGAAGGTAGTTGGAAATGATCTCAAAGAGGGGCGAATAAACTTTGCGGGGGTATTTTGTGGAGGTGGACACTATCAGCCCAATGAAGCATGACAGCGCGGGGTGCAGATGGCAGTCTTGTCATCAGAAAACCAACTAGATCAAGAAATCAAGTATATCCCTGTGTTTATTTATGCCGTCTTTGGACATTTATGCTTATCCATGGCGGCATCTTCCTATCAATGACGCTGATTCCTGGTGATGTTACTCAAGATCCCGGACACATTCTGTATGCAAGGAAACAGATAAATATCCGGCGGCGCCTGCGATGCCAGAGATGACTCCCACGCTACCAGACCCGGTGACATTGTTACAGCTGCTATAAGAGCTGTTATAAAACGATCCATCCGACGTTGGTTACGAGATGGCAGGTGGTCTCGAGATCGAAGAGAAAGGGGATATAACTTCCAAGGAGATCGAAAATGCAGGCCCAGATGCTCCGTTTTGGTCTCCGGAAGAGGAGAAAGCTCTAGTGAGGAAGATTGATTTGGTCCTCCTGCCCATGGTCTGGATTATGTACTTGCTGTCGTACATGGACCGAACAAAGTATGTAAATTCTGGTCAACCGAGTTGTGACAGCGAAACTGACACAGGATCACACATAGTATCGGGAACGCAAAGATTTCGGGCATGGAGACCGATTTAGACTTGACGTCGAACCAATATTCCATTGCTTTGGTCGTTTTCTTCATCGGCTATGTCGTGTTTGAAGTTCCCAGCAAGTATGTATCTCCATCATTCTCCCTAGCTACAGGGATAACATGTCGGGTGTAGTATGCTCCTCAGTCGAATTAGACCATCCCTGTTCCTGTCAGGAATTATGGCGCTGTGGGGTGCATTAACCTGTGTCATGGGCGCCATCAAGAACTTCAAGCAACTCGTGGCTTTGCGCGCAATCATAGGCAAGCACTAAAGGAGCCTCGTTTCTAAATGCTTTAGCTGATTGTCGTAGGTTGTGTCGAGGCAGGGTTTGCACCAGGCGTTCTCATGGTGATTGCATCTTGGTACAGGCGGACGGAACAGGCCAAGCGATTTGGTATTTACATCTCCGCCGCTATCCTATCCGGTGCATTCGGAGGCCTGCTTGCGGCTGTAATTGTCAAGGGACTGGAAGGAGCACACGGGATCAGAGGCTGGCGTTGGCTCTTTATCGTGGAGGGAGCTGCAACGGTTGGGGTTGCTTTAATTGCAGCCTTTGTCCTCCCGGACTTTCCTGCCACGTCCAAAAGCTTCTCAGGGAGACAGCGAAGTATTGCGGTTGCCCGATTAGCAGACGACGTTACGGCCATGACCCAAGACAGTGAGCAACTCTCGCCCCGGCAAGCTATGGTTGATTCGGTCAAGAATTGGCGAACCTGGATGTTTGTCGTAGGGTACATGGTGCGTTCTTGTTCCCGTATAGAGTGACAAAGCTGACAATCAGCAGGTTATCGTTGGCTCTAGTACGCTCTCGTATTTTTATCCCACTTTGATCGAAGGTCTTTTCGGAGACTCCTCTACTGAGAGGACAAACTTCCTGACCATCCCTATTTATGGCGTTGCATTTGTTTGCACATTAATCACATCCTATTTCAGTGATAAAATCCCATCGTGGCGAGGCCTCATCATCTCTTGCTGGTTGATGTTCTCGCTTATATGTTCAATCGCAGTGTGTGCAGTGTATGATTACACCGCTCGATATGCGCTGCTCGTGCTCATGGCATCTGGTCTGTGGACGACTAATGGAATGAGTCTTGCCTATGCCTCGTCGGCATTTTCGAGCATGCATCCACAGACAAGGGGTATAAGTCTCGCGTTGGTGAATGCTCTGGGAAACCTAGCGCAGATCTATGGCTCGGTCAGTATTGTGGCTTGCAACAAACAAACAACCTTTTTACTAACCGCATCTTAGTACCTGTTCCCGGACTCCGACGGCCCAAAATATACTATGGGATTTTCCGTCATATCAGCAATGTTGGCCTTGGGCGTTGTAGTATACTTGGCATTGCATTTCTGGTTTCGCCACCGTGCGAAGCAAACAGAGAATGAGCAACCAGAGGAATGAAGATAGATAATGCTAATGAGAAATGATAATGATAAATTTGCATTCCTATATACCAAGCCTTCGGCTTCTTGGAACCGACGTGTGTCAACTGGATCAAGATTGGCCATGTTTTGTTCCAGGTCACCTGCACGAACTAGTCACCCTCGAAAGGATGCAATAACCCACCCAGGCGCTGCCTGCGTCTGCATAAGCGGAGACCACACAATTGGGGATGCAAGGAATCTTCCAGGAGGAACAGAGGGTCGCCGACAGCGTAGCATCACTGCATCTAGTGTGATGGTGCAAATGAAGAGGACCATCGCTGTTTACGTGATTGTTTGAATCTGGCAAGGATTGGCTCTCTCCCCAGACAAGATCTTACGACCATTCATGCCGTACGGGACTGTCATCCCGCTGATTCGGAAGAGGGCTCGAAGTCATTTTTGTCACATTCGACAGGTCCTCAACCAGCGAAAGCAGAGAGCTCATCTTTTTGATATTCAGATTCAAGCTCCTTTCTCAGTGAATCGGCGGGCCAACGAACCCGGCGCTGGAAGATTTCGATGAGATCCAACAACGCCGTCCGTTCATGGGGAGCGTGAACACTCATCCCAGCTGAGAGGGAGTTCGGGTTAGCAAGTGCTATAATTCTACACGAAAAAGGGCTTGACTACCTCCAAATAGACAATTGAGCGACACGAGACTAGCAGGGATATCGTTTTCTTTAACCATGCGCGCTATTCCGCAGACGGCATGGACGGACGCTGCAAGCAGTCTTTGCGCGGCGCGGTAATCCTGGAGGCCGCCGATTGAAGGACGATGCAACACCACCAAGATGCGGGCTAAACTGTGCAGCTGTACAGCCGCCGCGTATGGAGAAGGGTGAATCCAGATTGGTGGGAAAACCTCAGCAGTCTGTTTCTGTGGAAGTGGTCTGAATTCCCGCGGTAGGTGATCCTTCCACTCTTGCAGCATAAATAGCAATTCATTCCCTCGCTCCAGGCGTTGCTGTATGTCGGTGGTCTCGGATTCTTCCCGAGAGGCGTAGTTCACGCATTGTGATAGTAGATAGTACGCACGACAGGTGAACTCAGCGGCGTCTAGCATGGAATACTGCTTTCGAGGCTGAAAGAATGAGAAAACCCGGCGACGCTCTCGCATGGCTACCCAGACATCTTGTCGAAGCCACGCCCACCAAACTCCTTGTCGGACACCTCCAGATTCACCGTTGTTATTTTGGAACCGCTGGATCCAGAAAACCCCTTTGAGATGTCGTTCCCAATCATAGTTGGAGCCGTCAACCATTTCATACGTGCTAATGAGAAGGGCCGTGCAAAGCAACTCGGCACTGCGAGTGTAAGAGGGATAGTGCATCGCCTTGTTCAAATATTGCAGCGTTTCGTAGTAATACTGGACAGCAACATTGCGATTGACGGTGGAAGCGACCTCCTTCTCGGAATCTGCAATGTCGAAAGGGTTGGCTTTTTCGGTAGCTGTGCCGTTGTGTTGATACTGGTTGGTCTCGCTCCACAGCGAGAGATGTCGTGCTGAGAGGGCTAAAAGTGCCTTCATTAAACCGATATTCCTCAGAGCCAGATGCGGTAGTGTAGTAGAAAGTTGCAGTGTCGGGTCAAAGAAATCTATCCACGCGCCTTGTGTCCGCACAAAATGGTTGAACATGAAATGACCCTGGTCCGACAGTTCAATGGGGGTCGCAGTACTCCAGGAGGAATATTCGTCCGGCAATGCTGCCGGCCCATCCTCGACTGGCACCGCGACTAGCCTCTCATCAATCTCAGGATCTCGCCGGAAAGAAGCCGCTTGGAAGCTTTCCCGTTCGCGTTGGTTATGAGGCTGCAAAACCGGGCTTTGCGGTAGAGCGACCGGGGATTCCACTGCCACGGATGGAGGGATTCGCTGTGGCGGAGACAATAGAAAATCTCTATCCGCGTTGGCGGCATCATTGGCAAGTAGTTCGAACCAGCTCAATGGTGCCAACCTGGTGGACGCGGACGATGACTCTGTACCGGGTGACGGTGCATATTCTGGAGGGGACAGTGGAGACACCCCTTGGCCATGCCGAGAAACAGCCTTAGCGGAGCTCAGGCCCGGGGACGTCGTAGACGATTTCCCACGGGAGGCATCTGTGGGATGTTGGACGTTTTGTTCTTGATGGCATGCGTCCACCAGAACTCGCAGGGGCTCATGGATTTGCGACTGCGGCGAGGTTACGCGATGTATCGTTCCATCGGAAGAAGAAGCATCAATCTGTTGTGATACATCATCGCTACCGCCATAAATACATGGACGTTGGCCCTTGGCGCAAGGCCCGCATTGAGGGCGAACCTGGTACGAGGTTGAAATCAGTTACCGAAGGGGATACATACTATTTGGGAAACCCAACTGGCCAACTACTAACCTCGTCGCATTTGACATGGCGCCGCTTGCAAACTAGGCTATTTCCGTCAGTGACATGCACACGCGACGTGACCATACATAGTACAGGAGAAATCAAATCACGGACCATCCGGTAGTGGCACGCAGTCCCCTGCCACGGGACTTTCGTGGCTTGCGGATGCCACGCGAGGCATCTGCCATGGCGTAGGCGATCTATGTACGATAAAGAGCGATTCTTCGGCGGCAGGGCGGAGGGGGGAGGGGTGGGTACCCGGAGACGCAAGGTGGTCGACTCGAGAGTCTCGGTGTTATCAAGTCGCGACGAGGTTCGAGTGGGCAATTTTCGGTGCGGTGGAGCAACGCCTCTCCCCCGGAGCAATTCCAGAATCCCCGGCTCCATCGGGTGGGAAGCCCGGGAACCTCGAGACGAGCTTTCGAGCCTTTCGGTACAGCAGTCATTTGCGGGGTTCGACAGAGGGACGATGATAACGAGGACAGAACCAATTGATTTAAACAGCTTGTCTTTGGTCAATTGATTGAAATCACAGTTGACGGCATACGGCTGATGTCAAAATGGCCTGGCGTTCGAGTAATAAAACACTGCAAATCCTTGAGGCAGCAGAGAAGGGGAGATACGGCATTCTGGCAGCCATTGCGTGAGTACGATCCCGATAAAACTAGAGCAGACAACGTGCTAACAGGACCAGATATAATGTCGAGCATATCACGGCCTTCATTCGCGCAGCGGAGAATCGTAAATCGCCTTTGATCATACAGCTATTTCCTTCGGCGTTAACCCAGACTCCGTCGTTGATCCATGCGGCCGCAGCAGCAGCCAAAACAGCATCAGTACCTATCTCTGTTCACTTGGACCATGCGCAAAATTACGACCAGATCAAGTCTGTCGCCGACAATTTGCCATTCGATTCGATAATGGTGGACATGAGCCACTATGAGAAAGAGGAGAATCTGTCCAAGACGAATGTACTGCGCGAGTACTGCCATGATCGGGGAATCGCGGTGGAGGCCGAAACGGGGCGGATTGAAGGAGGAGAGGACGGGATTTCGGATACGGGAGATCTGGCTGGTAGGGCATTGATCAGCATAGATTGTGTGCCAGTTCTGTATAGCTAACCTAGTCTCAGGAATCCTGACAAATGCAGAAGATGTCGAGGAATTCATCAGCGCCGGAATCGATTTCCTGGCCCCGAGCGTAGGCAATCTCCACGGGGACTACGGTCCCAAGGGACCTCATCTCGACTTGGACCGGTGAGAAGAACGTACTCCTCATGCGACGACAGCTAACGCGATAGATAGGCTTAGGAGCATATTCGACGCGTTGAATGGCCGCGTTCGTCTCGTGCTTCACGGCACCAACGACTTTCCCCCAGATCTGTGCAAAGTATGCATCGACGCAGGCGTCACTAAATTCAACGTCAACAAACTCGTGTTGCAGCCGTGGCAAGACTATCTTCGAGCGAATGTGAACAAGCCTCTCACGCAGGTGATGGATGAAGGCATTGACGTGTTGACGAGACAGATGGAGCGCTGGATGGATATCATGGGTAGCAGTGGAAATGCATAGTTGGCGTATAGACAGATAGAATATGACTGTTGTCAACTTCTGGCCACAATTCATCAGGGATTCCGCCCTGTATAGTACACGATTGTAACCATTGACTAGACCTCTGGGCCCACAGGCCAGAACCCCGACACGGTATATTAAGCAACAAACAATCATCATGACCAACTTGAAGTTATAGAAATTCTCAGTGACAATAGTGCCATATGGAAACAAATCCATCATGTGTTCTCCATACGACCCCTCATATCGACATCCCCGGGATTAGCTTATGCTTCCCTATGGGTAAAGTGGTATCTTTTCCACATCACCCTGTGCAATGTTCAGGGCCGTCCCTGAATATGTTCCGGTACCTCCACATTTTCCAAACCCTGGGGTTGCGGGGATGTGATGGCAAATCTTATTGAGGAGTCCATGAAGATGTATTCTAGTCAGAAGACGGCATATAAAGAGAAACAAAAGTCCTGCTGGATAGCCCGAAAGGTGTCGCTGAACACGCATATCGAATCTTCTATACCTTTCTTTTACCCTACTGCTTCTCTTTTTTACTGAAAATATCGCCCACTATGGCCAAAATCGCACTCATCACCGGGGGTAATGGAATCACTGGTTCCGCTATCCTCGAGCATCTCACCAAGAACACCACCGTCGACGAATGGAGTCGCATTCTTCACACCTCTTGCTCGCCATTGAGAATTACGGTCCGTGATCCCCGGGTTGAATTTATCGCTCTGGATTTCTCCAAAGATCCGAGGGTGCTGGCCCAGGAGATGAATCCCGTGTTACGCACGCCTACTTCTCCTCCTACGTCCACAAGGACGATTCCTCCGAGCTGAATAAGGCCAACTGAAGCTTGTTCGAAAACTTCTTGCAAGCACTACTAGCCGTAGCTGGCGGCCGGCTGCAGAATTGCACCCTGCAGCCCGGCGGGAAATATTACAACGTTTCACCTGCGGCCGGTACCTTGGCCGGCGTCGGAGGATCATCCGCGCCTAAGAAGCGCAGATGAGAACTTTTACTACCACCAGGAAGATTTCTTGGTCGAAAAGGAACACACGTCCGGCTTGTCCTGGACATGGAACGTCATCTGTCCCGAGGCAATCATCGGCTGCACTGCCAATCCGAATGGGATGAATGAGGCATTGACGTTAGCGTTGTACTTCATGACTTGCAAGGAGCTGGGGTATGAAGCCAAGATGCCCACAAACTGGAACTACTGGAATGGGGTTGAAGACATTTCTGACGCGCACTTGATTGCCGACCTGACCGTTTGGGCGTCCACCCACCCGCATTGTGCAAATGAAGCGTTCAATGTTACCAACGGCGATTATTTCTCCTGGCGGTACATGTGGCCCAGACTAGCAGCATGGTTTGGCGCGACAGCCTCATCCGATCAAAGTTTCTTGCAAAAGGCACCAACCGTTGGCGAGCCACACTTGAAAGTCAATCTTGAGGATTGGGCCCGTGGGAAGCGAGAGGTGTGGGGATCACTCTGTGAGGAAGCCGGCGTGCCTCAAGCTTAAGCCACCTTCAGTGCCGACACCTAACTAGGCCTTCCAAGATTAAATGTTCCCCCGGACGTGGAGTGCAACTCTTAGCATGAACAAGGCCCGTCGGTTTGGCTATACGGGACATATGGACTCGTATAATTCTTTTGTGGATGTATTTCAGAAGTTCCGCCAGCTGGGTCAGATTCCTTAGACGCGAAGCTTTCCCATCCTTTCTGTTCTTTCTTCCATTGTTTTTGTTGGTCCCGTGGGCAATCACTATCTGTTGACTTCGATAAACGCTGAAGACTGATTGATATGCTCGCTGCTCCGACTGACCAATCAGAGCCTGAATTGCCCGCCTATTTACGACGTACTTCTTGTTCATGCCGAATTGTATCCACAGAGGATATGATAGAGAGATGATAGGACTGGGGATTATGGCTATGCAGCCAGCATGCTTTGACTATGGCCACCGCATACATGCATTATGCACTTTGTTCTCCTTTTGTCTCTTTGAACTTCTTTCGTAACGACCTTCCCTTTTACGCCTAGTTGACGGCCGACAGATTGTTTAAAAAAAGGCCGTACGATAGATAGATATCTAGAATCAGAGCTCTTCCTCTATTCACTCCGAATAGTGCCTATGGCATCCTTCCAAGCATAGTAGTTAACAAGAGGGCAGCAGGAGACAGCGTATTTATGTCTCAGGGCGCAGAAAGCAAGCAGTGGTATTCACGTGGATTCTGTTTACATTTGTTGTGGTACAGGCATGCTGGAAAAGAGCATACAATTGTTATAAACTGTTGCAGGTGATGTACGGTGACTTCATCAACACTGTCGGATATTGCACCTGCAAAAGAGACTTCAGCTGCATAATGATTTCGAAGACCACTATCCCTGAGCTTCCACGTACGACGCGGAATGAACTGTCACCCCGAAAAAGATTAGGCACAGAATTTCTCAATGTACGCGACGTTGCATTCCAGATATTAAAGACTCGGTCCTTTCTATGTGGAGTTTTGCTGCATCTCAACATGCCGAATTATTGGCCCGGAGACTGCACCCAGCCTGATACTGAATGAAACACAATGCCAAGATGTATCAATTCACTATACTGCTGTTAGACAGCTTCGTTAGCTGCCTCCCAGTGGACGGATGGAGAAAACATTGGATTGTCGATAGAGCAAGATGGCCAGGTCACGGGAAGTACTTATGACAACAAGAGGCCAAAGTGTTGATGTACAGTCAATAACAGCCAACAATACTATGCACCATGCATTATGTACAGTCCCTTCATTCTGCAATGTAACAATGTGAAAAAAACACCTCACACACCATGGCTAGCTAAGGTGTGGGGAAGATATGGAGCGGAACACACTTCTGTATGACAGTATGTCTGCCTTCAAGAATTCAGTGATATCAGGAATCAGGAAGGGTATCATGGCTACTATGTAGTGCTTCGTTCAGATATATAAGGGATACACCGTGCCTACTTGACACAATCCATAACAAATATCGCTTTGTTCTTTCTCTCAAACTACCATTCCCAGAAAAACGCCTACGCATCTAACCCATCATGGCATATGTACGCCGCTCCCTTCAGGATCTCCAGGAGGAGTACGACGATAAACGTCCTGAATCGCTCGACAAGCTGGTCAAGGCTTTCCGGCACATCCAGAGTCTTCCAGCCCACGATCCTGACTCTTTCCATAGGATCGGCGGTTACCATGGAGAGCCATTTCGCTACGAATTAGAACCAGAATCTCCCAGCAAAGATTGGTGGGGAGGGTACTGCTTCCATGGTTGTGTGCTGTTCCCCACCTGGCATCGTGCCTACTTGTTACGCCTGGAGCAGGCACTCAGAAAGGTGGAGGGATGCGGGGATGTAATGCTTCCCTTCTGGGACGAATGTGCCACGATGTTCCAGAAAAAGGACCATCAGACACCGAGTGTCATCCCCGCGGTGCTCACCTGGCCTCAATACACGATGGGCGGCGAGACCTTTGACAACCCGCTCTATTCCTTCAAGCTTAAAGAGGCTCTTGAAGATAAAATAGAGGGCGCAGGGAGCCGGTACACAAAGCCCGAGGGGTATGAGACAGTCCGGTACCCGCTTTCGGGCTTGGTAGGTACAAGCGACGACATCAAGACAACAGAAGAACACAACAAACAATTCCCGGATGCGAAAATAAGGGCAGAAAAGCTCAACGAGAATGTCGCCAACTGGCTGCGCATTGGACCGAAAATCCCCAAAGACGACCTTGATAAACCTACAGCTTCCCCTAAGGACAGGACCTCGGTCTTCAGCCGATACACAGACTGTCTGGAGACCCCTAGCTTTACCGTGTTTTCAAATACAACTTCCGAGCAGAAGGCAATGGGCATAAATGCAGAAGATAAACAAGAGGCAACACACCTAGTATCCTTGGAAAACCCGCATAATGCCATTCACCTTGCCGTCGGAGGATTTTATCAACGGGGTACTTTCAACGCGGATGTGATCGTGAATGCGAATGGCGACATGGGTGATAACGAGACAGCGGGCTTCGATCCCATCTTCTTCCTTCACCATTGCTTTATCGACTATGTTTTCTGGCAATGGCAAGTGAGGCACAAGGCCACAGCAAGCCTGGTGATTGACGAAAATGACGAGGGTGCTAAGGTTCCCAAGGGAGGAATGGTTAATTTGCCAGAAAATACCAAGCTGACAATGGATACTCCCCTGGCACCCTTCATCAAGCCCGGCTTCCCTTCCGCAGGCGACAGCAATGAGAATTGCTATACGTCCAACGATCTTGTCGACATCGAAAAGCTGGGGTACAAATATGGTCCGGGGTCGCTGGATAAGGACAAGCCAACATCCCCTAAGAAGCAGAAGAAAGGTGGCGCAATTAAGCAGATGATCAAAGTCTCGAACATCAGCCGAGCACAGTACAAAGGGTCATTCGTGATTCGCACCTGGGCCAAAGGCCCGGGGTTTCAGGACCATGTCTGGATTGAAATTGGTCGCGAACCCATCCTGAGTCGATGGAACGTCAGCAATTGTGCGAATTGCCAGAACCATCTTGACGCCGTTTCAATGATCCCGCTCGATGATGGTATGCTTGCTCAGCTACTGGGAGTAGACTGGGAGTCACAAGGTCGAACCGTGAATGACATTACCTACGTGGTTGACATTCATAATCGCAAAGAGGTCATTCATATCCCAGACTCCTGGCTCTCCCCTTGGAAACCTGATACCCCTTCCCTGGAGCATTTGATTAGGAATGAGACTTTGCCAGCTTAGCGTATGACTTGATTTGGGCTTCCTTGTGATAGGCTACGCCTAGATCGGCACTCGGAGCAAGCCCTCGCAAGCACGTGACAATTGGCTAGTTTTGGTGTGTGGTGAATGGTTGATTGGTTTATGGCCTATCGGCTGAGCTAACTATATAAACTACCGGGCAGAAAGCGAGGGCGGTCAG